GTTACTATAACAAGTTTGGATATCTATTAATATAACCACACTTGTAGTAAATTTCAAAATCAAATATAACAAGTTTGGGCTTCTATTTGAAGAATTGAGGGGTGACATGACACTATTATATCATAAACTTGACAATGTGGTGATAAGTGAATATGATGAATCATCAATCTGACAAGTAGTGAAGTCACTTCTAAATAACAAGTATGATCCCCATCAACTCTCATTCATACACAAATTTTATAGTATTCTATGAGGCTAATGTGTAACTATAGTAAGTAATGTGGTGTCTTGCTCATGAGAAGATTGCACAAATGCTTGCCCTGCTGTGTCTACCTCAAATTCAAAAGATTATGTGAAATTTGAGAAAGCAAGCACTAGGGGAGATGTCATGACGTCCTTGAGGCATTTTTATATTGTGGAATATTTTTTTAAAAAGAATTGAGTAAGTAGTTGAAAGAAATGACATAATTTATGATGAACTAATAAAAATATTTAGTGAGCCTCAAGAATGACTATAATTCCTTCACTACTATGGGGGTTAGCCACTATTTCATTGCATTGATCTTTGTCACATACTTTCACTGTTACTATTGACACTTAATGCTTGAGAAACTCCACACAACATTAACAAGTAAATATTTATTGATGTTGACACAGTTCATGAGTAACAAGGAGTAAGAAAACTTAAATCGTGCCAAGTGTGCTCTACATTTGTCCTATAGTACCCAAGATATTATAAAAAAAGACTGACATATTTTCATAAGTGAGGGCAGAACACTTGGTCCATTAATGCTTAGAATGTTGATGGATCATTTTTGAGGTTGAACAACATTACTAGAAACTCATAATGACCTTAATGGGTCTTGAATATACTCTTCAAGATGTCATTTCATCTCATTATTGTCTGGTGATATCCTATTCGTAGGTTCAACATGAAAAATACTTATATGCTATATAAGTCCATGATAGGTTTAAATAAAAGGTCAACTATTTTTTTCTTGTCATAATTTTAAATGAACTATCACAACATGACAACAATTCATCATGACATTCATACCTCTTCATATACTTATGCATACTCATATTGATTTAAAGTACAATAATCATTGATAGTGAACTCTACATCATATTGATGTCAATACTCATTCCTTTTCGTACAACACAATAGATATGCCAAATCAATGATTGAATTAACCTTTGGGACCCAATGGGGTGTTGTCCACTTAACAACTTTTATTTTTTCTTGATTCATTCACAAATTGTCTATCTCACAATGCGACCAATGAAAGTCACCTCTTCTAGTACAAATCATGCATTTTATTGACTTGAGGTAGAGATGGCACTCCCTCAACTTCTTAAACCTCTCTCATACTTGCGTTTTATGCTCCAACATACTTGGTTATAAATAATTCTTATATAAATAAATTATAACCAAATTTAACAAATAATTATTAGATCTCATTAATCAATGTGTAGAACATGATAGGGTCATTGCTAAAGTTGACATTATTATCAAGAACTTCTAAAATTAATAATGTGTCAGGCACTTAGTATTTTGACTAATTTTCTTTTCTTATCCAAACTTGATAATAACCACTCTTCAAGTACATCTAGAAGAAATATATGGCTCTATCTAACCTTTCAAATAACTTATTACTATTAAGTATTGCATATTTTTTCTTCATTATTACTTTGTTGAGTACAGAAAATCCACACACAACCAAAGGTGGATGTGCCCCACCTTTTGGAATTTTTTTAAGTGTGGTTATTGTATAAGACATATCTAGAAGACATATTGTATGAGATATAAGTGACCACACCTCTTGCATGAGTTTAATCACATATTCTACCTCACATCAAGGTAGTAATTTTTTCAAATAGCCATGACATTATATTTATATACTTCTATAAGGTTATGATAATTTTTGAGTGAGAGCTGCCTACGTGTGCTAGTGTCCACTGTCATCCATGTTATTGCTATGTTGGCTAACTCCATCTAAGTGTCTACCACTTACCTACGTGCCTGCCACTGATGTACAAGTTAGCACGCCTACCTTAACATCACTAATGATTGTGTTAGTTGGTGTCAAGTGGACCATACCTTCAAGGTTGGCACCACAGCATGTCTACTTTGACAGTGAGTTTTGTTTGCTCATTTTTACCTGATAATCGGAGCTTCAATCATAGTCAATCATTTTTCTTCTCATAGGTCACAAGGAGGTTTCCTAACCCTTCTTCAAGTTATCTTAGAGTTGTAGTACTGGTGACATCTTGAGGTCTTATGAGCCTGGAAACTCTAGAAACAAAGTAAAAACTTGGACCTCATGAGAAGTACACCGTTTAGACATAAGCTACATGTTTGTCAAAATTTTGCAATGAAAACGAAGGCGGGCACTGCTTCAGCCACCGTCTTCCCCGCGAACCACTGGTGGTGTCCACCCTGGCGGAGACGAGCGGCAGTCAACCCACTTACAGTGAGATGATTGCCCACCCTGAACACGGAGATTCCAAAGAAAATGACCCAAAGTCAACCTTCCAGTAATCTTAGTCCGATTGGCCGGCAGGACGGTAATATTCCCGACAACCTTAGAGTCGGCTCTGTGAATCGCTGCTCTTCCCGGGGCCTTGGGTTATGGCGGCGGCTGGGAATTTTTCATCGGACATTCATGTCTCTTGGGAGGGTGGGGGGGTGGGGGGGTGTGGGAAGCAGTGGACTAACTGTCGTTATTGTCTAGTTAATTAACAAAATGGGCGGTTAGAAAGAAAGTTTCATGTAATAGAAAGTAGGTTGTAAAGTTTCTGGTCAAAGGCTGCCGTATGTCTCCGTTGCCGGCAAGGAGAACGACCGGCGGCAACACCTCAAGCAGATCGTGCAGGTTAGAAGTGGAGAGGTCAGCGCTTTGTCCCCATGATTATGGGGTCTCTCCAGCACGGTGGCCGCTCTACGGGCCGCTGTCTGCTGTTGTTGGTGCTGGTGGCTTCTTCACAAGGCGTGTCGGGTAATCTCTCTCCCTCTCTCTCTCTCTCTCTCTCTCTCTCTCTCTCTCTCTCTATCTTTCGTCCTGTGTCTCGCTGTCTCTGTCTACATTGGACATGAAGGAACGGCGGAAAGAGAAATACCTCGAATAGAGACCGAGTGATAGATTCAGGATCACGAAGGTGCAGGAAGGAGGAGCCCAAGAGGGACATGTCAAGTGAGGTTCAAGCGGATTGGGGAAAGAAGAAAAAAAGGAAGAAAACTTTCTGCTTTTTCTTCTCTCTCTCTCTCTCTCTCTCTCTCTACATTTATATATTTATATAAATATATAACTTTCATCTCTGTTGCTGATCGACCTTCACCCACCACGTTGGACAGCGAATCGCCCTCGTTCACCATATGGACGTGGTTTATTATTGCTGGGTAGGGCCTGCCTGCATGAACTCTTCCCGACCTTGAAACATGCATGATGCTCTTTCTCTCTCTCTCGCTAATCAGAGAGGTTGATCGTCCTTGCTTGTCCCGGCTGATCGACCTTTACCTACCGAGTTGGACAGCGACGCTCCCTCGCGCACCATCTGAACGAGACTTATTATTGTCGAGTCGGGCCTGCCGGTGTTATCTCTCCCCGACCACCAACGATTTATGATGCTCTCTCTCTCTCTCCAGCCGTTCTCTCGTCAGCAAGAATGACCATCCTCGCTTGCAGAGAATGACGGCTCACTGGATGGTCCTCCGGGTGGGAAGAAAGCCGACTCGAGGAAGCAAAGAGGGGGCGAGTTGTCCTCTCAAAACGCGACCCTGGCTTCCACTTTATAGGCAAATAGCTGGCCTCTCTAGCATCTAACCAGATTCGTTCCGCCAATTCTTTCTTTCTTTCTCGATCAGAAGACCCACAGTACTTTCAGATTCCTAAACAATCAGCCTTCTAACTCAAAGCCTAATCTCCTCTCTCTCTCTCTCTCTCTCTCTCTCTCTCTCTCTCTGTGCCTCCTCTCTATACGAGAAGGCAGCACTCCGGCCGCAGCCTCGGTGGAAGGTGGACTGCAAGTGATGCTCACAGATCTCTTTCCCCGTTCTTTCCGTTGTTTCTCCATGGAGACCACAACGGTGGCGTCAGATTGAGATCCTCATTCCAGTGGATTCTCGGTCGCTATTTCCTTCCGTGCGCCCCCCCGCCCCCCCCGTCCGTTCCCCCTCTCAAAGACCGTTCCTCTTATTTTCTTGAGAGCGACGTCGTGACTCTTGATCCCGCGAGCAGTCTCGCCGGAGTTCCTCAGCACCTAGTCGACCCTCTTAACATTCAGTGGAGAAGAAGACGGAGGTAATTTCATCGAAAATCTAAACCCTTCGTTCAATAGTTGCCACCATTATCTCCATCTGTTCTAAAATGGAACATGATGGAAGCCCTGGTTCGATTGGGTAGAGAGGTAAAGAGGTTAGGATCGTCTGCCGGAAATTGAGAGAGACCCAAAAGAACTTTATCTCCCCTAGTGCGCTTAGCATGGTCTTCCCCGGTAGAGAGTGAGTGGCAGGAGAGTTGGCAGGCCCCAGATGCCACCCAGCATCTCACATCTTGCAACCTCAATAATTGCTGGTATCTTACACTCGTTCTTATTTACAGAGTGTTTATGGCTATTGTACGGACATTATAGAGAGAGAGAGAGAGGGACAGACGAGTAGAATCAGTAAATAGTCGGTGTCATGTCTTGAGAGTGAGAGAAAGAGAGACGAAGAAGGCAGGGAGGGAGGAGGTGGGGACGACTACCCTCACAGGTAACACTCAGTCTTTGTTCCAGTCGTTCAATTACCCCACCCCTTTCCTCCATACTATATTTATGACTCCTCGCCTCCCCTCCATATCTAGCTCACTCCATCGACCCATCGCGCAGTATCTCTTCCACCTTTCAACTTCCGGCGGCCTCTCTTCTCCGCCCTCACCCAGCAGGCAGTATTCGCCGGTGACCAACAGCGCGGTGCGATGGCGGACTCGGCGTCGGCGAGGCCGAAGAGGACGTGCAGCATGCCGGAGAGAGTGCAGCTGCACGTTTCCATGCTGGCCCTGCAGTTCGGCTACGCCGGCTTCCACATCGTCTCGCGGGCGGCCCTCAACATGGGGATAAGCAAGCTGGTTTTCCCCGTCTACCGCAACATCATCGCTCTCATCCTCCTCGTCCCCTTTGCCTACTTCCTCGAGAAGTAAGGAAGGCCGCCTCTCTCTCTCTCTCTCTCTCTCTCTCTCTCTCTCTCTCTCTCTCTCTCTTCCACTGATTGGGATCGCCGTCGTTTATGTATTCTTATGGCCAAGTTTTCACATTCGCATGCAGGAAGGACCGGCCGGCGATTACGCTCTCCTTTCTGGTCCAGTTTTTCTTCTTGGCCCTCTGTGGGTCAGTGTTGACGAGCTACATGAATCACTACAGCTATTCTCGTTGATTTATACTGACGAGTTGGTTCTACTCATCTCTTGCGGCAGGATAACTGCTAACCAGGGCTTCTACCTCCTTGGATTGGATAACACCTCCCCCACCTTCGCCTCTGCCATACAGAACTCCGTCCCCGCCATAACCTTCCTCATGGCCGCCATTCTCAGGCACTGCTGCGATCATCTTCCTCCTCAGGCTTTTACTTTTTACATCTGATTCCTTCATTATAACTGTAAAAACCCCTCCCTCTCGTTGTCTACGGATGATCTTTTTCATAAGAATTTTTGGCGGGTTTGGAAGCAGGATAGAGAAGGTGAGGCTCAACAGAAGGGACGGCATCGCCAAGGTCCTGGGTACCCTGGCCTGCGTGGGCGGCGCATCGGTGATCACCTTGTTCAAGGGGCCGACCATCTTCGGCCCGTCTCGCCTGACGCTACCAGCGGCGCCGGTGGCGGGAGCACACACCTCGCCTCTATGGCTGGGCGACGCCAGCGGGAAGAACTGGACGTTGGGCTGCCTCTTCCTCATCGGGCACTGCCTATCGTGGTCGGGGTGGCTCGTTCTGCAGGCCCCAGTCTTGAAAAAGTACCCCGCCCGGCTCTCCGTCACCTCCTACACTTGCTTCTTCGGGGTCATCCAGTTCCTCATCATCGCCGCCTTCGTCGAGAGGGACCTCGCCTCCTGGACCTTCCACTCCGGCGGCGAGGTCTTCACCATCCTCTACGCGGTAATCGACCTCTTCTCCTGAGATTGACGATTCCTACAGCCGTGGTGGGTGAGCACGATGAAGGAAACAGCTGAGGATGGGGGAGGCCCTTTCGGCCTCCTCCTCCTCTCTCCTTTCGAGCTTCCTTTTTCGCTTCTCTCTGCCTCTCCTACGCAGGGAACCCACAGAGTTGTTGCAGAAATAGCATAAGCTATTGAATTCATAAACACTCCGTCTCTTTTACGTGATTATTTTCCAAGATTTAATCATTTGGACGCGCAGGGATTCGTTGCCTCCGGGATCGCCTTCGCAGTGCAGATATGGTGCATCGACAGGGGCGGCCCCGTATTCGTCGCGGTGTACCAGCCAGTCCAGACCCTCGTCGTCGCCATCATGGCCTCCATCGCCCTGGGCGAGGAGTTCTATCTCGGAGGGTAGGTTCCTTCTCCCCTGCGGACGGAGTCATCCTCTCCTTCTCACGCTAAAACCTTACAGCCTCGTTGAATCCTCCCATGGGTTCCAGGATCATCGGAGCAGTTCTGATAGTGGCCGGGCTCTACATGGTTCTCTGGGGCAAGAGCCAAGAGAGGGCGTTCGATGCCAAGGAGAAGACAAAGACGATCGCCCACAGCTCCGATCACGACGGCCACACAGCCGCGACGCCGACGTCTTCCAATGGTTCCTCCCTGACCCAGCCGCTGCTGCCGTCCCCTCCGCTGGAGAACGTTTAAGGCGTCGGTGCCGGTGGGTCGTAGTATCCCAAGAATATCTCCATGAGAGTCTGTCTAGAAGAGGACTGTCGCATATCTAGAGAGTCTGAGAGTGTATCCAACGGTTGTGGGCAGCCCACCACTTCTCCTTCAAAGGGAGATGGAGTCGTTTCTGTTTGCCCTAGCTTCTTCCTCGGATTGTAGCCCCAAAGAGCGACCTTTGAGGTGGGTTCCCCTCCCTTTGATTGAAAAGATATCATCTCTTGGCCTGCACTAAAGCGAAACCCTCCGTGAGGAAGAAAACGGCGAACCCAGACGAGAGAAGGGTAGACGACCACTCATTGCGCTCTCTCCGCCGCCTCTCCGTCCTGTCCTCGCTCGTCTACGGGGGCGGTGGCTCGACCCCCTTGGCGCGAGAATCTTCCCCCCGCTGCCCTAAATGTATCCACCAGTAACAGCCAAACAGAAGACGACTGGGGAAGAAGACGACGGGAGACAGAAACGTGGAACAACGCAGAGAAGCTCGCAAGAACACGATCGAACTTAAAATAACGTGGATCCGGCGACAAGGGGACCTAAATCGCCGGAAGTCAAACTGGTCCCCCCTCTCTCTCTCTCTTCCCCCAAGGTAGCAAGTCCAAGTAAGATCTAACTCTACGCCGCAGCCATCTCCACGTGCTTGTCCCCTTCCTTTTGTCTCTCTCAAGCCAATGCAAACATGCATGGGTGGGTCAACCGGCCGGGCTGAGCTAGATAGGATCAGACCCATTCTAGGCCGCTGCCCACTTGCCCATGTTGATCAGGGAAACCACGTTAACCACGAATATGAGTGAGAGTGGGTTGCATGGTTACTTTATTTTTCTAATCAACGATTGACTATTCCAACAAGCCACGTCCTGTCTAAGTCAACCAACAATCTTTTGAAGGGTGGTCGTGGACTGTGATCATGAGTTAAGGTCATAAAGTCTTTCAACTTGGAGCGAATTAATTCCATTTTTATAGCCGCATTTTTTAGTATTTTTGAAATAAACAAGGGACTGTTCTTACGAATATCACACCCAATATTTAAAGAAAAAAACACTGAAAATACTTACTATGGGAAATGAGAGCTCAATCGCCACTCTTAGCTCACAAGGTTGTGAAACCACATCATCACGTTGACTTTGTAAAAATATGATTATGATTGTTATTATTGCACGATATAATCAGTACGCCATCTGATTGTGGGCCATTCACACAGCCAATTGTTGGTTTTCTGGGACCTCCGCACAAACCCGGCTTATCCATTCAGTTTGTTCGTGAATTTCTGTGGTTCTCTGCAAGTTTTACGTCATAAAAATCTTCTCTGATTAGTATCAAGCAACAAGCACGTGAAGAGAGGGATGGAGGTTTAGCTTGTTTGTCGAAAATTGGTAGGCCCATTTTGATAGTTGTGGAGATGGGCCTGGACGGCCCAATTGCAAGTGGCGAACCAACGGAACCCATTTCAGGCTTGGGATGATGTCACATAGGTTAGACTTGGTATGATGTGATCGTGACCGACGCGTGGGCTCCCCTGACTGTTGGATATCTTTGCACCCAGATTAGATCCGGTCACTGATATCTGGTCTGGTGTGACCTCTCGCGATCGAATCATTAACTGGTTCCCCTTCAAGCGGAGTTCTTTCCTATTTGGGGCTAGACTGTGCTGAAACATTGTTTTCAGCCCATCAACAGGGCAAGCGTGTCAGAGCTGGGCCTACGAACACCACCGAATATGAGTTGGATGGCATGCGCAAGATGATGAGATGTCCGACCGCCAAGTACTATGATGATGGAGGACGGGTGTGGGCACATGCCAGGTGTCATCTCATGCATCCACATGTTCTTTCTCTCCCTCTGTCTCTCTCCAAGCTCTCTCTCTCTCTCTCTCTCTCTAAACTCTAGTGTCGTGGGACCCAGGAGATGCCCGGTAGAGGATAGCATGGCTGCCATGTGGATTGAGGGATCTCGAGTGCCATCCATGCTCGTAGGGTAGCAACTAGACAGAAGGGAGGAATCGATTCGACTGATTCCCCTAAATCCGCGTTTGGCATGGAGGTAGGTACCGACCGACACTTTGTAGATGTCATAAAAACATATTAATGATAAGAAAACCATCCTTATTTGATCTCTCTCTCTCTCTCTCTCTCTCTCTCTCTCTCTCTCTCTCTCTCTCTCTCTCTCTCTCTCTCTCTCTCTCTCTCTCTCTCTCTCTCTCTCTCTCTCGCTCTCACTCACTCACTCACTCACTCACTCACTCACACACGCACACACACACAGAACAAGTGCTTTCCAAAGACATCTTCAAATCGTCCTCACACGCTGGAGAGAGCGAGAGAGAGAATCTGCTTATAGTTTGATAAATAAATTCATCCGATGATAAAAAAGTAAGCGATAATATCTTCATATTCATAAAAATCGAGTTTTTCTTGCATATATGTCCATCTTTCCACTCTAGGTAGACCATAGGATGAAGGTTGTGGAAAATTAAGTGGCCTCTAGAGAACATAGGGGTTTACTCTCTTCCTAATATTCTCTTGACGAGTCTTGACTTATTGAATTAAGAGGAATTTCGTGAGATAAAACCACCAAGTAGTCCTTTAGCCATATCCTCACACATTTATGAGAGAGAGAGAGAGAGAGAGAGAGAGAGAGGAAGGCTATCAAATGACTCATACCGCTTAGGATAATTAGGAGCGTTGACATAAAGGGTAAGCACAATTCTTAGCATTGGGCTTTAAAACCAAGTCTAAACATAGAGGATAGGTATGGCCTCCTGCATCATACCGGCATGTGGTTGTTCCTAATTAGATGTATTAAAATTAATGAAATATATAAATTATTCAACTACTTGAAGATGTTTTATTCATAAAACATAGTTGCCACCTGCTGAGTAATAAATTAGAGCTAATTATGTTGGTTAACAACATTCTGTGATCCAAATCCTGCTTTGAAGGGGGCATTAAAGAAAGGGAACATCTTTCTAGTTAGAAACATGGGAGGAAGACGTGTGGAATGGTGCATCTGTGCAACGAAAAAAAAATAAAAGGACCATTAGCGGTCTCGTTGTGCTAAGTTCTTGCTTTTAGGGGGAAAGTGAATTCTGCTCCGAGCTGGTTTAGTCTACTCTACTGACCTTAAGGTGACACGAAAGTCACAGAGAGAGAGAGAGAGAGAGAGAGAGAGAGAGAGAAGGTGTGCGTGTGGAAAGGGAAGACGGGTTATAAGAGCGGGGAGCAAGCCGCAGATCGCCGCACTGACTCCTCTTCTGACAGCGAGATTCTCAAACTCCAGATTGCATAGAGTCAGCGAAGGCAACCGGCGTTCAGACAGGCCCGCTGATAGGAAGACATGGACGAAGACCACCGCTTCGCCCTTGTCCCGCCATCTCCCTTTTCCCTCAATGGCACCACCGACTGGGCTTTCTTCCCCCAAGTCCAGGTAGAACTTTCTCTTTCTCTCTCTCTCCCCGTTCGCATTTCCCTTCCGTTGGTCTTAACTAGTGGTGTAATCGGAGGGACTGCCTCTGCGTGTGACTGTTTCAGATGGCGGAGGAAGAGGAAAGGTGGGGAGAAGAGAGAGTGGAGGAGGTGAGGCAGGCACTGCTGTACGCTACGTTGGAGCTGGAGTCGACCCGGCAAGCCGCCCAGGGGCAGATCCAGCGCATGGAGTGCGACTTGGCCCGCCTCCGCGACCTCCTCGGCACCGCCACGAGAGAACGGGACGAGGCCCGGGAGCAGGCCCGCCACGCCCTCCTCCTCCGGCACAGCGGCGGCACAGCGGCGAACGAGAGTCCTCCGGCCAACGCCCATCAATACGCCGCCACCGCCCGATTCCTCCAGCCGGAGTTCAGCCATGCAGGCGCGGGGTTTGGGTTGTCGCCGTCGTCGTCCTCGCTGTCCTCCGATGACAGCAGCTTGGCCGTCTCCTCCACTCCACCGAGGCCGTCGGCGGGAGAAGTAGAGCTATTCGAACTGGTTCCGGCGGGAAGACTGCCGGAGAAGGGGCGGTTGTTGGAGGCGGTGATGAAGGCGGGACCGCTCCTCCACAACGTGATGCTGGCGGGTCCGCTGCCCAAATGGCAGCACCCCCCGCCGCCTCTTGGGAGCTTGGGAATTCCCCCCTTCTCCGTGACAACGAACGGCGCCGACGCCATGGCTACGGCGGGGGAGGATTTGAAGTCACAACTAGGGCAACCACAGGGGCCCTGCAACGGGAGGAAGAGAGACCTTGAAGGAGAGGAGGGCATGGTGATGAAGGCGTTGTCGGAGGCTAGAGGACAGTCTCCACCTTCTTCCTCTTTCTCTCCGAGGAACGGCAGCCGCGGCAAGCACCGGAAGACTGGCCCTTTCCTCTTCCATTGACTCTCTTCCTCTCTCGTTTGGACATTTCGCAGCGTTGTAGCAGCATTCTCTCGATAGCAATAGTCAACCCATGCTCCTGTCTCTGCGCTGCGGCCTGAGGGATGAATCCCAACGCAATGACGAGGGAGAGGTCTCCAAGGCTTCCCACTGTCCGCAACAGAGATACTCCCCGAACTCCCCATCGCTTCCCTTCCAAGTTTCCTCTCTGCTTCCAAACCCATCCTGAAGAAAGCAGATCCCCGACTTTTAGAGAGGGAGAGAGAGAGATGATTAGGCTTAGTGGGCCTTGTTGGATTTTGTGATCCAGCGTAATGGGTTGACGGAGACGTCACTGGGTCCAGATGGAGGAGTGAAAAAGGCCCGAAGCATGAAAGGCTATTTCTGTTATCGACCTATCTCAGGCTTGGTCTCGTGGTATTCTCAAGTTGAAAATTGGGCACCTAGAAGGCCACATACAGAGAGAGAGAGAGAGAGAGAGAGAGAGAGAGAGAGATGAAAGGCTATTTCTGTTATCGACCTATCTCGGGCATGGCCTCGTGGAATTTCTAAGTTGAAAATTTGGCACCTAGAAGGCAGGATACAGAGTGAGAGAGAGAGAGAGTTGTGGGCCGCCCACAATTGGGCAGAGGGGGATAGATAGACCCAGAGAGAGAGAGGAGAGGGGGGGGGAGAGAGAGAGAGAGAGAGAATTGTGGACCGCCCACAATTGGGCAGAGGGAAAGCAGTATTGATAGAGTGATTGATGGAGGTAGAGATAGATGGATAGATTGAGAGAGAGAGAGAGAGAGAGTTTGGCGGACACGACTGAGAAATGAGGCGCCAGCATGAGGACTGTTGACCTTTTCAGGAGAAGGTGAAGTGTCGGAGGATCCGACGTGCTTTCGTCTCCCCTCTCCCTGGCCTTCTTGAAGGGCCGGCTTTGAGCAAAATCAAGTGGAATCGGCTTCGTCAAGAATAGGGCAGGTGATCTCGATGCGGTTGACAGAGATCTTTCTTACACGAGAATGGTACGACAGTGTTCCCCATGATTGACGCAATCTAATTCGGTTGACCTTCCTCACCGTGAAGTTGACTATCACCGATAATGACTCCCTCGTTGATCGTGTTGTTTTAGTAGTCAACTGCATGAACGGCGCCTCCACTGAGTCACCACTTTTGTAAACACTCCCAATTTGATACTCCACGGTATTGACTCATCACGAGCTCGCAACATTCGCATCCACGTGCGGTTGACTACCCGAACCTCGAGAAGTCAACGGAGGTTGGATTGTGACCAAACTCGGAGGAGCTCCGTCGGCGACTTCGACTGTTAGGCGGCCCGTTTTCACTCATCTAGAAGGCGCGATGACATCTGCGAGGAGAGGGAGAGCCTCTCTTCTTACCTTTAACTTTCTCGCTTCTCTCTTTCTCTCTTTCTCTCTTACTCTCAGCCTCGGCCACGAGGGGGGAACAGGGTGAAGGCCTTCCTCTCGATGGGTGGAGGGAAACCACCGGTGCACTCCCTGCCGCCGCCTCCGCCGCCTTTTGGGCCTAGGCAGCCTCCTGCGCTGCACGGTGAGGCCGTCCGGTAACGACCGTCACGCTTCTTAGGCCCGTCCCACTGCGCCGCTCGTAGCCGTAGCCTGCGGCATCTGGTGCAACTACGGACAGCTGTCTTCATCGCTCTGCCGCTGCGTCGTCCCCACATGTCTAGTTCCTCTAGATTCACCCAACCTTCATAGGCACTGGACTCTCTCTCTCTCTGTGTCGCTGTCCTGCTCTCTCTCTCTCTGTCGCTGTCTTCCAGTCCCTCTCTCTATCTATCTAGTCATCTGCGGCGGTTTCTGGCGTCCTCATGAGGCCATCATTTCTCATCTCCCCCACAACCCGTCAACTGGAGTCAACGAAGGCCCGTACGCTTCCTGGTTCGACAGAGACGGAAAAATAAATCTCGAATCATTTGACTGATTAACCTAATGATAATATATTTATTTTACGGTAATATTTAAATTCTCAACTCGTCGTCGTCTTCTGTATCGTCTCTCTCTCTCTCTCTCTGTCTCTTTCTCTCATTAGGTCACTGGCAGCCAGGCGCATTGACTCCGCTAGAAATGACGTCATATACCCGATTTGGTGTTTGCGATGAAACCAGGAGCATGAGGTTGGGAGAACGTGTTAGAACAGTGACGCATTAAATGATACCGATAATTGCCGTGGTTATTAACTAGATGCTGCTATTTTTGGTAATTATAACTAGTTTTTGGTTGGAGGAGAAAACCACTGATGAACATAAGGAACCGATATAGTCCGAGAGATCATAGCTGGGGAGAAATCCGGTCAATAGATATAATGCCGACAAGAATGGATGACAGTTAGTGCGCGGCAGGAAGAATTTCAGAGGCATATGCAGGAAATTCTACAGCTTTTGCTTCCCTCTGCAACCTCAAGGGTGGGCGTGGGGGGAGGTTCTTGAGCAGGGTTTCGGGCTGTACAGAAAACGAGGAGGACTAAGGTCAAGAGCTCGAGCTGCCTGAGCTGTCGTGACATGGCGCCGTCGAGTGGATTATGACCCGAGCTCCGGACGTGAGCCTGCAGGAGAAAATCGGACGAGACCTCAATCCTAAGCGGGAGGAAGAAGACGACTGGAACTGGACTTTGAGGAGAAGAGATGAGGGGGGACTCAACTTTCTTCGATCTTGATGATCTTCTCCTTCTCTTCCCGGAAGGATTCCGTCCTCGGGGAGGGGCATTCGGCGGTGGGAGAAGGCTCTGTGAATCTCTTGCTGGTCCTCCTGGAGGAGACGCAGTCCGGCCCAGCTGAGGAGATCCTCCGGCCGTCGGGAGCTGTAGGGGACTTCGTCGTCGTCTCGTTCTTCGTCTGCTTGGCGGCGGAGGTCTTCGACGTTCTGTGCAGGCACCTTGAGATGGTCGAGTCTGCCGGCTTCTCCTTGTTCCCCGCCGGATCGGGTGACTTGCAGTTCCTGAATGACGGGAATGGAGTTGCAGAGAGAGAGGAAGAGGATTCAGCGCAGGGAGGGGGATGGAAAGATGAGTACCTCTCTGCGTTGTACGAGGACGAGCGCTTGAGAGTGGGCACGAATTTCTCTTCGCCTTCCTTGCGCCTCTTTGTCTCGATCAAGCTCCCGCTGAAGTACTCCTTCTCTTCCATCCTCATCACCGCCGCCCCCATTCTTGGATTCTCCGACAGGCAATCGAGCTCCCCCAGCGTCCTCGAGCTTGAGAACACCGGCGACGGGAACTTCACCTGGGAGATCCTGGGTTTGTAGGGGGAGACGATGCCGATGCCATAGTTGTCCTTGACGGAGATGGACCCGCAGGTGATCAGCTGCATCAGCACGTCTGTGGCCTTCAGCTTGGCGGCGGCTTGCAGAGGGACCTCTTCTTCCACCATCCTGAAGCTGCTCGTTTTCCTCGCGTCGGCTCTGATTAGGGATTCCAAGGTCTCCGTCTTCCCCCCGGAGGACGATGCGCTCGAGGATGTCGGAGGGGGGGAGATCTCGTCGGCGCTGATCTCTGAGCTCTCTTTCGAAATCACAGTCCGGATCCGGCGGCTCCCATCGAACTTGAGCTCGAAGGAGGGCTCATCAGTGGAGACGCCTCTGGTGCGGGTGGGAGGCGCCGCCGGCCGTCCCTTCCGAGCTCCGGCGACCCTGTCGTCGGTCTGCGTAGACGCATTCAAAGCTCCGAGGTCCTTGTCGATGCGAAACTCCGCCGGACCAGGGGAGGCGCCGCCGCAGCCCCACGGAGAATTCCCCTGCGACTCTGGCGAGATGTTCCTCGAACAGCTCGGTTGGCGCAGTGTGGGGGAAAGGTCACCGCCGTCTGGTGCCGGGGTCGGCGGCGGCGGCGGCGGCGCCCTCCGCCGCGGAGGCTTCACCTCTTTGAGAACCACTTCAGGGCAGGTCGGCGAGCCATCTTGGCTCGACGGCGTCGGAGAGCCTTGCTGCAGATGCTTTGGGGTCTTCGGCCAGCCGGAGTTGGAGTTTTGATGCGGCCGATCTGAACAGCACCGAGGAAGAACGGGAAACTAGGTTTCGTATCGTCGTGTTGATGAACATCAATCTGTGATCCGAAGCTCTGGCCGAAGAATTACCTGAAGGGGATGCATTCAAGATCTCCGAACCCTTGAGGACGTACTCGTTGCCTTGGGCGGGGAGAATCAGATCGTCTTCCGAGAGATCATGCCACACGAAACCGCTCTTGTAGCTCCTGAAATCATCCCCGGCAGAAATTCAAGCGACATTAATGGAGAAATCGAGGGGAATTATGTTCCGGCGATTACCTCTTGCAAGACCAGGAATACATCGCGGCCATGCCCTTTCCCCTCAGCGCATTCAGCCTGTTGATCACATCTACACAAAGAACCAGAACGAAATCAGAGATCTCTCATCATCTCCCTGAAGAACACCGACAGCAGAGCCGCCTGCAATCTGACCTCTCAGGTAGAGGCCCTCCGGAGAAGAAGGAACCTCGATGAAATGGGGATGCTCCAGATGCATGTTCCTGCACAGGTAATAAACCACCGGGATCCTCCTCCCCTCCCGTCGCTGCTCCTTCTGCTGCTGCTGCTGCTCATGCTTCGGCGGCGGCGGCGGCGGCGGCTCTGTTCGTACCCTCCTCGTCCTCCCCTCCATCGCCAAGCTCTTCGGATCGGAAGTGAATCGGAGCAAGGAGAGGGAACAGGGGGAAGCCGGACTTCTACGGATGGGGTCGTCGTCCCTCTGCGGGACGAAGCATTAAACCTGCTCTGAGCTGGTGGCAGAGAGGGTCAGGGTTAGAGGATCCCGGGCATTGATGAAGGAAGGAGAAGGGAATGAACCAACAGTCGGTGAAGAATTACCAGTCGCCGACATTATCTAAATAGCCCTCCTCCTAAGCAAGGTCTAAAAGATGGCACCAACTGGACATTTCCATCCTCTCTCTCTCTCTCTAGAGGGCTGGACAGAAGAGGAACACCACCACGTGCAGTACGGCCGCCGCTAGGGAGGAGGGCCATTGGGGGGTTCCTGCTCCGCCACTGTTGAGGCGTCGAACTTGGCTGGCAGCCGCTGCGCCGCCGTGGGTTTCGGGCCCCAGGCCGGCTCTGTGTCGGCGCGCAGCGTAGCAGCCACTGCACGGCACCAGCTGCGTCGGAGAAGGCAGCGCCGGTGCATTAAGGGCGGAACTGGGGGTGAGGGGGAGATCGGACGATGGTCCCTCTCCATGCCTGTTGCATTAAACTACTCGTGGTGGGACTGTGCGCTGCCTCAGCTCCCATCTCGCAGTTATTACCCAATTGGAAGCAACAGAGGGAAACGACGAGCACAAGCGGCCGGAGCCACCGCCGCGGCCATCTCTCCTCCGCTCGGCAACTCTCGGCGGCGAGCCCAGTCCCGCCGCTACCCGGCGGCGCCACCGACGGGGCTGAGTAGTTGACACCGCTAAAGGCGACAGATCCAGTCTGCCCAGTTTGACTCCCCACGCCAGAGGGCTCGCCTTTTCACGGGGGGGGGTCGTCCTTCGCGGGGACTTCTAGCTGTCGATACGACGCCGCAACGGGTGGCAGCTAAGATTCCGCGCCACCGTGGCCGTTCCTCCTCCGGCGATTGGTTCTCGGAGACGTTCAAATCCTCTCACCGTGTTTAAGACTACCTGTTTGTTGAAAGTACCACGTTATATATTCCGTCAGCTGGGGGTAGCTATAAAATCCACTCCGGGGGAGCAGCCCGGCATGTGCCCGGGCGTCCGGTCGCCGGAGAGGCGCCGCCCCGCCTCTGACAAGGTCATTCTTTAAGATGTGCCCCGCCGCCCGAGGAAACTCCTCAAAGTCAAAGTTCCACGTGCGTGGGGCGCGGTTGACTCTTGTCCCGCCGGAGCGCACTCCTCGGCGTGGCAACGCCTGCCGCACGCCTCTGCCGCTGCCGGTGGAAAGCGGCGCACGGTGGACGACGGCATAATGAGGGCCACCGTGCTGCCGCCGGCGCGTGCGGCGGCAAGGCGATCATCATCGCAACGCCACCGTCGCGGGCACTGGCGCGCGCCTTTCCACCGCGTGTTCTCTCAAGGCCCTACCTTTGGCTTGCTCTCCGACTTTATTCTGCATGAAAAAGCTCATGAATTGTAAAATAAATAAAGGATAATTATTTATTATCATTATGCCCAATTTATCTACGAGACTGAATCGTTAACCCCCCACGGGTAGTTTTTTAAAAACCTTAAAATTTGTAAAAATCAGAGAAAAGTTCGAAAGAGATGGCCTTGGGTTTGACGTAGAACCGTGTAGTCGAGGAGTTTGAAGTGGGTGGGATCCAGCTCCAAGCCTGTTTTAGCAGGCACGGGCCCACTGGGACTTGAGAAAAGTCAATTGTAAAAATCAGGAGATAAACTACGATCATCAGCAGGGTGCAGGAAATGCCCCAGTTTTTTGATATTTGGGAGAGTTGGGGTCCTCATCGTCATTTAGGACTTTTGCAGGAGCTGCACTGTGTTATCGTTCACTTCTTCTCTTTCTCCTATCTCGAAATTCTACGAAGAGTAAGCCTTCAGCTTGGCTGCCCATTGGTTGCCGGCGGTTGACCCGGTGCACCTCGCCGGACCAGCGTTGGCAGGGGGTGACGGCTGGTGGCCTGCCCAGTCTCCGCCTCTTCGAGTCCAGGTCTGGTCTGTGGGAGCCCACCTGACTTCTTCCTTGTTTCAGAAGGAGAAGGCCCGGTGGGGGGGATCTCTTCTCCAGTGATGCTCCGCCGTGGGTTGACCCCGCGGGGAGCTCGGTTCTTTGCCGGCGGGAGGAAGCGGGGAGACTTGGCTTGTTTTCCCGATCGCTCGCATCTCCCTGTGTTCCTGCATGGCGGCTGCAAAAGGCTCAGCGCGGAGGACGATTCCAGCCTTTTCGAAATTTGTCACCTAACGACAAATCTACTCGAAAGAGAATGAAATCAATGGAAAATGAGGAAATAGAAAACGGGGCGACTGTGATGCCTTCGTGCCCGGAATCGCCGGACATCAAATGCGCTCCGCCCTCCAACTCTCTCTCTCTCTCTCTCTCTCTCTCTCTTCTCTCTCTCACCCATGATTCTCGCCTGCTCTCTCGTTCCCCCACCCCCTCCTTCGTCCATCGTCTGCAACGACCACCCAATTCTGAGTTTTCGTTCACCATCCCCGTTTCCTCCTGAATTTCCAAGCTCGAGGGAGCAATGCCATGCCGTCGACTCCGGTGAAGCGCGAGATGGGGACGGCTGGTACAGCTTCCCTTGTCTTCCTCAGTGCAGTCGTGATCCTTCTATCAGCGCATGTGCCAGTGGCGAGGTGCCAGGATGACGACTACAACGCGGAAGGTGGTCATGCCAACAACGCAGGGGTGAACCAATTCATCACGGGAGTCATCTACAACAAACTCTCGAACCTCACGGGCATATTCGCCTCCGACATCGGCAATCGTTTGGGATTCTGCATCAAGGATACGTACGCCATGGGATCATTGACTTTTTCTTACGTTTGATCGGGTTGCGCGCGGTGGGGGTTGGATTCTTCTCGCTCATAATGCGCCAACCTGTGTTTCAGGGACAACGATTGGAACGGAGCATTCAATTTCTCTTCAGATTTAGGGTTCTTAGCCGATTGCATCAAGCAAACAAGAGGTACCAAGAGGTCTTCCTTTGTTTTCTCGTTGTAGCCAATGGCACTGAGCAAGCTAACTTAACATGATTATCTACCTTGCGGAAAATTTCTAGCACCATGATCGTAAGCAAGGATTAATGACGACTAGTTGGCTTGCAACACACGTCACAAGCGTCATAATCCCCGATGAACGATCATTCAACCCTCAAAATCATTGTAAATAGCAGGTTTCCATGAAAATATGTGGTCTTGTTCGCCAAATTAGGTCATAATCACAGAATAAGCAACCACTTGTTGGCTAATTTTCAGTGTTCGGAGAGGAGATAATAATGAAGGTTTCCGTCCATGATAGTAGACAGCCAGATAACACATACAGGCTGTTTTAACCTCTAAGCATTGCCAGGAAGATGACATAGGCAAAGGCAGTAAGTCTAAGATCATGCGGTCATTCAGAAATATAATCAAAGATAATTGATATCTGCAGGGCTTTCGTAATTCCTGTCCGAAGGGTGTCTATCCAGGACCTGGTCTAGTTTAGATCTTGATTCTATTCCAATTGTTACTTTTTTATTCGGTAAATAATGCAAAGGATATATTGTATTGCGAATCATGATCAAGAGGAAGACTTGGGTCTCACTGAGAATTCATTCTACGCAATATGCTCAATCGATCGAAATGCCAGCATCTTAGCTTCGAACTGATCTGAAATTTGCGTTTGACTTGGTTCCAGGGGAGCTCATGCAGAGGGTATGCACTGCGGCAGAGATCAAATTCTATTTCACCGGCTTCTATGAAAACGGCGGCAAGAGTAATTACCTGAAGCCCAACAAGAACTGCAATTTGACCTCGTGGGCGTCTGGATGCGAGCCCGGATGGGCATGCAGTGTGGGGATAGATCATAAGATCGACCTTTATTCCAAGACCATGCCTTCTAGGGTTCTCGACTGCCATCCCTGCTGCGCGGGCTTCTTTTGTCCTCGCGGCATAACCTGCATGATACGTAAGCTTTGGCTTCACCTCGCTTCATTTTATAAACATTCGCCATGAATAATATCACCTTCTTTCATGTCCGTGTTAAAATATTTCTGGTGATCTGATTTTGATTCAAAAAAATCCTCGAAACCCAATAAACAGAGGTCACCGTATACCTCTGTTGAGAAAATCTTCAAATCACAGCCCGGGTGATCGGGAAGAATTTCTGAGGTTTCCCTACTTATAAAGATGAATCTATCATCATTTTATGTTTATAATTAGTTTCCAATCATTACTTAAATTCCCTTGAGATGTGCAACATGAAGTGCGCATCTTTATCTCGCGTTCGATGGCCTGAAAGATGTTTCTTGCTCTTGCATCCTATTTTTCTTTCGTCTCGGATGAAGCCTGCCCCTTGGGTGCCTACTGCCCACTCTCAAAACTCAACAAGACGACCGGCATGTGTGACCCGTGAGTAATTTCTGCAGGTTCATCTCCCTGCTATTTTTACCATCTGTTTCTGCCCTGAAAGCTTTGGCCTCTCTGCTTTTCCCAATTCAGATACCATTACCAGCTACCTCCTGGGCGGCCGAACCACACGTGTGGGGGAGCAGACCTTTGGGCGGATGTCGGCAGCAGCAGCGAGCTATTCTGCCCGGCGGGATTCTACTGCCCAAGCACCACGCGAAAGGTTCCCTGTGGCAGTGGGTATTGTTTCTCATCCCGAAAGTCAACGCCATATTATCATATTACTTTGTCTGGCTTCTTCGCCGCAAGGAGATTTTCCAGAGCAGCAACTGTGAATGTCCACAAACATCGTGGTGTCAGATAATTTTTTTTTTTGACCAAATTGCGTTACAGCTGTCGGGTAGTATTGTTTTCGAGATGCAAGACGTCGTTCTGCATTTATTTTTTAAAAAAAAAAGGATGTGATCTGAAATTATTGTTCTTCATATATGACGATACTTGTTTATGGAAAATTTTCAGGCATTACTGCAGGCTGGGTTCTACCTCTCAGAAAAGTAAGTGACACCTAATCCTGATTTGACTTTGAACTGATAAATAGTGGGTGGTATCTACAGCCAGCAAGAACTGATCTTTTGACTTTGAAAGTGAATGTTAATTGATGAAGTTGACTTCGTGCTGTTCATGATTTGTGGGGAAATATAGATGACCGAACATCAAAGATATCTGCTTATGATCTACTTCATTCTATTAGAGAAACCCGTGATCTATCAATCTTACAGATGTAATTATCAACTTGACATGGATTGTGCCATACCTTAATTGTCATCATCTTCCCATAAAAAATGGAATGGAGTGGATATAAACTCCTCCAAAGAAATCGACCTCTAGAATACCTGGATCATTGAGCATGCAGATCTCTCAGTTCATTTTAAGTTGGAGAGTTGGATAGTAACTTTTTCTGACATCCTCTGAGCATTTGCAGGATGCTTCAAGAAGAGTTCATGTGCGCCGAGATCATCAAATCAAGATATCACCCTTTTTGGAGTGCTGCTCATCGTAAGTAATTGTGCTTTTTATTTGGGGTTTGAATTTAGATTTTTTAACCACGACGAACCCTGCCTGATCTTTGTTTTTCTCTGTTGGGTTAACTGGGGTCGTAATTCTGACACCGGAGCATTTATAAATCGATAGGTTTTTGTGATCCATGCTTGATATTTTGGTAGTACTCTCAGGGAAAGTTTCTCGTCAAACACCCCCAGAATCTCCCACCTTAGGTGTAACTTTACGGATATAGTCTAACTACGATGCATGGAACTTGGCGCTCTTCTCTGCGTCCGGTAGATCGCCCTGGGTTTGCTGCTGCTGATCATCTACAACTTCTCCGATCAAATTCTTACGAGCCGCGAGAGGCAGCAAGCCAAGTCCCGGGAGGCTGCGGCGAGAAGCGCAAGGGAAACTGCGCAGGCGCGGGAGAGGTGGAAGGCCGCGAAAGACATAGCGAAGAAGCATGCCGTCGGGCTGCAGACGCAGTTATCTCGCACGTTCTCCAGAAAAAGGTCCATGCGGCAAACAGAGCCGATGAAGATTTCCGGGTTGCACAGATTTGGACAAGACGATTCTCCATTGCCGCCACCAATCCCAAGCTCAAGCTCGTCGTCGTCTCAGAACAGTAAGGAACCGAGCAAACTGACGAAAATGATGCGTTCGCTCGAGGATAACCCCGACGGCGACGAGGGTTTCAACCTGGAGATCGGAGACAAGAACATCAAGAAGAACATGCCGAAGGGGAAGCAGATGCACACCCGCAGTCAGATCTTCAAGTACGCGTACGGACAGATCGAGAAGGAGAAGGCACTGCAGCAGCAGAACAAGAACCTGACCTTCTCCGGAGTCATTTCCATGGCGACCGACACCGATATCAGGACCCGGCCGATGATCGAGATCGCCTTCAAGGATCTCACCCTCACTCTGAAGGGCAAGAAGAAGAACCTCATCAGGTGTGTGACGGGGAAGATAATGCCCGGCCGCGTCACCGCCGTTATGGGCCCCTCTGGCGCTGGGAAGACGACGTTTCTCAACGCGCTGGCTGGGAAGGCTACGGGTTGCGAGACGACGGGCTTGGTCCTCATCAATGGGAAGATCGAATCCATTCATTCCTACAAGAAGATAATCGGCTTTGTCCCACAGGATGACGTTGTGCATGGGAACTTGACTGTGGAGGAGAACCTCTGGTTCAGCGCAAGATGTAGGTACGAGACATCCTGCAGCATCTACCATAGATCGTTTTCTCTGCTGCTTTTCTTCCCCCTACATGTTTGACCTGCTTTTGTCTGCGTTCTCAGGAGTTTATTCGATATATATATGCATATATATGTCCAAGTTCAAACTAATTTTGTTTCATTAAATTATGATTAATTTACATCAGGCATTCATTGGATTGCCACCATGTTCACATCTGCCCATGATTTATTTTTTTAGATTTTACATTTACACGATTGCAGTGGAAAAAATTATCCATTGCTCTCATGAAGATGATTAAATTATGATTGATTTGGCAGTGGGTATTCATCAGAATTCGCATCTGAATGTGGTTTTTCAAAAAAAGTTCAAATCCATACGACTGCAAAAAAGAAAAAGAAGAACTATTGCTCCCTTGAATCTACTTTCTCAGCTAGCTTTTATTCCTACTGTACTGACTGATTGTTTCCTCCTGGTTGACATCTTGTTCTCGTAGACTTCCTGATGACTTGTCCAAGGCTGATAAAGTCTTGGTCGTTGAGAGAGTGATCGAGTCACTTGGGCTTCAACCGGTGAGGGATTCCCTGGTTGGGACGGTGGAGAAGCGGGGGATATCAGGGGGTCAGAGGAAGCGTGTAAACGTCGGATTGGAGATGGTGATGGAGCCCTCCTTGCTGATCCTCGACGAACCGACCTCTGGCTTGGACAGCGCCTCCTCCCAGCTGCTTCTGAGAGCTCTTCGCCGTGAGGCCCTCGAAGGAGTAAACATCATCATGGTGGTTCACCAACCCAGGTATCTATGGTGCAACCACTGAATGAGTGACTATCATTAATCCCCATGAAAATCATTCATGCGTCTATGAGATGATCAGAAAATTTTCGACTTCACCAGATATAACTTGTTTTCTTTTCTCAAACGATGTCACAAAGCATACTCTTTTACTTCTTTTCGCAAAACGTGATTCTTTTCCTCAGCTACACCTTGTTCAAGATGTTCGATGATCTGATACTCCTGGCCAAGGGAGGCCTCACCGTGTACCATGGCTCGGTTAAGAAAGTCGAAGAGTACTTTTCGAGTCTTGGAATCAGCGTTCCCGAGCGAGTCAACCCGCCCGACCACTTCATCGACATCTTGGAGGGCATAGTAAGGCCCAGCACGAGTTCTGGCATCAACTATAAGCAGCTTCCTCTCAAATGGATGCAGCACAACGGCTATGATATTCCCTCAGACATGCTCCATAATGCCGCCGACGGACTGGCAAGGGGCGGAAGCTTGGGCAACGCATCAGATTCAGTGCCATCAATCGCTGGGGAGTTGTGGGGCGATGTCAAGTGCATAGTGGAGCTGAAGCGAGATAATATAGAGCATAATTTCTCAAGATCTCACGATCTGTCGAACCGCAGGACCCCTGGAATTTTTCGGCAGTACAGATACTTCCTCGGAAGGTGCACATAAAAGTTGAACCTTTTCATGGGTATATCCTAATTTAGAAAAGAATCCTGTATGATTTTACTAAAACCATGCAATCGGGTGTCGATTTTTGTATCAACAGGGTTGGAAAGCAGCGCCTGCGAGAAGCGAGAATACAGTTTGTTGATTTCCTGATTTTATGCCTGGCTGGGGTGTGCTTGGGGACACTGGCCAAGGTGAATGACGAGACATTTGGGGCGCTCGGTTATACATACACCGTCATCGCCGTCTGTAAGTTCAGCCATCTCTCTAAAGTCGGCCGCCCTGTGAAAATTTCTGATTGACGTGTGATGGTGCGATTAGCTGGGCTAGACATGAATGTAGTCTTATTTTTTTAGCACTCGGCGTTCATTATGGTTTTGTTTTCAAATAAATAAATAATTTTGGTGATGAATTAAAACAGGTTAGGCTGGGATATTGCCAAGAAAATTTAATGTCAATCAATTAAAACAAGCTAATTGACGAGAAAAAGCTAATTTTTATCAGCATTTTGCTCTCATCTTAGATCTGAATGCTTTGGACTGTATTTGGATAATTTATCCATAGGCGTTGACGATCCTTGCCATGCATTCCACTAAAGACCTGTCGATCTATGGTGTGTTCTTGGATAATGTGGGAACGACCATCCACGGTTGCTCCATTACATTCATCTGTATGTAACTTGGTCCACAGTGGAACTTATTCTTGAGGTTGTCATGCTTGCTGCACCATTTCCTCAAGAAGAAGTGGCCAATTGGTTCCTATTCTATTATCGGATGTATAAGTGCAACTTATGAGATTACTTACACTATAATATGGTCACATTTTTATTTATTTTTCTGCAGCTCTTCTATGCAAAATCGGAGCGTTGAGGTCTTTTTCACTTGAAAAGTTGCATTACTGGCGGGAGAGCGCCTCTGGAATGAGTTCACTGGCCTACTTTCTGTCAAAAGACACAATAGATCACTTCAATACGCTCATCAAGCCTATAGTTTATCTCTCCATGTTCTATTTCTTCAACAACCCTAGGTCTTCAATCACCGATAACTACATCATTTTGGTCGCCCTCGTCTACTGTGTTACTGGCATTGCATATACTTTCGCCCTTTTTTTCCAACCGGGCTCTGCCCAGCTGGTGGGTACAACTCTCCGGAACTTGGTAGACTTGACGCAACTTGTTCTACCCATTAACACCATGTCATCTGATCCTTGCAGTGGTCTGTGCTTCTTCCCATAGTTCTGACTCTGATAGCCACTCAACAGCAAACTTTGAGCATAGGAATGCTGGCTAACTTATGTTACCCAAAATGGGCACTGGAGGCCTTTGTCATATCAAATGCTCAAAGGTATGCATGCAGCTAATTCACATTATTTTTTTATTTTTTTATAATCACGCGTCTTTAGTTGTTATGGTCAGTGTGAGACTGTTCTTAGAACTCTTCCCCATTCACATGCAACTCTATTTCTGGACTTTTTGTCTCATGGACAACGACCCTGAAATCATGTTGAAATATTGCAGCATCTTTCTAAATGGGGATTGATCTGAGAATCATAACATCTGTAATTGGTTCCTGTTCGCAGGTATTCTGGAGTGTGGCTCGTAACTCGGTGTGGTTCTCTTCTCAAGAGCAACTATGACATCAGTGATTGGGCTCTCTGCATATTTATCCTCATTGCTTATGGGGTGGTCTTCCGTTTCCTGGCCTTCTTCTGTATGGTCACCTTCCAAAAGAAATAAGACTATTTTAGATGTTGGCCATCGTCTTTCCCTCCCTTTGGAAAGCTTTTCAATACTCCCTGTGTCTACCATAGTCAGTGGCCTATATGCACTGGATTATACTTACTAGATAGGACCTTGTTCTCTGGAAATCTCTGCATGATGTAATTTTTTTTTGTGTACCTGTACCCACATTTTTTATGGTCTTCAACGCCTGAAATTGGAATTGGGTCTCTCTCTCTCTCTCTCTCTCTCTCTCTCTCTCTCTCTCTCTCTCTCTCCTCACTAGATAGAACCTTGTTCTCTGGAAATCTCTGCATGATGTAAAAAAAATTTGTATACCACATTTTTTATGGTCTTCAACGCCTGAAATTGGAATTGGGTCTCTCTCTCTCTCTCTCTCTCTCTCTCTCTCTCTCTCTCTCTCTCTCTCCTCACTAGATAGAACCTTGTTCTCTGGAAATTTCTGCATGATGTAAAAAAAATTTGTGTACCTTATTTGATCTCTCTCTCTCTCTCTCTCTCTCTCTCTCTCTCTCTCTCTCGTGGACTGAAGGATTGAGGTATGGATGATAAATTGAATAAATGGTTGGCTCTCCTACTTTCAAACAGATATCTTCCAGTTCCAAGTGAGTGGATAGAATCAAGATATGCCCATGCCTACTGTGATTTATCCATCCGCTGTAGGTGGGGTGGGGTTGGGGGAGAGGCTGTGCTGGATTTCAAAGGCCTCATTTTCTAAAAATTGGTGGGGTAAGGTTTTTTCTTTGGATAGGACTGAAGCTTTTTAATGAGGTCTTTCAATCATGCCATGTAAACAGACTAATTAATATTCACGAAATAAGGCATGCTTAAGAAGGAACACACATCTAGGTGTGTGGGGCAGCCCGGTTTTGCCCTACTTAACTCCGATATCATCATTTTGATACTGAATACTGATCAAGAGTGTCGTCAGAATTTCTCCCTTTTTCTGAAGACTTCTGGAATGGTTGTCAAAATGATGATATCAAGATTGGGCAGAATGGGTGAACAAAACCAAAGAAGAAGAAGAGAGAAGATGATGCAATAAGAAGAGAACTGAAATCTAAAGGTGGTATAGATCTTACTCCAAAGGACTTCACTGGCCATAGGACCTGGAACTTTGAGAATTTATTCATGAGTATTAATATACCTTGTCTTCCAAAAGTGAATCCCTGCAAGTCAAAGAATGGTAGAGTTATAAATAAGTAAAAATAAATAAATCATTGCTTGATTAATGGACTTGGGTAATTCCAGTCCTGACAAAGGATTCAATCATTCCAAATCATGAACTATGTCGTAGAAAAACATGTCATTTTTACGATTGGCATTGAAATAAATACAAGAAAAAAAAAAAGAAAACCTCGAATTGAGATAAATCAAAAATTGAGAATTTAGGGGCACTGATATCAAGATATCCTGTGCTCGGGCCCCTTCATTGAATTTTTGTGACAATTGAATGTTGAAACCTCCTCAAGAAGCAAATTTGATGAGAAAACACAAACACTAACGCAAAACAATGGACAAAGGATATCAAGTAGCGGCTCAGCTCTTCAACTATAAATAGAAAACCTCAAGACTGAAAACTATGTAACCTAGAAAACGAAAGATAATTCTCCGTCAAATCTGAAGCCAACAGAGAGCTGGAGGGAAAAAAGTATGTCTTTAATCAAAATCAGAAAAAATATTTGAATCCTTCTGGTACTAAATCAAAATCAGAAAAAAGTATGTCACAAAATATGAAATCATCACAGTAATTACAGCTTCTGTTGACCTCGTTTCCCTTTCCGGTTGAAGGTTTTAAAACCACCCTGCAGCGAAGTTGCTTCAGCAGGAACATATTCGGGTCCTAAGAACAGTGGCATCAAGGTCCACAAAAAAAAAAAAAAGTCGATACTTCATCCAGAACAGGTATTTCTATCACGGGCTTCAACAAAGACGGCTGTCGTTTGGCGAGGGATAACGAAGGAGCCTGATGATGGTTCATATGAAGATGTTCTGGTCAGGCCATCTCCTGAAGTCAACTGCATGAAAGGCCCAATTAAGATTCAACATAACGCTGATTGAATCCTCCCTATAACGCTGATTGTTGCGGGAGATATTCAGTGCCAATGAATAATAACATACCTGCACTGGATGCAATAGAAGACTTCTTTTTCTCAGTGCTGGGATCGAAAATGACACTTCAGCTGGACGGGCATTGAAGATGATGGTGATAAAAGAATAACTGCACCGTCAGGTAAAATAGAGTTAAAGACGGCATATTTCTTTACTGATGAAATTAAATGGAAGAAAAGTATTGATTATGGTTGACTGACACAGGGTCTAATTGGGCTATGCCAGGCTGGTCTTCGTGCCCATCTTCAATGCTCATAATGATGACACCGGGAATCCAAGAAGGGCCAGTATTGTGGAACCGCAGCCTCTCCTAATAACAGATGCGTCATCAAATTAGCACAGGCGTCCCACCAACTATGATTTTCACGTCCAGGACAAAAACTGCAGACAAGTGCCCATATGGCTACATCTAGGTGCCATTCTCAAGCAAGCGAATTCCAAAGAAATTCATTAATTCTAGAAGAGCATAAGCAATGACTTTGAAATTCCTTTAGAAATCGAGAACAAATATGTTGACCAGATTTCCAAGAAATATCCAGCATTATTTTTCATTTTTCTTCAAACGGGCCCAGGGGAGGGGGGGGGGGGGGGGGCAACTTTTTAATCCTTAGATGGAAGAGTGAAACAACTTCTATTGCTCGAAAGTCAAAAGCAGTATAATCTTTGATAGATGGTAAAATTTTGACAAGGAAAACTTAGGTGTCTGCCAATAATCCTATTTTGAGTTATTACTTTGGACGTTTCCAAAATAAATTCATTTCTTACCTGGATAGCATTGGCTGTCCTCAAACGGAAAAGTGGTGAAGAGTACCTAATCTTTAAAAGATTCTTGAAATTTTCTACTGCAGCAAGAATATGTTCTTTCTGTGGCTTGAAGGAAGGATTTGCCAATCGCGGCTTAATTCTGAAAAATTAAAGATTCACAGGTAATCAAAAACTGGCTTTGACTTAAAAAGTATATCTAATAATCGTGTCCAACACCGAATACAGCTTTTATCCTGGACAAAAATGAATGAATTATAAGCAAAAGAATAAGCATTTACAACGGCCAGTTCTTCTCATTCTTTGCTTTAGGAGGAAGTCCTATCCCCCAGTTGTTAGATTCATAAGTGAAATCCAGCCTGAAAAATACGAAAAAAGCACCATAAAATGTGAAAGAATAAGTTAAGGAAGTATCTTGGACATAAACGCGATAAGAATTTATAATTCTCACTAAAGTTTTTTCAGAATATGTCTATCCATGTTGAATTATAAAGTAGCTACCGAGATAGTTTTTGCTATACTCCCAACAATTCCAAGCATGGGGGAAAAACATCAGAATTCTCAAGGATAAAAAGGCCATACTTATTGAACCAATCTCCAGAGTTGTATGAATCTCGATCAAGTGATTTTGACCTCAAAATCTCATCACCAGCATGGAAAAAAGGTATTCCCTGAGACAAAAAAAAAACGATGGTCACGCTCAAGAAAAGTGTATCACACCAATCCAATGAATATTTCAATATGGCAGTCACATCGTCTGTCCCCTGAAAAGGAAAGAGGGGCATTTTTTTCTCTGTTGAGAGAATTTTGTATTCAATAACATTAATGCTCCTAAAATAGACTCTGTTTGAGCCTAACACATTCCAAGACACATGCATGTTATTGTCAACACGGCTGTAACTCCATTTCATTTATTCAGAGAGAAATGGAAAGCCCATGGGATTACTGCAATACCTTTATTGTGCACAAGATATAATTTCCTCATGAGCGGTACTGCTACAGCACTAAAATAGGATCGGCAATGTATCAAAGGTGAAGTATGATCTATCTTGATGGCAAATGAGACCCAGAGAGATTGCAGTCTTTTTATGTATTTAATTAAAAATTAAAAAAATATCCTTTTGTTCCTCGAAAATACTATGTTAATGCACGTCAAGAATTGTGCACTCCATTTATTCATGAGCTCACATGTTTAAAATTTTCTTCCACAAGAAAAATGTTTTCAGTTCTCGTGACGATTAAGACTTCTTCACATTGCTATATTCTTGGAGCTTCTAGGAGTCTATTCTGCAAAAGTGGAGTTACTGTAAGGCGATTAAAAGTTTTATGGTCAGCAGAGAACATTTTAAAAATATAGAATCGTGACAGACAACGAAAACAGGAGAAGGAAAGACAACCTGAGAGAGTGCAATTAAACTTGTTGCTAAGTGGTTTAACCTGCATCTTTCATCCAAAGACATTTTCTCGGAAGTCTGCTTAAGAAAAAAGAACGAAAAAGATTTGATTAATAAAGACACTTCATAAGATTCTATGTTCAATTATTCTGAAATTTGGGCACATACCTTCAAGCTGACAATGTCAAATAATGTCTCATTATCATGAGCAGAAACGTAATTAACCTGGAAAAGGTTGAGAATTTAGATGTTATGTCGATCAAATTGCCTCACAGGTTTTACAAAAAGAACTAAAACGAAGATGTCTAAGGCAGGGACCCCCTGAAATGTCATTTTTCCAAACATTGACTTTAGAAACGTTACATCACAAATACAATTTTGAAAGAAAGAGACAGTTCCGTGACAATAGAAAGCGAATGCATGCACTGACAGATGATAGCTTCTGGACAAAATGATTAGTGCGAAAGTTTTTATTCTTACGGTCTCTGTGGGGCGTGAAGCATATGCAACTGGCGTCCTGTCATGCGTCAGTACTTCAGAACCTTTGATCTGGAAAAATGAAAAATGATAATTATTAAAAAAATTAACAAGAGGCTCTTCTCTGGAATGAAACAGCACAATCATAAAGAGGGAATAATAAGAGAAACAAAGAAAAAATAAAGACTGTGTCATGCTAGTTTCATCCACTGTACACAAAATTAGAATAATCGATTATGATTGCAATTTTCTAAAGAAAAAAATATGAGAAAACTGAGATTTCAGATGACCAAAACAGGCATCCCCGAAATGGACAATCAGGACTCAAAAAGATAATCAAAGTCTACCCAGACAGTCTTGAAGGGTACTATACATTGCAGAGCTTCTCATCTTCCCTCTGGTAAAACTGCTGCCCCATCGACTGGAGCTACGCATTGAAGGCACACCAGAAAAATCCCTGACTTCTTGGAAGAGATGGCTGCTGCTTAAGGTTGGCACGAAAAGTTTTCTCCTTTCATATGATAGTCTCTTGGTTGTGACCCAGCAGTCTCCTTTTATATTGATGAGAACTATTACTGTTCACGGGTTTAGTATTCACATCTGAACAGTCGTTCAAAAAATAATTTATCATATTTTCCTTCGTCACCTAAGAAATGGGGTCAAAAATGCCTTTTGCTACGTTTCTTATTAAGTGTTAATAGAAGAAGAAGGGGGCTGCACTGGATTGAGATTTTTTCTCCTCAGCCTCACCTTAGGGTTTCATCTAAAGGTGCTGAGCATCATCTCCCCCCCCCTCCTCGCTCTCTCTCTCTCTCTCTCTCTCTCTCTCTTACAGTTTCTTCACATGATTAGAGCAAAAAGAGCTTGAGATAATTATGCAGAGATTAGGCCTTCAAATTTTCCAGGAGTCCAAGGCATATAAAGAGATAAACAACACTTCTCCAAGCCCAACGAGAGATAACCTAGAACATTTTACTGCGTGTACAACTAGAACGAGCTCATATTTGTGTCCTCTACAGTTTTTCTATATTGAATGAGGTATCTAACCTCCATGTTTGTGCCCCTTTTCCCATGTTCAACCTTTCTCCTATTATCCGTCATCTTTTACTTTCTGTCTTGAAGTGTTGTGTGAAGGAGAAAGATAAGAAGCATCAAGGGACAAAGATTACTGTTAACTTATTGAGGTCATGCATAGGTTGTGCACCCCAGAGAACTGACAAAGAGACGGCCTAATCTCGTTTGATACATCGGTGTGAATTACAACCATACATATCTTCTTGGCAAGGTGAGGGAATGACGCATATATCGACAGAGACTACCACTCCTTACATGCGAACGATCTCCTATATGGGAAATGAAAACTAAAGAACAGCATAACAATGATAATAAAATACCATAGTGACAAATTATCAAGTTCATGTGTCAAGGATGGTTTAACTACAGCATTATTTTCCGACTATTTTTCAAAATGGAGCTCATATTCATTGTAGGTCCAACAATCTAAATTCTATGGAAAGAACAAAAAAATACAGATTGAGAGATTTCTGATCCACGTCAATTATCTGTATCATCTCACTGGTTAAGTTTTTAAGTGAGTGACTTATATATGGCAAACTAGAATTCGTGGGCAGTAAAATTGATAATGATGTTAGATGATCGACATGCCAACATACACAAAATGAAATACATCAAGATCGTCAACACGTACCGATTCTCCTAAATGTGAAGTGAACACAAAGTCTTTCAAATTAGCAGCCAGTCCTGCCTGAATTGAAGATAACACAAAATAGTCAAATTCAAGTAAAATAGTAGAGTGCAGATGAAACGATGAAAAATTAAGAATATCAAAGCTATAAAACAATATAAATAGGAAAGAAATTGTAGAGTATTTTTCACGAGTTAACTATTAACCATTATTGGGGTACATAAAAGTTTGATCATTTTCAAAGAGGATAATAATTCACGAAATATCAATGCCAACACTAAAAGAGATAAACGGGTATATATACATGCACACAACCGGAATTATCATTTTTCTATCATTAATAAAACGTGGTTCTGACTACATAGAGGAAAAGCAGAAATAAAATTGTCAACAACGTATGTTTTCGGTTCACTTGGTGCACCACATTGATATTATGACTCGACTTGCCTGAATGTAGTCCAGTGATGCTGCCAGCATAGCATCTGTGATAGACTTATCACCATGGTCATGGCCATTAGGCTGTGGACAAAGCATGGTACTTATATCAATTATCGGGATAGGATCTTATATAGCAGTTGGAAAACAAAATATTCATTCTAAAAAAATTATCTAAAAATCGAAAAAAAAAATTGAATAATTATGTGAAATCTTGTCACACCTGTAGTCTCCTGAATTATTTCCAAAAAATGTTTGTCTGAAAGGATCAAGACTAAAGTGTATGCTTAATTGCCTTGGGAGATATTCTTGAACCGAAAATTTCGCGTCATTCTCAAGTTTTTGGCAAACTCGTATCCAACATTGTTATATCAAACCTTCCAGCAAATTTGTCAAATTATTTCTTACATGTTAGGTTTTCTAAGCAACAAGCTTCCTTCAACTGCAAATGTAAGTGCATTTGAAGATCAGGGCTTCAAGATATCCTCCATATCCACCCATTGCTAAATCGTCATTCCTTCAGGACAACAAAATCAATATGCATGAACCATTTAATTGATAAAACAACCCTTGTTGCATCAGTTTGTGAAATAGGTGGATAGACTGTCAGATTAATGAGGAAGAACCGATTTGGAATTTGATAATTGAGAAGCCGCAAAAATATAAACTGTTCTGAAGATAGCGGATAGGGGAATCTTTTATGGTTTTCTGACAGATTTCATAGGCAAACAAAGTAATACTCTCAGAGAAGCCTGAAGTTGAATTGTTAGCTTTTGAACGAAGGGGCCTTTATTGACAGAGAAAACCCAAGAATATACCACGGCACAACCAGAATGCGAAGCAAAAATTAGATAAAAGATGTCCACCACAATTAAATGAAGCGATTCAATTCTTACAACAGTAAATCAATAAGAAATATTAACCTGCAAAGAAAGACCAGTTACAAAACCTTGTTGAAGAGGATGGCCAAATGGGGAGCCACCAAGTATTGAATCTCGTATCCGATCATTGAAACTGATCATTTCGTAAATAAGGGAGTGACATAAGTTTAAATTGTTATTTCTAAAAGAAAAAAAATCACAGGCACCTAAACATCAACAGAAACTAAAGGCATGGTCGGTGACCAATTGCTCACAAATATATTTTCCTCAAGAAAGAAAGCAATAAAGAATGTCTAGATAGAACATGAATGTTCACTGGCAAATCATTTGCTCTTTCTCTCTAGATGAAAATTTCAGCGGTGATTTCACATGAGGATAGATGACGCATCCAATGAACTGATGTGAGGTATTTGATTGTATCCTAAAATTACTAACATCTTTTCCCATTTTACAACATAAAGTTGCAAGCTGTAATTTAAAACTTTAAAAAAGGGAGCGGGAGTGCACACAGACAACTGATGCAAGAGAGTTGTCAACCAGCAGAATCATCAAAGACGCTTCAAATGCAATTGGGTTGGTTGGGGACAGCAACACTATGAGGAGCTAATGTGTGATTACAGGAAGATCTCAAAACAGTTGATGCATTACAAAGATTAATTTTCCATATAGCCATTTCTCAAAATTTCTCGAAATTTAAGTGCAGACCCATGATAAAAGATAAGCTGTTTGTCTTTCAGGAAAATATTTGTTTCACCATGCCTAATGGTTTAATTCGTTTCATACACAAAATTGATGATGAGTTCTTATGAGATACGTTTTGTTGAGTAAAATCGCTACAGGATCATTTTTTTGCCTGTATTGCTACCAAAAGCCAAATTACCTCCCAAGGCCAGTTCCAGAAATATTGAACTGCGATGCATTTACTCCACGTCCATTTTTGGCAACCTCGCCAAAATCCCAACCCTCACCATATCTGGATTACATAAAGAATCCGTTGATGCAAATTTGGTTAGGGAAGTGTAAATAATTATGTCAATTTCGAACAAAGCAAATGGTCAACACACTAACATGTATATTTTGGAACCATCTACGCCATTCTGATCCTTTGACAGGCTTTGAAGGGCAGATTTCGCCTTAACCTGTTTCCAAAAGAGTAAGCATCAAGGAAACCATGTGTAATGTTACACAATACCAATTCTTCTTGAAGAGGCAGAAGAAATGGAGGGGGGCTGAACTGAGGACAAATGGAAAATATTATTCTACATTTGCCTCTATATATGGATGCACATGTACTATATTGGAACACCTACATGAAAACATCAAATGAATCCCAGGTAATAATATATGAAAAAATAGTTCTATTCAAGAAATAAAAACTACCTTTTCGTGTGAAGATTTCTACATAGAAGAAGAAATTCACTTGGAGCCCAATAAACACGGATAACATCTTAATGATCTAAGTATATGATGAGCAATTATCAACATGCTCTATGACATTTGTAGAAAGAGAATAATGAATAATATAAAATAAACAATCATAAGAGAAAACAGCAATATGACGCTAGGATGAAGACAAATGTGGAAGTACAAAGACTGTTGATACTGTTGACAAGCTACGCATATAGTGTACATTTGAAATAAGTGAATAAGCATATGATACATGATCTAAGATATTGCAGAATGTGCAATTAGCAAGCGTAGCATGTACCAAATCCGACAGGTCACTGATGCAGATGAACTTGAATCATAGACAAATTTCATTGATGCTGTGGTTAAATACCCACATATTTGTTCTCTTCATTCCTGTTGACTTTCCTCTAGTTCGTTTCTTTCTTGAAGAATGACAGATCTTCTCATGGAAGAAAAAAAAGGGCTTCTATTCACCACATATGAGGAAAAAGAATTCAAGAAGGTTTTCGTTTTTTTTTACATCGAGACAGGGGTATGTTATTTCTAACACATCCATGGGAGAAGGTTCTAGACATAGAGCCTAACATCCCGAGACATGCAGGTGATGTTCATGTGCTTCTTTAAGTGAAGCACGTGATACGCCTCACCCAACTGCTAATGCAGTATTTACATTATATTTCAGTAATTCCTATCCAAAACAACTGAAAGGAAGAGGGGTGGCGGAAATGATTCACATGGGATTATATGTATTTCTTAATTTTTCGGGAATCCTAAAATGAGCTCAGCCTTCAACTGATATATTACAAGATATATCATAAGCGATGTGGTCATGTAAGCGGTAAGCAACCGATGGGAGATACTTCCAGCACTTTCTTCCACAAGATGAGACGTAATTCCATATCAACAACCGTGGGCTACAACTTCCCTATCTTGAGCAACTGGGAGGGCTGGTTGGGAAGGGGTAATTAGTGGATATCAGTTTCTCTGGGAATGAGTTATTAGTTTCCCTCCATTCTTTGAATCAGTAATGATTCAATAAGATTATAATCCAAAATATGAATAAAAAGAAATGTCAATTTTTAGTGATACTTGTCAAATGATTCAATTACATAAAATTTATAACGTCCTCAGAAGAATTCTTATTACTTCTGAGGACAAAACAAAGATAAATCGTCTAAACTCAGATGTCAACCAAAAGGAAGTCGAGCATAATATAATAAAATTTGTTGATTTATGTAACAGACTAGCACATCTTGGACCTTACACATACCATGGTACTTTTCATGATGTGTCCCATGAGATCAAACCTGAATCCATCCACCTAAAAAGAGAGACCGAAATTCTGATGAGACTTCATAAACAAAATTATTATATGGAGATCATTCTATTAAGCATAACTAAAGAAATCTATTGATAAAAAAATCGTATAAGAAGACAACAAAATTATCTTGCATGACAGCAAAGCCGACCAATGTGATAGATCATTTACTCTTCTGAAAGTGGTAGCACCATATGCACGAAAAAAGGAGAGAGAGGGAGAGAGAGAGGTTTACATAACCAATATTATTGTTAACTAAATAAATTAACTGGATTAATTTTAATTAAAATATAAGTATTTATATTATTATTTTTAATATTACATATTATATTTTAATTATGATCTTATTTATTTTGTGTATAAATTTATTATTTTTTAAGTAATAGATCACTGAATTTCTGCCCAATACAAAAAACTTTTGGCTACTGAATGGTCAACACCACTAGCTGATATACAAAGTAAGACCCTTCTCTTCATTATCAAAGAGAAAAAGCCTCCCTCATTAAAGGTCTGAAAATCCCATCTCCTACATTACACAAAATGGAAATAAACAAATTTTACGCCTTAAACCTAGTTGTTTCATTCATCACAAATAGCCAACAGGCTACCATGAAAGATAACTAACTGAACCATTCGATCTTCTATTAGCGCCAATCATTGATGTTAGCTGCTGGATAACTAGTCAACAGTATCAAAGATTTGACATCGAATTCCTAATTTTTATTGAGATTCCAGTAAGCAACTCATTTACACTGCATTCCTTTGGTCCTCCATAACACAGATTCTGAACAGAATTTAACTAGCCTTTATACTAAATTGTGCCTTAAAAATATTTACCTCAAGAGACTCAAATACTGTTTGTTGACCTCATGCCAGTATATATGCTTGCCAATAAGTCGAATCTTCCACATCAAACTCTTAATTTCACGGGAAAACTAATTAAAATAAAGCGACGGTTCTAATAATCGAAATTGAAGACAAAATGGTTTCAAAAAAATAAATAAGGGGAGAAAAAAGGATCCAATTACCTTGTAGTCAACAGCCCAAGAAAGAAGATCATCAATAATAAGGCGCTCCATCATAAAATGTTCACTTGCTGTATTGTTTATGCATGTGCTATGTTCAATATAGCCATCAGCATTTCTACGAAGATAGTATCCCGGAACAACCTAGAAAGTCATCGAGAGAGTGGAAAATTTAGTGAGCACAGGAAAAAAAACTTTGTATACTATGTATATCACATAGAAATTACATTGAAAATGGGATAAAGACATTTTTCCTAGATATCAAGCAAACAAGTCAAAGGCATTCTCCAATTAGAAGCTCAGATTAAGCTTCTACATGATTATCCCTCTGCATGGGTCCTCAAACCATTTTGATTCTGCTATCAATTTTTCTCAAAGAGCTTGTAAAAAAAATCACGATATAATGGAAAATTGAATACAGGGTTGGCCAGCATCTCTCAGCATAAAAAAGCCCTTCAAAACGAGCATCGCCAAAAATGGTTGATTACTTTAAGGCAGTTAAGAATAAACACTGATCTCGTCCAAAAACAGCAGAAACCACTCACTGGGATCTAGTCATGCTTTGGTTTGTTTCATCTTACCTTATGTCTGGAATCTCACTTTGATTTGTCAGACTTGGTATATGGTAATGACAGGTCAGTCATGACTCTGATACTGATCGATAGCTATATTTTGAATATTTCGCCTTAAGTGTTTTTTCTCTCATTCTGTCGTACAAGCTACTTCCTTTTCCCCCATATCTTGTCATACAAGCAACATCCAAGAAAAAAAAAATGACTCTCCCTTATCCAACAGAACACATGGATTAGTTATACATTTTCAGTACTTCAAAGTCAGCCCACGCGGGAACATGCAAAAGCAACTAAAATGACAGAGCTCACAGTTTATAAAACGCAAACAGAAAGCCACTGACCTTTTCAAGAACAGAAAATTCATCCTGGGGACCACTAGCACTCACATGGTTGTAGACAACGTCCAACACAACACGAAGACCACTCCGGTTTACTGCCTGTGTGAGTAACCCAAAATAAAATATTCAGGCAAATGAACTAGAAGTCATTGCGCATAAGCAACTGCGGTCCGGATGTACACCATACCTGAATCATTTTCCGGAATTCAATAGTACGATGTGCACCAGATGGATCACTAGCGTAGCTTCCTTTTGGCACACTCCAAAGAACAGGATTGTACCTGTTTAGAGACGTGAATCTGCTAGTTCAAGAAGGAAATTTATTAGGATGACATTTAGAAAAGGTACTTTCATTACCCCCAGTTATAACCATCCTGATCTTGGATAGCAGTGATTTCAGCTTGTTGCTCTTCTGAGTCTGGAGGCAGCGTAGACAATTTTTGTTCATCTGAGAATCAAGGGGCCTTCATTAATTGGCTAGGACCTCATTCTATAAGGAAAGATCACACAAAATCACTTCAGAATATCCGCTCTGCTTTTACTTATAATAATAACTTGATATGACGTTTAGTCACATTTGGGTTAGAAGCGTACGGAGGAAATGGAGAATTTCGATAAGAAATGAAGAAATCAACACTTAAGTTTTTAGGAATCCTTTCATAGGCCAGTCTGGAGATATTGGTAGCAAATTATTTTACAGAGAATCAAAATTCCTTTTCAACGCCATCACCATTGATGGTTTACCAACGACTCCAAGCAAGATAAATGATAATATCTTCATCATTTTCAGATAAGGAAACGTTACACCGATCAGATAATAGATTCAGTATCAGTTAAAAAACGTCAGGAAAATGCCCAAATCAGATTGAAACTCAATACTCTCACCTATAGCATGTTATGATAAGACGCCCAGGTCGTTGATTTATGCCAAGACAAAGACAACAGGTCAGCAAGACTAGTAAAATGGAGGATTTTCAAATTCCTGGATCTACTCAAATATTTGCCCTTTTTGCCGATTTTCTTACATTTTTGAAAATTTTCAAAATTATTATTTTCCAACAATGATCACCAGGTATGTAAAGAACTACCCTATTGCAGGCTAATCCCAACCTAGAACTGAAACTGATTAAGATTGGCCTATGTCTTTATTCCGTAGAGTGTCAGGGAATTCGTGTGTGATTTTCGAAGTTTTGTTATAGTTTCCTAGAGAAAAGATAGGAAAGCTCCAAATTATTCAAAAATAAGATGCTACAGATACAATCTAGTAAAAAGTAGTCATCCTAGGACAAGAATAGATGGAAATGCAAAACATAAAGGAAATAAATTAAAGTCCATAGAGCATAAAAAAAAATTCATAGCCAGGAGAAACAATAATCTTCATAAAACGACCATGAAGAACAAAAATCAAGTGACAGCAGGAGAGATAGATAGAGATAGACATCACACTTACCGATATATTTCCATTTGCCCTTATCATCGTCAACACCAGCAAAATGAAAGCTTGGCAATAGATGGACATGAGTCAACCCAGCATTACTCAACTTCCTCAAGTGATCTATGCCAGCTGAGTGCTGCCAGAGACATCAATATGATTTTAAAATGGTTTCTTGACCCTAAAAGACTAAATTTCAGTAAATAGGTGGCATGCCAACAAGAGAAATGGTGAAACTTAACAGATGAATTCCATATATTGTCTATACAAGCATGCGCAAATCTTAATGAGAAGGTATTATTCATGATCTTTCTTGCCCCAAGACGACACATGCTGGACGAAGTCAAAATTAGACGTATCTCTTGTTTCCCATTAAGATCTACTATAAAAGAATCTAAAAATTACGTTATTATGGAAGATCATGCCCAGGTGTTCACAAATTCTCCAATTCTCTGATGGGTATATGAACAACCCTTCTACATTCATATGATAAGGCAGACCTTGCTAATGTAACCAAGTCAAAGGACTTAGCAGTCAAAGGAAAAGTCACCGGTTGTTGCCGTGACAAAGTTCAAGACTGGCTTCTACAGTATAGGAGTGTATGAACTTAACTATAGCCTTAATCAAGATTTGAGCAGAGATTCAGCTGAAAATCAACCAGTCGAAATTCGCTCAAAAATATTGAACTACTTTCCACTTTTGAGGTAGGTAGATATAGTCTGATCAGGATATAGTTCGATTAGCATAGTTGATACAAAGAGTCCATTAGATTTTGCAATAATTGCACCTGCCCAAATGCAAGCTCTCAATGACAGAGATCTTGAAGACATAGAATATGACATAAACTTCAACTGACCAAACGAACCAACACTACTGGTTCAATGAGGTGACATGAAGGAAACGAGAATTTGGTCAATAGAATTAACTGAACTTCCAAGCATTCATAACAAATCTTTTGCCCGATGAAACACAAAAACGAACAGCACCAGGTGTGGAAGAGGATCATCTATAAGAACTGGTGATGTTTAACTCATGGAGACATGATTACCAGCAGAAAAGCGTCGGTGACTTTTTTTCAGGCCATGAAGTGACAGAGGAAGGATAGGAAACCAGCAAGTCAATTTTTTGATACGTGGCTGGGAAGGAAGAAGGAATGTTAATCCCATAAATAACAAGCTATACGTGTTTGTATTGGAAAGAGTTTGGTAAGTTTCAAAGACAGTAAAACAAGGCTAAAGAAAATACTCGGTCAAAGTGGCAGCACAATGGGGAAGGAGATGTCTGAAACACAGATCAGGGCATAGCTGAGGAGAAATCATGGATTTGGTTGACAATGAGGATGCAATTATTAAAATAAATACCAAGGAACAAGACTGGCAGGTATGTATTTCATGAAAGGATTGAAAAATGACAATAGCCTATTCATTCTGGACAAAAGCCCGAAAAGAACATCCCTTCAGCAACAAGAATGAAGATACACTCAACAATCGTTTTCAAGAAATGCAATAAAGAGACAAGGAATCTTAATCCACAATTCAAAATTAGTTGGAGCCAGGAAGTCTGCATCAGGGAGAGATATCCTGATTAAACGTTAAGGGCAAAGTCTAAAATTCTTTAAAAAGAATCATGAACTTCACTTGGTAAACTTTAGCCCAATCTAGGTGATCAAAAATGTATGTTGTAGAGTAAAAGTTATGGTTGTTATACAGATGTGAGGAGATTTGGTTGACAAAGCTAATGCAATACATTGGATTGACAACATCAGTGGCAGACAAAACAGAAGCAAGTGGTTGGTAGATACTCCTGCCAAGGTAATGCTCCCATCATTTCTTCTACAGACTGTTGTAGTTTCTCCTGGATTGGGCAAAGTAGGATGAAATTGGTTCATTCGAGGCCCCTAGTATCTGATCTTCAAACCTCGGTGATTGGTAGCTAAAAACGATCGTAGTTGATGTGCTAGAAGATGAATGAGTATTCGGCAGTAGATAGTTTATCAGATATGGTAAACGTGAAGAACTGAAAAATAGGGGTAGGATACCAATTCCTGAGTGATGCCATTCACGCATAAATAAAAATCAAATGCAATCTAAAGTTTTTCACACAAATCATAAAGGTTAATTCACAACCTCACATGTAAAAGCAAGATAGCCTCCTCGAAATTCAGGATTCACAGTATAGTCCATGGCACTGCAAGTTTAAAAAGACATGACATATGATACATTAACTGGTTCACATAAAACAGCACAAATTGGAGATAAAGCAGTAATTTCAAACATAATCCATAACAAAAATCATATAACAGGAAAAAGGCAAAAAAATATTTCTACCGGTTTCTTCAATAGAATAAAATGCGTCCATCTACATTCCAAGTTCATAAATTTCGATGAAAACAGATGCATTCTTCTTCATCACCCAATTACCATCCAATAGGACCAAACTCACTCCTCCAACAGCCTCCATACTAGCTATTATTATTCTAAATGCAGGCTTTCGCAATCACTGCCCCCTTTCCATGAATAAGAGCTTACAATATTTTGTTTTGTTTGTTCTACAAACCTTTTTAGTCAACTTAAAGAGTTGGACGTGTTTCGAAGATAGTAGTGAGCCACGTTAATTAGATCCTCGAAACATTGCTTTTCCGAACTCAAGTGAATTATTGATATCAGCCGTTGATGCAAAAATTTTGACGAGCTAATTAAAATCTTTGAAATACGAGGTAACTTCAGTTAATCCCCTTCTTCATGAACGTCAAACGAACTGGGCTATTGGCATCTGGGTGTCTTGGCAAAGAACAGACCCAAGAACTTTATCCCATGCATAGCCTCACGGTGTTCTCTGATAAAGACTCAAGACAGTTTACAAATAATAGAAAGCGTTAAAGGCGTAAACGAAGGGACGTCAAGCAATGTCAATAGGAACAACAATCAAGATAACAATCTAACCAGGAGGTAAGATGAGAACTAATTCCCTAATGTTACTGGTTTTCAGTAAATTCAATGTCTAGTCATTCAGATCAAGAATATCCTGAGAATTCGGAGGACAGGTTTCAGGGATTTTACTCCATCCCATACACAAGATACATCCAGAAACTACATCCAGACTGATTCAAATGAGACACTACATCCAGACAACATCGGCCAGTCAGAGGCTACATATGAATTCAGAACCTAGGAAATGAAAAAGGCAAAACAAAAAACCCTAACAACTTTTTATTTGCCAGTGGACCTGTACAATTCTGAAACTAGTACAAGCATACCAATACAAGCATTCTGGAAAACTGTGGTACATTGCAGGCGCAAAAACAGAGAATAATGGAATTACAGCTTCACCATGCATTAATAATCATGACATCAACAGTAATGGATGAGGAAATTGCAAACAATGTGACTAACCTGAAATCCCTAATGTGTAACTCATATATACTGATGTCAGAAAAGGAAAGCAGCTCTGGCTTTTCATTGGCCAATTCACTCCAACCCAGTGGCTTTAAGCTACCACAGTCAATGTTGACCAACAAAGTTCGTTTTCCATTTGATGAAATTCTGACCATATTATGAAGGAGAGTATTAGAATCAACAAACATTGACCATATTATGCGAAGAGTCTAGTAGGTGACATATCTCCAGCATACCCTCTAGCGTATGGATCATTCACCATGCATGTCTCAATTTTTAGAGTGCTTTGATGATAGGCTGAAACCTCGAACACGTAGTAACAACCTTCTCGACTTATTGGGAGCCTAGTATGCCAAACACCAATCTCCTCTTTAAGTTCAATACATTCCGATGGATCCTGATTGAATTGATCGTCATATATATATGCACGTACAACCTGCATGGATCAGAAGGCATGTAAAGGTCAACTGATAATCACACAAGAGATTCCCTCCAAATTTATAACATACATACATGTGCTGTGGGTGCCCAGAGATGAAGTGATATGGCCTCTTTACTAAAGACTGCACCAAGGGGACCAGTGTAGGAGAACAAGTCATCTAAAACACCAGGCAACTGGAGTCCAGTAGCGTTGACACATTTCCCATGAGCTGTGTAAATTTATTAAAAATAAAAATATCAAAGTCCTGAAGGTGTAAAGCAACATAAAAATAGATCAGCGAGTTGAAGTAACCCAAAGATCAAAATCAATAGCATGTCTACTGGGGAAAAAATAGTAATATAACTCAATACATGGTGTGCAAAACTTCCGAATAACAAACCACAGAAGAAACGATAAGGATAGTTTCACTCATCCATTACCTTCTTAACATGACAATGAAATTTAATTTGGGAAAAGACAGCAGGTTGAATGAAAACTTCCAATTGCTTTTGTCAGGACCGGGGCCCTCCTATGACCACTATGAGATGATGAAGAAGAGAGTAAACTGAATAAGAAGAGAAATGAGACGATCACAGATACATGGACTTCAAATTTTGATATGGAATGGAAAACATTATTTCGCGGCTATATTGAGTCAGAAGTGTTCAGTAAAAGCTACATCTATAAGATATGAGGCGCTCCTTTAAATATAAAGAAACTAGGACAACATGGCCAGCACATAAATTTAGGTGCAACATGGTATGCAGGAAGTCTATCTGTGATCATACAATAACATAGGCGGATTAAGAATCCCCCTCCTTTTTTCTTGTTTCACGTCCAAGAATTAAATAATGACATCACCAATTGTATTTTCGTAATTGGGGCTGATGAATCTTCAGAGTGATCAATCTCTTCCTCCTAAAAAGTACACTAAAAGAAACAAGGCAAAGAGAAAGTATTTTCTGGTGATCTTTAGATCACCTTATTACAAAGGATAGTAAATAAATTACTGTTCATTTGCAGTCATATGCCAAATTGGTATTGTTTCTTGTGTGGCGAGGAGAGCAAGATGACCGTCTGTGTATTTTGTTGATAGTTATAATTTTAAAATATAAACTATTGACATAAACTTTCACTGGTACACCTATAGCATGAACTAGACTTTTTAGTCATATTTTGGAACTTCAATTTCAACTATCAACAATACCAACTGCACTCGCCTTGATTTTATAACAACCATTCAACTAATACCAACTGCATTTATAACATTACTACACTCACCTTGATTTCGGTAAAATATATTCAAAAAATTAATTACATTAGTATGATCACTTTGTTTAATACAATATATATTTTTTATTATGGATTTAGTATAAATTAAATAAATAATAATACCACATATTATAATTTAATTTTCATAAAAATAATTTAATACTTAAAAAACTAAAAAATAGAGCGGAAATCAGGAAACTGTAGAAAAAAATGATCAAATATAGAATTCACTCAGAGACAACTTTAAAACGTTCTTCAGCATCAGGATGTACATCACATATGAATCCATAGCATTATGTTTGGACAAAACAAGTATAATTGGTATAAAACCAATGAAAAAAGAAACAAGTGTCATAATCTTAACAAAGAAGTCATTGATTCTTACCATCAAAACACATAACAGCTAACTGGCATTTAAGAAGTTTTTCAGCATCGACAGAGCTAGGAATTCTGAAAGCAGAATAACTTCTTATATGCGGAAATTTCTGTTTTACCTGAAAAATCATAGGATACAAATTTTAGCATAAAACCAAGCATCATCCCGGCAGCTAAAAATGAGTTAATCGGCCCCCTGCTGAACAATAACAAAACTAGAGCATAGGCTGAATATGGACATTTAAGAAGGTTATGCACAGTACCTGGAATTTTGAATTTCCCACTAGGTCTGAAAAAAAATCAGAGTGAATCTACTTTTATGGCTATTCTAGAATAGAAAAAGCAAGGAGTGAACATTCGACTCCAGATTAGGTCCAACTGATGTGGCTAGAGGGCACAATTCTAGAAGAGAAAGAAATGGACAGGAATACAGAGACAAGAGAAGGCAAAAAAAGGTAGGAACTTCAAAGGTATTGCATGAAAGATACGATTATAAAAATTAACTAAGTCTTAAATTGCCAGACTGAAAAAGAGGCATAGGAAAATTTCGGGCATCAAAAAGATAACTCTCTGAAGCAAAAAGGTTGAAATTGCCGAAAAAATGTTGAGAAAGAAAAGTTTCTAAAATTAGATGAGTTAATGCAATGATGATACGGGCTTTCTCTTCTGTAATATAAAGCTACATGTAAAATGAGAACCATAGAGCTTCAAAAGCTAAGGAAAAAAGGAGGCATACAAAGTAATTAGGCCTATAACTGAAAGATAAGAATCATTGGAAGAAGAAACAGCAGTCACCAAAAGGAAAAAAGATGTGTCTGTAGAAATCCATTATACTGGGTTCATACAATGAGAAATTTGAATGACTATCATATTTCATCGTTATAAAAAATGTAGGTGTGTATTCATAGAACTAAACAAATGCAAATTAACCTTAACTATGCTACCTTCATTCACTAAACAATGTCGCTAAAAATAAGGCACACTGAATCAAAGGTGAACAATACTGCTCGCCAACTTTCCACTTTGGTATTCAAGGCCACTAAGACCATGTCCATCGATTCACTGCCTAGGCAGCATAAATAATTTCTTAATATATTTTTAAACGATTTGAATGTTATGTTTTTTGAAAAATAAAATAAAAATGTCTAGATGTGCACAAAGTCTGGACATCACGATAATAAATATTCTCATAAAATAATAGATTAAAATATGTATTATTATGAATTAAGTAACTGTATCGAAAAGAGAAGGCCATTTAACTGTTCACATGTCTGTATTTCAAGGGATGAAATTGAGTTCAAAGCAAATATGGCAAATGAGGAAACGCATGGCATCGTCGTTCATTCTCATTTGCAATAACATGGTGTTAGAAAATTGAATTGACATGGCAATATTGACACTCACCTCGACATTGATAGACACATCAAAGTCACATCTTCTCTCTATGCAGGGTAGTTAATAATTAAGCAACAACCGAAAGACTACGTTTTCCCTCGTATATATGAAAACTATGGTTTCCCTCATATGTACTGGATCATTAAAAATTGATGTCAGGTTTAATACTGGTGATTGATATACTTCTCCTTTTAAATTTATTAGAGATCCTTGCTTACCCAAGATTAATCCATGAAAAAAACCGAGAATAATTGATTCGTTGGTGTCGCAGAAAATAAGTCAAAGTTGACTCTAAAAGCTCTAGAGATACCAAGTAAAGGGAAGACATCACATTGCGCCAAACTTGAGATCAAGAAGTAGAGAAAATATTTCCATTTTAACGCTATACCCATATTTTTCATTTATCTAGTGGTAACTTACATTGCCTGGCAGACCACACATGTCCTGTTCAAGTTGAACCTTCATATCATAGCCTGTAAGCAGTAAACGAAGGTGGCTGTAAAGCAATTGAAATCTCTTACAACAAGATGAAAGAACCGGGAAAAACTGGTGACAAGAAAACACTCAGCTAACTCCAACTAAACCCAACTCATTATAATTTCATCCGTTTTTCAGGACTATCATCCCTGAAATTAGCTAGGAGTCACATAAATTATTTTCTTAAGAATCGTTTTTATGTCTTCAAGAGAGATCCACCTATAGACTTTTATGGGACAGTTTAAATCAATCCATTTAATTTTCAAGTAATAATGAAAATTTTCGTTTTTTTACTTTCAAAGTCTCTGAAAGGTGTTACGTTGGCTACTTCACCAAAATCAAGATAATATCTATATTTCCTCAACGATTTTAAAGCTTATACATGGTTATATAAACCAGATGGGAGAAGTAATGAACCAAAGTTAAAATCAGAGAGTACTATATTCTGACAACAGTGTAATAGAGTAACTGAAGCTTAACACTAACCGGTTATATCATCATTTGAAACGCGTAAGTTCGCCATTTGACTAGCAATGAGATAGACTGATGAATTATTATCCTTGACATCCCAAGCAATGTGAGACCTAGAGGCCCAGTGTGCCCTTGCGTATGACAGGCTATCCTGCACGTCAAAATGTAGACTTAATAGCATGTCAAATAGAAAGTACACTGTCACCAGACGTATAATTAATGTGATGAATTTCAGGTTTAAAAAGATTGGTCGACAGCTAAGCCCAGCTAAGGAAGATAAATACAACAATATTACGGATCACAACAACAATAACAAATCAGAAATTTCTTATCACGTGATAAAATACAGAAAAATAACACGTTGTCAGCAAAATTTAGGACAATCTGTTTTCGATCCCTCTTGTTGACTTATAGTACAAAAACTAGGAGCATGAAGCATAATATATCAGCTATACTGATGATATTCTATATGAAGCACAATTTCCTCAAGTGTTTTTGTCACTAGGCCCCTACTAGACCAACTTCTGTCCCCAAGTTCCCAGAACAAGGAAAACAAAATGTCGTCTATCTCTCACTCTCGAGATAGATAATGCAACAAGACCATTTCTCCTCCAAGCATAGGCAACCTCCCAATCAAGCGAGCTGTCCTCTTTCACTAACAAAGAATGTCAACCTTCTCAGATTTCCACCAGGTTTTTATTCTGAGGAAAGTATGACAGTTAGCTTTGCCTCTGCAGCTTTACAAATAAACTATGAAGAATCGCCCTCCATTTTTTCCTTAATGATCTGAAAAAAAAAGGTAATTTGACGTAAAATTAGGTGTTATAAATCATAAAGTATTAATATCATAACATAATCCTTATTAGTCAAAATTCTAGAGAAAGATGATTTGAGTGGCACTCCTAGTAAATTCAAGTGGTACATCTTATGCCATTTTTCTGCACTCACAGGATTTTGCCTGGTGAAAAATAAACAGGAATATACTTGTGCACCAGTGATGACCATAGACTGCTTTTCAATTTCTTCATGTTATCGTTCATTGTTCCCTTAAAATGCTCTGATTGTGTCTTCCCCCAGATCTCTGGTTATCATTAAGCTGTTTCTTGGAAGCCAATATTGAATGCTTGTGCTACAAACCTTCAATCAGAAATCAAGGAAGATGGACCCTGAAAAATCTTATTCTCAAGTTATTTGTCCTTTTTCTGGTAAACAGGACAAAATTCTGGCGTGAAAATATGTCCTAGAGCTATTTGTACGTCAGAGTATTGCACTTAAAAATGCTCTTGCATTTTCAACTCCTCGCTCTCATGAAAAAGCTCTCTGAAATATGATCCTTCTTAGAAAAATAATCTCCGAATTTCTCTCTATTTTCATAGGCTCGGGGGAAGAATAAAAGGATGGACACTAGAAAAACCGCGAAGAGCAGCAGACCGACAGGCAAAAACAGAAAGAGAAAAGTTCGATGCTCTATGCAGCACCTTGATAGTGCCAGCTGCTGAAGACAAAAGCAAACAGAGACGCAGAAGACGGCACCTTAGCGATGGAATTCTGCGGATCCGAAGGCTCTCCCATAAAGACACTAGGCTGGGTGGAGCAAGAAGAGATGGTCAGCTTGCGCAGTCGACGAGGCAATGTTGAACCGTTGATTCCAACAACCCCGGCGCCTAAAGCTCCAGACGAAAGAAGGTGGACAAAGCGGGCGAAGCTGAGGCCGCGTGTCTTGGGAGTAGTCGGAAAGCCAGGGCGTCCCCGGCAGTAGGGAAGACGAAGAAGGTGGGTCGGTGAGGCGGTGGTGGGGAGGCGAGGCGATGGCGATGGCGATGGCGATAGCTGAAACATTTGAATCCTTTCGGAGTGGAGATAGGAAACGACGGCGAAGCTTCAGATGAATACGAGAGAGAAAACAGAGCAAGTAGATGGTGGTCTCCCCGCTTCGCCTCCCCCACCACGTTCCCAGGAGAACCCCCTTTCTCCACTCTGATCTGCGACGGGTTGACCTCTTCCCCTTCCCGCTGCCGCGTCCGACGGAGCGCTCCTCCGGTGCCTTCTTCGTCGACTGTCCGCGGAACTTCTGTCCCGCCCTACTCGACCGTTTTCTCCAAGAAAATGATAAGCAGAGATGACGGTCACAGTTGAACCTTGCTTCATAAAATATAACAATATTTAGTTTTATTTATTTATTTATTTATTTATTATTATTATTATTATTTTATACAACACAAATACCTAATCATTCCCTCTAGTTTTCAGAAAGTGTCCCCATCTGCACAAGCCTTTTCGTTTTTGTCCTATGTGTCTCACGTGACAGCTCATCAACCCCCCCCCCTCTTTCTCTCTCTTTCTTGATAAAATATAATAATTTACTATATTTATACGAATAAAGCTCTAATAATTCCTAACATTTTCAATAAAGCCTTTTTCTGTCACTGCAGTAATGATCGCTCATCATCTCTCTCTCCTCTTTCTCTCTCTTTCCTGATAAAATATAATAATTTATTATTTATACGAATAAAGCTCTAATAATTCCTAAAATTTTCAATAAAGCCTTTTTTCTGTCACTACAATAATGATCGCTCATCATCTCTCTCTCCTCTTTATCTCTCTTCCCTGATAAAATATAATAATTTATTATTATTTATACGAAAAAAACTTTAATAATTCCTAAAAAATTCAATAAGGCCTTTTTCTTGTCACTACAATAATGATCGCTCATCATCATCATGTCTCTCTCTTGAGAAAATATACTAATTTTTTTCTATTTAATCGAATAAAGCTCTTATAATTCCTAAAATATTCAATAAAGCCTTTTTTAGTCACTACAATGATAACTCATCATCATAATCATCATCATCATCATCATCATCATCTCTCTCTCTCGTGTGGGACTAATGAGGGCTCTAGCGTTAATTTCTCAAACCATATGGGGTCAGCTCAGTTTATTCACACCCCTAATTTCAAAAAATAATAAAATTACACGACAAATTAGTATGATTGAAAATCATTATATAAGTTAGTTATAATATTTTTAATTTTATTTATTATATTAAATTTATATACCATCATTTAGTGATCATGATCCAGGCCCCAGCTAATAAATACCACACAATTCACAAGGTAGCGATACTTGAAAAAAAGAAAAAAAAAAGAAAAAAATGATTATCCCGCCATTAACTAAATCTGGGTTCAACAAAATTCGTGAAAATTATGTACATCCGAGCAAAAATCGTTTGGCCTGTCGCCCATCGGTGGTTCCTCTGAACTTGAGAAAGCTCGAGGCACACGTATCTGTACCATAAAGAATCCATGGAGGGCGCGCGGAAAGTTCCCATTTTCGGTCTGCCCCTCTGGCCCAAAGCGGTAAAGCTTGCCATCTCGAGGTTCAGCAGCTCGGCTCTCAGTGATTTGACGAGCAAGCAGGAGCTCCTCTCGTCTGCCTGGTGTTGTAGGAGCTGCAGTGAGGGCACTTGCTGCCGACGATGTGGAAATGGACCTCAGACGTCGCTCCGCAGTCGTTGCAGAGGATCCAAATCTGCGGATTGGCCAAGAAAAACCCGGTACATGAGACCCAGAACCCCTAAATGGAAATATATATCCAAGAGGCAGTTTAATATTTCTAAAAACTGCAAAGATTTTCTGGGTTTGGATAATTTTAATTTTTTTGATAGTAAATTCTTACCATCCTGTTCTGGTACATAAGGGGCATCGGCGTTGCAGCGACCTGAGGATGACAGAATGATTATTTCGTAAGTTGCCAGCTCGATCCGGGTTGAATTATGGTAAATTTCATAATTTTGGTTCGTGGGTTCATACCTCCTGATCGAGCTTCTCCCAGACTCCTGACATGTCGCACACCGACCTCGAGCAAATTGGGCATGTAAAGCTGAAGAAAAATGACCCCGGGGTTGGTTAATCACGATGGATTATTTCTCCCTAATCACGCAACTTAATAATAATAATAATAATTGAAGGCGGGTGAATAATTTCTGATGATTTTCAAGAGAGGGGAGATTGCCATGGACTTTAATCATATAACTTTATTTGAAAAAAAAAAAAAACCATCAGTTGCAAGAGGGCGAAGATTTCTTCTACTTTCCAAAAAGAGGAAGGGATTGATGGCCATCAGTTGCAGGTGGATGAATAATTTCCGCTAATTTCCAAAAAAGGAAAGAAATTTCATGGACCATCTCTCCCTAGTTATGCAAATTAAATAAAAAAAGAAGCCTATGAGTCGCAATTGGTGGGGGGAAATTTATTTTATTTTTTCTTTTTATTTTGGAAGAACAGTCATCACGAGGGGATTGAAAACCTGGAAATCATCAATTAAAATGAAAAATAAAAAATTCATCGTCTTGCTTCCCACCAACTTACTTCAAATGGAAGTGCATCTCTTTCAAGCAATCCAAGTGTATCGTGTGCCCGCAATTCAGCACGCTTATGTCTTTGATAGAATCGAACAGATACTGAAAAAAAAAAAAAAAAAAAAAACATATATATATCAGTTCCGGGGTATGAGAAAAATTAGAATGACAGAGAAGGATGGAGGGTGGGCTTCCTACCTCGAAGCATATGGGGCAGTTGTGGTGCATTGCCTTCTCCACACATCGATGTGAATCTCTCAATGCATTGCTGTAGCAGCATCCTGATTTGGCAAAAAGAGGGCAACACCAGTTTATTAATTTCCTGATTCTTAAGAAGCTAGAAGATTAGGAAGATTGATCGCCGGCTTACCGCATCGAGTGCAGTGGAAAAAGTGTTCTAGCCCGCCAGTTCTGAGAAGTAGCAAGATCATGAGGAGATGTTCATATAACATGAAGCAATAATGGAAATCATAGGCATTGGTTCAGAAGCTCAACCTGCAAATGCCACACCCGTCACAGTGGAATTGGTTCTTGGAAACCTGAACAGGGAAATGAAGGCAGTTTCTGTGAGAAATTATGGGAGGTAATCCGATTTATTCGATGTTTCTCAGAAGAAAAATACTGCGTACATCGTCGTCAAAGAACTTGCACTTCTCGCAGAAGTATTTTCCCATGCAGATTCCGCATGATTCACAGAACTGTTGAACCTGAACACAGAAGAAAAAAAAAGGGGGAATAAACCTAAAAAATACTGCATAAATAAGATCAAAATGGCAAAAAACCTCATCAACATCATCTTCGTCATCATCGTCTAAACCCTAATTTGTGGAGATAACGACGAAGTAAACAAGTTTATTTGGACTAAGTACTGTGTCATCAGAGGAGATTACTCACATCTTGCTCCAAGCCACAGAGAGAACAGATGACCTGAGAGATCAACATGACGGATGAATAATCAGGACTTATTCACAGTTTTTCTAAATCGGGGCTGATTTGGAAGGAAGACGTGATCGTACCTTCTCCACTTCATGGCGAGGAATCTCATGCCTTTCTCTTGGATCAACCTCCAGGGAGTTCTAATCAAAGGAATCAAGGGGGAACGATGAGCTACTCGAGTCCATTTTACCACGGAAGAAGTATTCCATCTTTATCAAATATGAACAACTTAATCGGAAAAAGAAAATTTATCAGAAGAAAAACCTTGGCGTCGTTGTGGCAGTGCCTGCAATCGAAGATCTCGTTGCAGCAGGGGGCCCTGATCTTACATCTTCTCCGGTAATGGGAGCACCTGAACCATTCGCCCAAAATTACAAATAACTCGACGATTCATCAAAAAAACCCTCGGCATTACGATCGCGAGGAGAGAGAGAGAGAGAGAGAGAGAGAGAGAGAGAGAGAGAGAGAGAGAGCAGTACCCGAAGAGCCCGTAGCCCCTGTCCAGAAGATTATCATCATTCTTCGTCGACTCATATCGTGGTTCGCATAAGCTCCCCATGTTCCTTCTGTCGTTTCCCTAATCTGTACCCGAAGAAAGTAAAGGGTTGAGGAACAGCGAAATGGTGCTGTTGATGTCTACTCGCAGCAAAATAAAGCTGCCCCCCGTTCCTCCTCCGTTCTCCATTGTCTTCCCCTCGTCCCCGGTCATCTTCTCCGGCAAAGTCGACCACCGGTGACGAGCAACAGATCACGGATCGGAAGAAAAGAGGGTGGGTAGCTCCCTATCAATGCCACCGTCGCACAAAAGCCCTTCCGAAAGAGAGCGCCTACCTCGGTCTCCGAATGGCTGTCGATCGTCCCTCCAACGAAGGATAACGGTGACCAATCTTCTTCCTCTCTCTCGCAAGCCTCCCTTCTTCCTCTTCTGCTCTCTCTACCCAGAGGATTGCGCCGGCGGCGGCTTTTAAACGCCACCGAGCCGGCTCCCGCCAGGAGAACCGCGTCAGGCGTCACGTCGAGGGGTAGAAAAATCTCTTGGAAGCGGCGACTTCATCTGGGGGGGACCGCCGTAAAAATCCTTCCTTTCCATCTTTCTCGCCCTGGGTCGACGCCACAGAAAACAGATGGCGGCCGATACGACGGCGCCACAGCTGGGTTAGATTAGGTTCCGACAAGAGCTGACGAGGAGGCGGTCCCCTCCACGTCAGATCCTCGTCAGAGCGGATCAACATTCTGGTTGTCCGTGAAAAAAATCTACCGTCAACGAGACACGTGGCGCACCCATGGGATTGGAACGGCCGTACGGTCAGCCGCTGGAGGCCGACCTGTTGGTTGGTCCGATCTGGAATGTGGGCTGGATCTTCACTTTCGGGTAAACGGATCATTAATGGGTCAATCTGATTAGATCCGGCCCATCTCTGTTGATATATATTCTGACGGCGTTCGAAAGTCGCCTAGGTTTTCGAAATTCTCAGGTTGGTTCCATGGCCGTTCCAGGAAGGAACAACGGGGTGGAGGAGGAGGAGGCCGGGGAGGGGGCCCTCTTTGAGGAGGCCTGGGGCGAACCAGAGCTTGAGGTTCCTCCCCATCTCCGAGACTTCGCCGTCGCCGCGCAGAACGGCGATGTTGACGCGCTTCGTGTTGCTCTCGGTACGCACCATGCTATTCTTCTTATTGTGGGAGCACGGATGGATATCTAGAAAGTGGCGTACCTTTGTACATTTGCTATGAGATCTCTTCTGGAACTATCGCGCCATGTTTCTGCTGTGAACGTAGCGAAGCGAATAATAATGTTCGTTTTCGGCAGCTCTTGGGCATTCCTCATTGTGGCTGATCGCAAATCACAAACATTGACGTAGGTTTATGTGTTTATCCTCTTTGACGTGCATTTGTCTCAGATATCGGTAATTCTCAGGTAATACGATCGTCGATGCAACTCTTCCCAGTGAAATCAACCAGCGTGTTTCATTGGTCGGACCAGCCGTGAGGTCTAGAGATATGTTGCTCTACAAGGATCCGTATGAATTGCGTTAAAGATGTTCTGAGAATCAATCTCTTGACATGTATAACGTCTACCTGTTGACATACAAGTGTGTTGAGTGGCAGTCTGCAATTTTTTCGTGTGGACCTGACTGACATTATGTGCTGCACGGCGCGTAGTCCTTTCAGATGTTTTTATCACCAAGAACTGTTTCACAGACTAGTATGACTTATCTTACCTCTAAGTCAGTCCATGATTCTCATCATCGAGGTGAATTTTTGGAACTAGTAGGGATTTGAGAGCTAAGGACATCTAGTCACCTGTGGTCCAGAACATCATCGTTGTTTCTTTTCTTTTCTTAGGCAAGTTTCTTAAGTTTGTGCAATCATACTGTTTCTCATATTTTACCGAACCTAATTCAGGACCAATTATTTCTGCTCTAAGGTGTGTTGCATAGGAAATCAGAAATGCGTCAAGTAGGAGCCCATGGTGAAAGGGGATAGAGTGTTTCTTGATGTATCTTAACAGATCACATGAAGCCAGTACACTTTGTCCAAGTTCTCGATCTTTGATATTACCAGTGTTTCTTGTCGTCCTTCTGTGTGAAATGTCCTCATATGAAAGCTAAAAACTGGTTGAGGGCTTCTCATCGGTTTTGATGTTGTCTGCGGATCTATTGAAATTCTGTTTTGAGGTTAAAAGCTTAGTTTAGCTTATATCACATCACATGGAGGAAATGGAAGTTTAACGTCTGTGATTCCTTCCGGGGTCACGGTTCTCTATATGTATTGAAGACATTTAATGATAAGGTAGTCTTTTTCCAGGTTTTGGCTACGGGATCATTCCCTAGATAAGTTAGACTCAATGATTCGTTACTCCTTTCGTTGCGTGGGTCAGGTAAACGTTGTATGTTTGCCTTCTCATGAGAGCACATTGGGGCACTAAGCATCCGTGCTTCATGGCTTCCTCCACTATCATGCTTTTCTTTGTAAGAAGACCATAATAAAAATCAATTGAATCATTTCTGTCAGCGAATGATGTTTAGGTGGAGCTCATGTTAACATTGTAAAAGATGAGTAGGTAGGTTTGGATAAGTAAAATGTGACGTAGGCACAGCAGGCTCGATCCAATAGGGTTTGGAAAAGAGATGACAAACTAGAATCGCACAAGGCATATTTTCTTAGTTCATGGACTTGTCTAAACTTTGCTTTATTATCTGGAATGGAATCACGGTCAGCTGGGTCCACCAAAATGACTTTTTCTAGTCTCCTGTGACATGAAGAATATCTGGGGCATTGAATCTATAGCGTATGACGTCAATTGACCCGTTGGACAATATCCTATTTTTACTCGGTTTTTCTTTCTGGGTATCTCCTGCACCACTGTTGTTCCCAACCTCACAGTTTGCAGCTTTCCATGAGCGTGCTGCCAGCCGTTTATGTCACTCTAACTCCATTTCCTTCCTCGTTTGCGTGAAGAGCAGACAATCTGTCTGGTAGCATTGATGAGCCACTCGAAGATGGAGATACAGCTCTTCATTTGTGCTGCCTGTATGGTTACCTGCCCTGCGTTAAGGTTGGCAACCTGAGACTCTAATTACCTTCTTTTTTGTTAGTTATTCTCTGAATCTCCACGCAGTAAAAGCCCTAACATCAGTTGTTAATATTCCATTGAAGCTACTGCTGGAACGAGGAGCTAGCTTGGAGTCCAAGGATGAAGAAGGGGCGATTCCTCTCCATGATGCATGTGCAGGAGGTGGAGCAAATCCCTCAGCCACCATCTTCCATTGACATATCGGCTATTTACTAGTGCCATCTTCAGGGTTTATTGAGATCGTGCAGCTCTTACTTGACTCTGCTAGCAACCCGGAGGACATGAAGCAGATGCTAGAAACTGTGGACTCTGAGAATGATACTGTAAGCAGAGACCTTATACCTCCGACCCTTCATCTCTATGCATGCGTGGACGAGTCTACTCATCTATCATCTCTGTAGCCTCTTCACCATGCGGCCCGAGGCGAGCATTTGGACGTGGTTCAGCTGCTCCTGAAAGCCGGCGCCTCTCCTTGCAAGGAAAACATCTATGGAAAGGTTTCTCTTTCTTTTATCGTTCAATGGTGTTCAACCAATTGGATGTCTCTGGAGACTCTAATCTCTGATTTCGAACAGACTCCCGCTGAGCTCTGCGACCAGAGAGCTGATATCAGGGGAGCTCTATGCGCTGCATCAACATCCGAACGAAGGTAGATTCATGATCCGAATGTGTGAGTGCTCCTACAATCATCATCATCATCACATCAAGTGAGCCCTCGTCGTCTCATCAGATGTATCTCTGCACAGTTGAGTTGACTCGAAATGGACCGAGAGTGTCTTGAATTGAGCTAGAAAAGTGAGTGAAAAATGTCGTTTTTACCGGCTGGGAGGGATTCCCAACGCGACCCAGTGTGCCTCCGAGTGGAGTGGACCGTGGGGCGCCAGTTGGAGGCTTTGATGATTGAAAGGGGAGTACCAGTTACATATCTAATGCTCGGTAGGCCCTGCGCCTAGCGGAACCTAATATTGGGTGGAGTTGGGTGACGTATCGCTGTCCTCGGAGCTGTTCGACGTAAGGCCCCAATGGAAAAATATTAGGAACCTAGTCGCCGACTGAGTCACAAGCTCTCTCTCTCTCTCTCTCGATCTCTATGTTTTACTTGTTTAATATAGGAGGGGGAAAACTCTATGGAGTGTAGATGAAGAAGAGGAAAACGTCTTCCGATGTTTGCAACCACCGATGATGCCTTTCATTCCCTTCCCACCTTCCGCAGACTTATCATACTTGCGGCCACGGGTTTTCCGCTTCGGCAGGAATCTGATCGCGAGCTCACCGATCAGACGGTTGTGGGCGCCTGATTAGGCGGTGTTGGGAGGGAATTGAGGTCGACAATGCCAGCCCTGATCCAACGGAGCCAGCTAGAGATCGTAACGTGGTGCGGCGGTTGGGTGAGAGAGAGAGAGAGAGAGGATCTCTATATTTTTCAAAGTTAACAGGTCCACAATTTTAATAACGAGAGAGAGAGCGAGAGAGCGAGAGAGCGAGAGAGAGAGATCCGTGGAAGAGCTGATCTCGACCCAGAAGGAGAGAAAAGTGGGTTAGGCTGAGAGAGGGGAAGAGCGTCGAGAGATCTAGGCCTCTATAATTTTTCAAAGTCAATTTAATCTCCTCTGGAGGGGTGTAGAGAGGAGAGAGAGAGAGCGATCAGTGTAAGAGCTGATCTCAACCCAGAAGGAGAGAGAAAATGGGTTACGGAAGGGGAAGGGGGGGTGTTAACCTCAAAAATAGGTGTTAGCCGGCAGGATGGCGGGGCGTCGTCACACTACCCGTACCCACCCTTCGCAGGCGGTCGACAGCAGAGCACGCGCAGCGGCCAGGTCCGAGTTCCAGTGATGCCACGAAGGAGGAGAGGTGGATAAAAGCTCGGCTAATATAGAAAAAACCCGAGTGGCTGAGAGAGCTCGCAGAGAGCTCAAGGGAACTGCTCACGAGGACGAAGGGTGGCTTTTCGCCATAAATTATGTCGGCTCCCCCGCCTCTCCTTTCCTCCTCCACCCCTCCCTTTCTCTTTTCTCGCACGTCACATCTCTGTAAATAACGTGTATAAAGCTTTCCCAACCCTCACACACCGCCCTCCCCCTCTCTCTCTCTCTCGGTCTCTCTTTCTCTCAAGCATGGAAGCTTGGGAGGAATTCACGGCGGCGCCGAACAGCACCAGCAGCAGCAGCGAGAACAACAACGGGGAGTGCCCGCATGCCGTGGTGAAGGGGAGGAGGACGAAGCGGCAGAGGGTCCTCCAGTCGACGGCGGCGGCGTCTTCGGGGTCCTCGTCGAGTGGGGTTTCCGGCGAGGAGGAGGACCTTGCCCGGTGCCTCATCCTCCTCGCCAGAGGGGAAGGTATGGACAAGCAGGAAGCCAAGTCGGAGGAGGAAGGCATCGGTGGCAGCAGCGGCGGCGGCGGCGGCGGCGGCGGCGAGAAGTTCAGTAGCCGGAGGATGGCGGAGGCGCCGACAACGACCAACGGGAAGGCGGGCTTCTACGTCTACGAGTGCAAGACCTGCAACAAGTGCTTCCCGTCGTTCCGGGCCCTCGGTGGGCACCGTTCCAGCCACAAGAAGCCCAAGATGGCTCAGGCGGCGGCAGCGATGATCGATGAGAAGGGAGAAATAGAGGAGAGGCTGCGGATGAATATCTTGTCCAGTCCCCAGATGGGCGCCAATTCCATCGTCAGCAGCAAGACGAGGGTGCACGAGTGCTCGATATGCGGGTTGGAGTTCTCCTCCGGGCAGGCCTTAGGCGGGCACATGAGGCGGCACAGGGCGGCGACGGCGGCGACGGCGGCGCCGGAGCCCCAGAAGCCCAAGAAGGAGAAGAGCATCCTCTCGCTGGATCTTAATCTCCCCGCCCCCTCCGACGAAGAACGCGGGCATTTCCGCAATCCGCAACCGCCCTTGTCCTTCGCCGGCAAGCAACCTATCGTCTTCTCAACCTCCGCCTTGGTGGATTGCCATTACTGAGAGGAACACATGAAACCAAACTCTCCGCTATCTCCCACCCCTTCTTCTCTCGACAGATCGAAGAACCCCCCCCTCCCGGGTTCCAGTGAATTATAGTCCATAACTCTCTATTGATTGTGATTATTTGGATTCTTTACACTTCAACCGCTTTCCTCGTTCTCCTCCGTCGGCCCTTCTGCTCATGTGAGGTGCCCCTTCCAGGTTGTCTCCATTATTCTTTAATTATTCTCCTCACAGAAGAAGAAGAAGAAGAAGAAGAAGAAGAAGAAGAAGAAGAAGAAGGTTTCTTCCTCATCTTCTCTACTATCACGAGCTCGCCAGATAGATAGATAGAGAGAGAGAGAGAGAGAGAGAGAGAGAGAGAGAGGGAGGGGGGGAGAAATGGAGTAGCGTCTTCTTCTTCTCTCAGGGGAACGACGCCCTCCAGCCTTCTTCCTTCACGACATGCCAAGGAATAAAGTGCGCGGGTGGGGGGAAGAAGCCAGCCCAGTGGAGTGCGCTGCCCCGCTCACGGCATCCGTCGTCATACTTTGGAGTGGGCGGTCCGCTCGGATTGGTCAACGACTGCCACCTCGGTACAGCTCCCACTCAGTCGCCGCCAACGAGGGAGTTCTCTCAGAACACGCCTTCTTGTCTCTCCAAGCAAAGGATAATACAGTCGTCAACGTCACCGTATGAAGAGGCTGTCCACAGGGGCCATCCACAAGTCACGCTACATGGCGGTTCCTCCATTGTCCACGTGGCGTAGACTCTTCCACGTCACAATCCAAGTCCCTCCCTCCCTCTCTCTCTCTCACCCTTTGACCAACAACCTCAAGCTCACCTCCCTTCCCCTTCACACCACGGCTGATTGAGTATTTCTCCACGTGGTAATCATCTGTCTCTCTCTCTATGACTTGAGGCTGGGTAAGAGCCATGCGGTGAGGGGTGAATATTCTAGACTCTCTCCGGATCCAGCCTCGTTGAGCTAGGCGCATTGCGTTAAGGCACCGACATACAAACACGGACCGGAGGAAGAGGAGCTCCTCAAGCCAACGAATGAACGGACCATTTGTCAATTCTCCTACTTTCCACAGACAAACAGCGATGGCCGACCGGTGTGGGGCGGAGAACTGCACCGGCGGCGCCGCCCCCAGGCCACCCAACGCTGCCCGTTCTTCTTCCTCTTCCACCGTAGACTTTTCTTTCGGCGCCCGCGTCCGCCGTGGCCGGCGGCGGCGTGTGACCCCGTCGTGCACTCCTGCGGTTGCAGATCCTCCGACGGCACGACGACAGCGGCCGGCGCCTCGTTTCTCGCCCGCCGCGTGCCGCGGGGAGGCGGCGGGGCTAGTCCAGGTCCGACCTCTCCGGCAGACATTACATATTCTATTCAAATATTTACCGATGACAAAGTTCAATACAAATTATGCTCGAATCTTCATCTATCCAATAACTTAATACGCCATTAATGGGTTAAGCTCAAGTGTACATAGAATTTGCCGAGTGAGCGGTCTGTAATCGCGCTTTCAATCGGCAAAGTGGACGTCCAAAGGAGAGTTGCGCACGTCATTAAAGCTTGTGGATCCTTGCGTCCACTCAATAATAAAAAATTAAAAATAGAACGAGTCATGGAGATAAATCCGTATTAAATAGGAGAAATAACCAAGCTCGTGTTCGTCGAGATCCGAAGTACCCATAGATTTTCCCAAAGTGGGTATCATCACGAGCATCATCAGAGTTCAAGTGTCAAACGAGCGCGATAGTGTCGACACTGTGGAGCGCACTTGTTGGCGGAGATCCTAATGACCTTTGGCTGGATCAAAAGGCAGCCCCGGCGCCAACCTCGCCGCGGCGGCGCCACGGCGAGCCCCCACCCACCTCATCCGTAGTCCGTCCCATTAGTGTCAAGGGGCCCTGCTGCAGATCCCCACGAGTCAAATCCCAGGGCTCACCCACGTTAATCTTTATCACTGCAAATGATCTCATCAGATCCCGAGGTAGGCGTAGTAGCTCACGTCTTCCGTTGACCCTCTATGGGGTCCTAGACGCTGGCGGGAAACGGTTGACCTAGGTTTGGGCCTAAGCCAGAGAAGCTCACCTCCCGTAATGAGGACTGTAGAACGTACATACGTGGCCCGTTTTTATTTGGGCCGGACCGGCCCATTATTTTCACGGAAATCCTACTTCATATAGAAGTATTCTAAACAGTCAATTATCGTTGCTTTACAGTGGTTGTGGAGGTTCTTGCAGTCAATCTTCGGCGTTGTGGAGCTGCGGTTTGGCATATCTCAGATGGTGGAACTACTTCAGATCATCTGTCAAAGTTGTCTTCAGCGCCGGGTGGATCATTGTTCTTCCAATGATAATCACCTCTCCCCGGCGGCGGTGGCCCACGCCGGAGTCCCACGGGGCGGCGGCGACAGCCTGGTGGAAGGAATCGGGGTGGGCTGGGGCCTACCGAATTAGGGAGAGAGGAACCATGTCGTTCACATGGAAGGGCTCCCCATTCTGCTGGTGATGTTCATGGGCGGCGGCGGATAGCGCTCTTTCCGCGACGGCGCCGGGAAGATTTTGGACGCTTCACCCACCTTTCTCTCCAGCCTTCCCTCCTCCCCCTTCCCTGAGGTCCGCCGTGTCACGATGCCTCGGCGGCTCTTGTTCAGGCGGCGCCCTTGACTCCGGCGGAGAAATAAAAAACCAATCTGTCCTGTTCTAGGGATCGATTTACATTTATTAGGACTCATTTTTGGGGGAATATATTCGCCCCTGAATGGTTAGAACTCGACAAATATGACGAGTTGATGTAATGCTGGATTCGCATCAGAGGAAGATGCTGGAGGAGATCCTCAGACGTGCGACACCATACTTGTCGGAGAACCCTCCGAAGTGAAGCTTTGGACCCTTTCAAACGGAATCTACTAATTAGCAGGCCCACGTATCAGCTTGTGCCCTGAAAACCCCAGCTGCCAAGGAAAATGTGCCAAAGACGGATGAAAAAGGATTATTTTTAATCATATTCCTAGCAGGTTGACATGTAGTTGGGAGAGTAAACTTATAACTAGACAGATGTGCCGGTGGAGAAGATCAAAATCAAGTCTGAAAAGAACAAGATCTCATCTCCACTGGAGACAAGTATGGACTTCACCACACATCATCTTATTCTCTCTCTCTCTCTCTCTCTGGGAATACTTGGAGAGAAGAGCTGGGCCAACCTTAGGTCAGACCTGAGCTGCATAAGAATCCGCCTACATCCCATCTATTCGAGTTTTTTCTAGAAGAGGCCGAAGTTCGGGCCCTGTGAAAGGCACCCAGGCCCAAGCTGAGCCTGACGACTACCGTTGAAGGCCCTCTACATCTCGCTAATCTTCTTCCCTATACACGGTCCTTTCCTTCCTCTCAAAAGCCCTACGCTTCCTCCCTGATGACCACGAGATCCTTCCGAGACACGGTGAGAGAAGATGACAAACGGGGAGAAAGCCACGAATCGCCACTCAGTGGTGATGACGGTTCAGCATGTGGGCTTTGTACCCTGTGGGTCACTCTCATAATTCAATCGGAGGAGGACCTTCGTGGGCACTACGCCTGCCACTCGGTGTACGGTTCGACAATAATACCCATGATCGATTCATAGGGAGGAGACCCATCTGGAATGGTGCGGTGGCGAGTCGGAAGCTCCGAGAGACCGGAGCCCACGGCTCGACTCGGAAGGTTTGGTCGGCCGACCTTCGGAGGTCGCCCACCAAGGCGATGATTGGTTGAAGGCAGCCAACCAGGACAGAGTGGGCGACCATGACGGGTGAAGAGGTCGGCGGCCGCCCATCCTCACTCTCACCAGAACTAAGGGAAGAGGGTGCATTTTCTTGTCTTCAAGTCTCTCTATTTCCCTAGTAGTAGTCATTTTTCTGGTTCCTTATTTGCCTTCATGACTTTTGTCGAGATTACTGAAGAAAAGAGTCAATCAAATGCGTTAATTACCTTGCTCTTTGTCAAGTCTAATACGGTGGTCGAACGCATGCTAAGTTCTTGAATAATCCTATGCTTTCCAATTAATTCATGGCTTCCTCCAGAGTGATTCCGCTCTGAAGAGGACAAATTAGAGTGTTGTTGTTAAATAGAGGACCCGCTCACATTTAAATTCTGAGTTCGACCGAGTCAATTATTCAATAAAATATATGGTATAATTAATTCCATCGGTGGATAAGAGAGATTGGGAGATAACGGCGAGCAAGCTAAGTATGCCAGTTGGCAGCCTGCCGATTGGTCAGTATAAATAGGATGAGAGCGAGTGTGGTGCCGAAGCCTGCGAGTAAGAAGTAGCGCTCCCTCCTCTCTCTCTCTCTCTCTCTCTCTCTCTCTCTCTCTCCCGCCCCAACATCTCCGTCGACTGCCCATAGGGGAAGGAACAAGATGCCGATCTCACAGATTGCCGTCGGAGGGAGGGAGGAGGCGACCCACCCGGACGCCCTGAAGGCCGCCCTCGCGGAATTTCTCTCCACCCTAATCTTCGTCTTTGCCGGCCAGGGCTCCGGCATGGCCTTCAGTACGTGAGACGGAACCTGCGGCCGCTGCCACCACCACCGAGACTCTGCTTCTTGTTCTTCTTGTTGTTCTTCTTCTTGTATCGTGACTTCGTGATGCCCACGCAGATAAGCTGACGAACGACGGATCGACGACACCGGCGGGGCTCGTGGCAGCCTCGCTTGCCCACGCCTTCGGCTTGTTCGTAGCCGTTTCCGTCGGCGCCAACATCTCCGGCGGCCACGTCAACCCCGCGGTCACCTTCGGTGCCTTCATCGGCGGCAACATCACACTTCTCCGCGGCATACTCTACTGGATCGCCCAGCTCCTCGGCTCCACCGTTGCCTGCCTCCTCCTTCGTTTCGCCACCGGTGGACTGGTCTGTCCTCACTCCTCTCTCTGCATCACTTATTCTCTCTCTCTCTCTCTCTCTCTCTCTCTCTCTCTCTCTAATGACGTCGAAGTTGCATGGAGCAGGCCACGGGAACGTTCGGGCTGTCGTCAGGGGTGGGCGTGTGGAACGCGGTGGTGCTGGAGATTGTGATGACATTCGGGCTGGTCTACACAGTCTACGCCACGGCAATCGACCCGAAGAGAGGCACCGTCGGCACCATCGCGCCCATAGCCATCGGCTTTATCGTCGGTGCCAACATCCTCGCTGGCGGCGCCTTCGATGGGGCCTCCATGAACCCCGCCGTCTCCTTCGGCCCGGCCCTCGTCAGCTGGGACTGGACCAACCACTGGATCTACTGGGTCGGCCCGCTCATCGGCGGCGGCATCGCCGGCCTCATCTACGAGTTCATCTTCATCTCCCAGACCCACGAGCCCGTCCCCTCCAGCGACTTCTGAGAGGCCTGTGAACGCATGGCCTATCCCATTACCTTCTCTTCCCCCCTCTCCTTCGTGTAACTTGGTGCAGTCCCTTCTTCCCTCCCCCTCCCTGTAACTTCTCCTTGTTGCAGATCCTCCTTGCAGCTCGCCGGTGCAACCTGTCCATCCATTTGTGGCGGAATGATCTTCTGTTCATTTATCTCTGGACTAGGTCGATTTCGTTTCTTGTTTGACCTTTCGTTAATCTCCCATCAAAATACGTCATGATCGTCGTCAACTCTCGGGATATCTCTGCCGGAGTCTGGCCAAGAAGACCACGGACATGGCCGTGATATCTTTTAGGTTTACATGGGGCACCTATGCCGTCTGCTTGAGGAGCACCTAGAAGGATGGGGAGAGGGCGCATTATTGAGCTCTCCCCATCGGTCGCTTTCTCTCGGTGCTGGATTCACGTGTATGCGCAGCCATCTTCTTCCGTGCTCTCCTTTACAGGCGGTCCTCGAGCAGTAACTTCTGGTTGAGTGAGGGTAGTACTCCCTGGCGCGGCCGAGTAATAACCTCAGCGTGGGCGTCCATCTCCCACTTCCTTTAGCTAGTGCGGGTAGTAACTCCTCTACAACCCCGTGGAGTCGAGAGTCCTTCGAACGCTGGTCCCCCTCCCTTTCTCTCTCTCTCTCTATATGAATCTATCTCTATTTCCACGAATTTTCCAGCAGGGAAATGTGGTTTCCTTGTGCACTATCTCCATCGGCACAGACTGGAGATGATCTCGGACGATCTTCGTTAATGAGGAGAAAGTCATAGAGAGAGATGTTGATTGAAGGGCGGATAGATAGGCACAGTGAGAGAGAGAGAGAGAGAGAGAGAGAGAGAGTTGCACTGATCATATAACTGCAGTCAATGATCTGCAAAGCCCGTAAATAAAGCACCTCTGTCTCTCTCCCCTCCGTGCATGAATGATGACACGGAAAACCGGCATCTCTAACATGCATCCAGAAATATTCCCGGAAATATTCTTTTCTGGAAACTCGAAGACAAATCTCTCCGGCGCCTGCTCCTTTCCTCGATCATTTTTTTTTTCTTTTTCATTTTAATCTCCGTCAAGCAGAACCGTCTCACTCCGGCCCACCGCCGCCCAACTGCTCCTCCGGCCAAGAACAGCCATCGCCGCAGATCGTAGGAAAACGAAAGGCCTAAACCGAGGAGGATACCCTTCAAAATAGAAAATAATATATATAAAGAAAGAGAGAGAGAGAGAGAGAGAGAGATAGACCTATATTAGGGATGAGAGAAGATTGAGACGTCCCCGTCCCAATCAACAGGATAAACACAGGGAGGGGTTGCCGTGGCCGGCCAGCAGCAGGATAATAAAGGGAGTGGTTAGGTTACAAGCCTAAGCGGACAGCGCAGACGCAGTGTGACGTCTCGAGCATTCCAGTTCAGTCGCCACCGCGGTCGAGCGGGGGACCCTCTCCCGATAAGGATCTGTCTGTGTAGATCCCAGAGGATGACTCCGTCCCAGTGGATAAGATGGAGGAGACGAAGGTAAGCCAGGGCCTGTAGATCGATAAATAACTCCGGTGGGCCTGCAAACCTGGAACACGTTCTCCTCGACGAGCACAAGATATTTTATGTCAATAAAACATAGTATAATATAAGATAAATCAGCAGTGAGCTAGATCGTAGAAGTCCAAGAGCATGAGAGTTTGAGAGTCTCATCTCCTCGGTTGAGCATGAGAATTCACAGCCTGTTTTCTGCTTCTTTGCCATGCTTTTTGTGGGTCTATAACTCAGCTTACTCCCCACTCTGTAGCCGAAGTACAGTCCTACTCAGTGGGGCGTAGATGATAACTGGCTACTAGCTGACGATGGCTAAATTAGTCCCATATGTTTTTTAAACATATGATTTAATTGATTTCTTTTATCTTGGATTTCTATGCTTTCTTGGGCTAAACCACGATCAAAGAGGGCATCTTGAAGTAGAACACCTGCCATATCAAAGAGAATTTGTCACGATGATGGGAAATTCTGAAGATTTTAGCGTCGTAAGTTGATGGGTGTCTGGGGAAGTTTTCCTTCAGCGAGACTCATCTTAAAGAGGAATGAATACCCGAGACTCATCTTCCTTCAATAAATAGAGTAAGTCCGGAGCAATCCTTTTCTTGATCTTGACCTCAAGACTAAGTCCGAGCCTTCGCAACCATCTTTCACTGGTCGCCGGATCGTCTTGAACCCTCGAGAAACGTCCTACAGTAGGCCTCATCTACACCACACTGAATCCTAGATCAACCGAGAGAGAGAAGGGGATGGGAGGGGGGAGGGGAGAGAAAGAGAGAGATAGGGAGAGGGAGAGGGAGAGGAGGGAGAGAGAGAGGGGAGAGGGAGAGGGAGAGGGAGAGGGAGAGAGAGAGAGAGAGAGAGAGAGAGAGAGAGAGAGAGAGAGAGAGAGAGAGAGAGAGAGAGAGAGAGGCTAGCTGGGTTACCCAGTCCATCAGTGCCCCCTCTGAAAATCTTCTCAATTTGAATTTTTAATTTGGTTTTTCATTAGTCGATTCAAGTGAGGGAAACTTCTCTGTCGAGTCCGGGAGAAGAGACGTTCATGCGATGAACCTTCTTTCGGGCACACCACCCCCCACTAACATAACCAAGGGAATTTCTCCATCCACCAGCAAACAAATCTCTACACAAATAAAAACCCCTTTACATGATAAAGATGAGAGATTACAGAGAAGCAGCATCCGTGCCAGCGGCCGAACAGGTTCCTCCTGTGCACTCATCTTTCTCTTCAGAGGAAAGAACAGCAGCCGCCGCCCGGACTTGCATTGTACTCTGGTTTCTGTTTGAAACTAGTCCTCTTCACAGCCGCAGATCCTTCTACCAGAAGACTAGGGACCTCCAGAATCTGCAAGGTTTCTCATGCCAGCATGGTGAGGAAACGAAGACGAAGTCTCCCAGTCTCCACTAACGAAGCTGAATTCTTTAAAAGCTACTTTCTTTCAAAGCAGGTTACAGCGAGTAAAAATCAGCTCTCCAAGTGAAACCCAGGCACAAAAACAGAGGCCGCGTGTTTGAAAACAAAACCACGTTCCAAATCTCTCAAAAATATATGAGAATCTCCTCCTCGACAAGAAGAAAAAGTTTTGCCCACTCTTTCACCTTTGAATAAATGAAGAGACAAACCCCAACTGACACGTATGGATATGGAATTGGTTCTCTCATTCTAATCCTAGCATGAACGGATATATCAAGTCCTCTGAATAAGATATGGACCCAAGATTGGAAGGATGCCATCTACAACATAATGGGATTGCTCAAATGGCAGAAGAGAGGCAATATATTGTTTCAGGTTTAAGAAAAATAAATAAATTCTTACACCTTCAAAAAGTTCAGGTACAAATAGTTGCGTTCAAAGCATCATCTTATTTTTTTTAATTTCCGTAAAATATCGTTCTTGATTTCTACTCTGACCCTCCCATCCCAATTGTTGGAGAAGGTGAATTCAAAAATGCTTTTATAAAAAAATAAATAAGTTTTTAAAAAGTAATGGCCACTGTTCATTACTGTATCTTAGTCTCCCCTTCCTTATAGGCTATATAAAAAACAAAGCATATAAATGATACGACAGAAGCAGAAATTAATCGTCTGAGCATCAGATCACCCCTATGCACTACGAATTCTGGGAAGAACCAAGAATCCAGAGTTGAGGGGGGACGTTGAAGCCTGTCTTTTTCATTCCCCACTCAGAAAGTTTCTTCCTTTGGTTGGAAGGTTTAGGTCTCTTAATAAATCCTGAGGATATCTATCTTCATCATTATTTTAACTATCGTTTTCGTTTTAGCATATTTATTAATCTTGCTACCCGTATGCCAATTATTCCAGGTATCAATTTTGATTTTTTTCTAAAACTGAACTAGAGACTTCTACAATCAGTAATGAACCATTTGAGAATCGACTTGCTACGTATCAGTACTGTAACATGACTAAATCACTGCCCTTGATTACTCATACTGTGTATCAAATCCAATATTTGCAAAATCAAGAAATACTTTCTGGAGATGTACCTTTAGTGCAAGCTCTTCAAAACACTTCCCTGTATTTTCTCCTGTTTTTGCACTGCATTCAAGAAATACACATCCATATTGGGATGCAAGTGAGATTCCTTCATCTCTCGACACCATTCTTTCGCTTTCCTGAGATAACACATGAAGCTGAGTGGTCATTATACTACATTACTACATCCAAATGCCACAAAAAATCTTTTAAGGCATAGGAAAAACCAATCATGAATGCGTATTAGCTGAGTTATCATAGAAATTAGTACTTAAGCTCGTAAAAATAAAAATGAAAAACAGGGTGAGTAAACTCCCTCTAGTTAAAATATATCATATTCAGATATAGATTTAGCACTACAAAATAAATTCAATTGCATTAATGACTGTTTGGCGCAGAGAACTACTTGAGACAACTCAACACGAATCTAGTTATTTGCTCATGAGTCTGATACTTGACACACTAGGATGAATGGAGTTACATAGATAAGGCTTTTTCAAAGACACTAGGATGAATGGAGTTACACTAGGACCTCGCACATTGACTTTCACCAGTCAACGCCAGGGTGTGTAATTTTGTTAGGTACTTGGTATTTCAACTTTTTAACTTTCTGAGGTTACCAAATATTTAGATGGTCAATGATCCAATTAGCTAAATGAGGATCTTACTGGTTCTTGGATACCAATTTCATGACTCTTAGCTTACACCTTACACAATCCCCTCCAGATGAAAAGGTCACCCCAGTTGATTGATACTTCTATAAAAAAAATGCACATAAATCTTCAATAGTAAGTTCCTTTAAAGTACAGAAAATATGTGATTGATTAATCAATTTGAAATGAGCTCCGTATGTAAACGATGAGGTTAGTGTACTTTCTTGCCCTTGTTCACATTATGAAGTGTTTGGAGGAGTTTTCTCACTGTAATGGGCATAAAATATTCTTCACTTCTATCGGTCACTGACAACTAAAGCATGGGGTCTGAAGAATCTCATAAGAGATCCCCGCACCGGTTAAATACCCTAATTCCTCCATGACAATTCGTAAGTCCAACCAGAAACTTAGAGTTGGAAAAGCTCTATTGTCCTACAAGAGAAAATCAATCGTACAAAGCTGTTTGAAAAATAAACACGTTACTTTACTTTTATCTTCCTTTGTCTGGAGAATAATAGAATAGGTTCTAGCACCAACTGCGAAGTCAATGCCAAAGCAATTTTTTGATACTGAAGACAAGAAGCAAGTCGTAATAATTATGATGTTGAGGCATGATGATGATAAGGGAAGCGATAGGGAAACTCAGGCACTCATAGTATGTGATTTCAATTGTATGACGCTTCGTTTGGGGTTGCCTCAGTGAAGGGTTGATTCCCAGGCTAAAAAGTAACCTTTTGATGGGGGTGATCACAAGCAAATACTAGAGAAGAGAATGAACATCATGCCGTCACATAGTTTATGATAATTATTATCCGCAGAAAGCCAACAATAGTGGGCTGATGTTGGGAAGGAAGGAACGAGGACTACGTTGCAGGTGTTAAGCCCTCAAGGTTAGACATGCATTTCTAGGTGAAAAAGAATGGTTCGGTTTGTTTCACTCTCTGACTTTGGATAGACATCTCTTAAACATGATCAACAAGATTTCAGGACGTTCATTTTTCACCCAAATCAGATGCTTCCCGATGATTCCTGGTGATTTCTGCTGTCTTTCACAAGTTGTTAGGACTGGTGGCATATTACTAGGCATACACTTCCTCTTCTAGAAGGAAGATTGACGGAGCTAGACATTAAGCTTGACAAGCTTTTCCTGACAAGCATTACTAGGAGAGTCTTGAGCAGCTAAGTGAACGCTTAAGCAGCTTAATGCGTCTGACATGCAGACGGGTACATAATTCCCATTCATATATCCATTAAAATATGATTCAATATTTTTGTTATAGGTTGCTACCTGTCAACCCAGACATCTCCACTTAGGACTCAATCTTTAGATGATATAAAAGGGTCTTGCAGCTTTTAACAAGCAATAGCTGTGACACCCTAATTTTTCATCAGGACATAAAACTATACGAACAATTAGTCAACAAGCGGCCACTATGACTTTTTGTTGAGATTGGATGTAATGATCAAGCGAATCCATAGATGAAAACAGCAAGTATTTAAGGTCCAGGAGAAGGATTATTTTGTGAAGGATGAGAATAATTATATACATTCTCTCCCTTGTGTCATTTTTCACTAAAGTCAAATCGGCCAGCATGCAGATAAGTGATATGGAAATAAGTATCATGCAAATCTTCTGTAAGCAAGAGAGTTACTGAGGGGGAGAGAGAGAGAGAGAGAGCAAAAACGTCCAGGCCATTTATGGGCAATAATGCGATCTAGCTAGCAAACCAAAAAGAAAATAAGGCAATAGTCCAGGGAAGAGAACCACATGAGCTATTAGAAATATACTTCACATACACGGAAGTTCCACAGGTAACCCCAAAGAGTTCAAGCAAAACGACGAACGGTCTTGCATGCATCCACACCTTAGGAGTATAATTTTACTCTTTGAAATTATATAATGTCGAATAGAGCATCAGTTATGTCATATTTAATGGTTCATAATCGCACACAGAGCATAAAACATGTACCCGCGTATGTATGCCAAAATACATAAAAGACACATCACTGATCTTACTCTGTCAACTTTATTTCCAACAAGAACTCTGATGCAATCCGGATTAGTGGAGTAGAGCTCAATCTCCTTGGCCCATACATCAGACAAATTTGTAAATGTTTCTCGGCGTGTAACATCATAAACTGAAATATTTAAATATATCACCAATCAGTAAGCATTAGCTTCAACGAAACGTGGGAAACTTGTCATCCAAAGTAGCACGAGACAATTTTTAGAATTCCAGTCGCCACCGCAAATAGTGAATTATTTTTTTTTTTGACACAAGATGAATGAACTTCAAGATGAATATCAGCTAGAACAAGTGTACTAATCGGTAATATGTGCGATGAAAATGAAATTCCTAAAGATGGCAATAAGTCAAGGACCTCGAAAATATTGTGCATTCTCAATCGTATCCTTCTCCAAATTTTCCAGATATTAGAGTTTCTATCTGTCTACGGATTCTAGAGAACAGTGCACAGATAAATTTTTCACAATAAGAATCAAAGAGGATTTTAAAAACTGTATTTTGAGAGAAATGCAAAAAAAATAAATGCAAGATACATTTTATTACTATAACTATCAGCACTAGGGACAACTTTGTGAACATACGACTAATAGGGAAGAAAGGGGAAAAAATTCAAAATCAGTACACAAGAGGAGAGGAATACACGAGTTTTAATATGTGCGTGTTCTGTCTCTTTAAGAACAGAGTGCCATCAGCTATCATCATAACATTTAATTTACAGAGAACTCTACAGAGGTTTTCCCTGATAAATTCTTATTGAATTCAAAAACATAAGCTTCCTTTACTACATCCAATATCTTAAAAAAACTCAAAACAATGCTCGTTTCCTTTTAAAAGTTGTTCATCATTTCAAATCCTAAGGATCTTAAGAAAACATTTTTCTGCACCTTAAAAGCATTTAGAGAGAAATATCTCTCAATAATTCCTCCCACTCTTCTCAGACAGGTATCAAAATTGACAAGAACAGGAACCGAATTGGTGGAGAACAATGAAACCCCAGCAACATACCTGCATGTAGGACCACAACATATGCCGTCCTAATAATGGAAGGAAGACATGAGAATATATACCTAGAATTATGCCTTGAGAACCTCTGTAATACGAGCTGGTTAGTGTCCTGAACTTCTCCTGTCCAGCTGGAAGGGCAACAAACCATATTTATTACTGATACAAGGCATTGAAACAGAACATCAATATATGAATGCAAGAGCCAAAGTAAATAGATGATGAAATCACTGTTGCTCACTTCAAAACATTAATAAGTTACATCAAATTCTCTTTTTTATTTCACTCCACAGGGAAGAAGAAAATGAGAATTGCCTATTAGTTTCTGTTATTCCAAATTAATAAGTGATTAATGTTTTCATTTAGTATACGAGTTCACTAAGATGCGGAGGATATTAACACCATGAGAACAGGAACTTTTTTATTGAGGGTAACAGAAAAGAATGGTTTATCGTTTTAAAATAAGCATTTCCAATTAGTCAAAGAATGTTTGGACTTCATTTTTATCCACCTAGCAACAAACCAGGTTCCTTATGGAGAAACCAGACAAACATCATTTGAGAGAGAGTAACATTTTGCAGTGTTATGAATGCATACGCTACATACAAAAAATCAACTGGGATCACCCCAAAAAGCCTCTACTCGTGACAAAGTTGTGAAAGGGATCAAAGTAAGGAAATGCCCTGCCACCTAAGCAGTCAAGACTTCAGATTCTAATGAAAATTATGATCTACATAAATTTCATCTTAACATGTACATTATATGCCGCATAAATTTCATCCTAAAGTAATTAGATTCAATGATACTCGTAAAAAAAAATCGCACATACACAACTATGATATCATTAGAAAACAAGAACGTTCATATTTCTGGAGCACCGTCAAACGCTTAATCACTATCTATGATATAAAAGCTTCCAAAATTAACTGAAACTACATTTAGTGACCTCTTCACAAGAGAAGATAAGATTCTTTATGCCTTGTATTATAGGAACCCGGTTCTTTTACTCAGGGGAACAATTTGGGTAGGTAGGTGTGGGGAAGAGTGACCCAAGACAACTTCGGTTGACACTTAAAATGCTTTGAAAGAGTTCTTTTTACCAAAGAACTCGAATAAATTCGTTTTTCTGGACTCTTCTATCAGGGAAAAACCCATTGTTCACCAAATTGTTTTTGTCACAAATTTCAGATCGTGACAAAAACATGTCATTCTGATAAGGCTCCGATGAATACGTGTAGTGGAAGACAGAAAAAGACAGCAGTTTTGTAGGGAAGTAAGGGGGCGGCGAGAGGGGCAAATAGGCCATTGTTAAGGTTAGGGTTTTAAGACCCCCCTTCGAGCAAATGAGGGCGATGCTTTTGGAGGGAAAATCACCAGGGCGAGGACGGGAAGCCTCTCGAGCAACTTCCCAGGTTCTGTTAGGGCTCGGTGGAGCCCAGTTTATTTTCTGTTCTATCTGTTCTATCTGTCTTGGCAGCTGGAGGAGGGAATCTTATCACATTCATGGCAGGGTTCTATCAATTATGGCATATTTCTGTTTGATCTGTCTCCAACTATTTTTTGAAAAGTAAAGGGAAGTAAATGGTCCCCCAACTAAGATAACACAATCCTCGCACCAATTTGCCAAAGATCAGATCTAATACTTACAAAAACTAAATGTTAGTTCTTCTATCATTCTATCCCACTAATAGTTAATACCATGCCATGACTAATGGAATGAAATTTACCGAAAGGAAATCATTCATGCTTGGAATTAAATTATATAATATTACCAGTGTCCCAAATAGTGAGCTTCAATCTCTTTCCAGCAACTGTAAGCAGCTTTATCTTAAAATCAACGCCTGGTCATTGAAACAAAAAAAAATAAAAATGGTCACAATACTAATCGTCATCAGCAATTAGCAAGTAGTTAAAATGTAGAAACACGAATAAGTGCTCCAGTGAGTTAATTTCTTCATTACCCTAAATAATCTAAAATAAAAAAATGTTGCGCAAGAGTACATACTGGAGTGTAAAAGCTAACCAGCCACAACAGCCAGACAGAATTACGTGAAAAACAGAGTTCAAGTTTCCTCAAGATTGACAACTACAAACACACTAGATAAATACTTATTGACAATATCTTTTTGATATAGTGATGAATGCTTTTTGCATGACTGAATATAAACCCTGAATGCAGAGTATTGTGGACCCTTGCCAAATAAGCTCTGGATCAAATTCTTAGAACCATAATTAAACCTGCAGGCTATGAGATCAGCGTGATTATGTGGGTACTACATTATGTTTAACAATTGAATGAAGAAAAAGTGAACGAAGCCCAGAGCAGGAGGCATTATTCAGCAGTCGATGGCTAACATTTTCACTCATCGTAGAACTAAATAGCAGCCGACAGACAGGAACGTAAATCTGTGAAGAAGATACATTTTTTCTAGCTGACGGAAACTAAAACAAGAATGCAGAGAAAAAATCGAGAGACTGACAAGAATATCAGGAATGAAAGCAAGTCTTGAGATGGTTTTCTCGCTTTTAGCATGACAGAGGCACACAAACTGGTGGAGGGTTCAGAAGGAATGGGAGGAGCCGAGAGCTAGGTAAAAGATCTTGAATGAGCATGAAATAAGATTAACATCAGTGAAACCTCTGCAGGTTCGCCCACATTCCGATAAAAGTACCCCTGGATAAGAAGGATCTACACTCCCAGACAAAGAACATAGAGACAAGGATCCAACTAAGAAGATTTTCAAACAAAATTATCATTATTGACGTGGGAAAAATTTTAAAGTGGTATCAGTGATTGAGATGAAAAATAAAATGATGAAAATTTCGTGGTACCTTGTGTCAAGTCAAGAAAGATGAGCAAAACGGATGTTGTTCATGTGGCTTATTATTTGTACTAAATGACAGACAGGAAAGCCAATCAAATCGATGAATCAACCAGGACAGAACCACCGTCCTAGTCTTCTTGGTTGTCACCAATGCAAACAATCGAAAGGAATGCAGCATGAACGAGACGAGAATTAGACAGCAAAGCGTCAAGGTTATAAGTCTCATGTGAAATAAAAGGAAAGGGCATTTTCAGATGAGGAGAAGGAAAAGAATGACGACTGCGTCGAAGGAGGGGTACCGATGGTGGAGGCGATGTTGTCGGCGTACTCGGAGATGAAGGTGACAAGGAGACTGCTCTTCCCGACGCCGGAATCCCCGATGAGCAGAACTTTGAAGGAGTAGTCATAGCCTCCCCCTTGCCTCGACGAGGAACCCATCAAATCACTCCTCAGGCGAACGACAGTCACGGGACAAGAAAATGGTTCGAGACTCTTCACACAAAGGGGAGGTTAAAACTAAAAAAAAAACGCTTCAGGTTCTCTCTCTCTCTCTCTCTCTCTCTGTCACACACATGCACAGAGATAAAAGAACCCAGAGAGAGAAGGCCTTTCTCCCCACTCCACCTTCCTTGTGCGTCCACCATTGGTGGAGGGTGGCGAGACAGCAGTGGGCGATGCGTCGGTACGAAGTGACCATCCCCAGAAGAGTAAAGTAGGGGGGGTGGGGGGTTAGAGAGAGAGAGAGAGAGAGAGAGAGAGGGAAGGTGCGCGAGGAAGGTGGGGCGTCATTGCGGAGACCCTGGCAGCCGAAAAAACAAATGCTTTTTCTCTCCTCAAGCTCCTGATGCCCGTCATCAGATGGAAGGAACTCCAAATTCCTTCGCTTCCTTCCCCAACCCTCAACGGCACGCCTTGTCCCTCTCCGAGGCCTTCAACCTCGAGGGGCTCTTTCGCATCCTTTACACCTCACGAACACCCTCATCTGAGACAGGCGACTCTCTTGTCCTCTTTGCGGACGATTAAACTAAGCAAGAGGGAACACAATCAGGTCAGTGGGCACTTGTAAAAGAAGAGCCTGCTCCCCGCTGGCGGTCGGGTCCGACAATGGGAAACCCGGCGGACCAGCTACGGCTCCCGACAAGGTTTGACCACGGATTGGCACGCCTTGCAAAACAAAGGCGATTCCGGCGCACCCAGGACGCGCCGCCACGGGTGGCGCGAAGCGGGCGGCGAAGCTCACCCTCGTCTTTGCCTCGGAGGCCTTAGTCTCACACCAGTCCGATAGCCCAGATCATGACAGGCCTGAGGACAAACAATGGCCTGGTGGTATCCCATGTCCATACTATGCACAATTGATAACACTCCATCTCCAGAATCATGAAATAAACTCTTCCTTATTCGAGGAAAATTTATATAAGAAACTTGGTTTCTGGGTGCCACAAAGTACATAAATTATTCCAACAGAACCGACTACTCCAGGGTCAAGAAGAAAATAACAGGCTCAAAATGGAAGAGAACGATTACTGTCGGCTTTGACAGCAAGAAGCCGCAGGTTAATACCTGTGAATGAGTAGCTCGGATGCTTTCTCGTTCTTTGCATAGAAGCTGACCTCCGCCTGCAGTACGAACCAGAGAAAAAGAGAAGATTCAGCCGGTCGGCAAGCAGAGGCTCCAATCGTTTCTAGAAAGAAGAGAGAGAGAGAGAGAGAGAGAGAGAGAAGAAGTCACCTTCCGAACGCCTAGTATGGCCGTTAAAAGCTTCTCCCCCATCATCTCCTTTATAACCTCGTTCCCCTCGAGAGCTTTAACAGACTCAGCCAGCACGCTGGGTAACCTTGGAGGCGTTGGAACGAGATCAGCAGGATTTATCTCTGCGCCACAAGAATCACTCTGTGAAGTAGCTGCCTTCAACTTTGAAGAAATGGGTAGTTTTTCTTTAATATGATTGCTGTGATATAATTATATGATAATCCTAATCATAGGGGCAATTTTTCTAATAAGAAATTAAGGTAGCATTAATTAATTCGGTAGAATTTGTGGCCTCAAAGGATGGGCAGACTGAAATTCATAGTCGACTGGTGAATTAATTGGAAAATAAACATACCAACGGGCTCGGGCAAGCAGAGATTTCTTCGGAGGCCATCGATGCCAGAAGACATTATAGCCGCCAGACCCAGATGGGGATTTGCACAGCCATCAAAGGATTTGATCTCAAAGTTGCTCACAAGGCCCCCGGGTATACCAGGTGGGCATGAAGTTCTTATTGGGGCCTCTCTGTTCTCTTTGCCCCAGCATTGGTACGCTCCACTCCAGGTATTTGGTTGAATGCGCTCATAGCTGCATTTATAACATTATCAAGGCTCATGAACGTACATCCTCCCATGGAATTTAGCAATTGTCTAGGAAATATAGTCACCTGTTTGGCAGTGGCGCTGTGAGTGCTAAGATAGATGGAAGATGATGCAGAATGCCGGCCATGAATTTTTCTCCAATATTTGACATTCCATGCCTAGTTGCTGACACATCAGATCCCATGAAAACATTCTTTCCGTTTTCCCACAAACTCAAATGAACATGACATCCAGATCCAACATCAAATAAGGAGTACCTGACAGATTGCATCGTACACAATAAGTTGGCAACAAAATTTCACATCGATTAATTCACCGTGTCATTATTTAACCATAAGAACTCTAAAGACTCCGTATCGCACAAATATACCATTAAAATTAACATAATGTCTGATTTATTGCAACCTAACGTCAGTCACGATCAGAAAGGATTACAGAAACATGCTGGCCAGTTAGCAGTCAGATCGATTCTGCTGTCTTTTGCTTCACTAGAATATTGAAGACATAATTCGCCTTAATCTCATTATGTATCATCACGATAACATAGACGAAATTTAAACATGCGAGAAATAAAATATCCAGAACCAAAAAAAAGACCACTGCGAAATTTTATACAACCCAATATGATTCCAATACAATGGAAGAAAAATTAATTTTCGAACGTGGGTCCGTACCACATGAGCCTGAGTTAAACTGTACCAATAGAGCTCTCACCGTCTCTAAAATCTACAGAAAATGAAAAGAAAAGTAGCATTCCCCGGGGAAAAAGGAACATCCTATCCTTCCTGCAAACTCCCAAGATACATCTTCCCGAATATGAACTGCAGATGGTCCTAAAATCTTTGGGCGCGCTGGACATGGTTCCCAGATTCATTGAAAAATGAAAAAGCTCTTAAATTCTTTTCTTAAATAAAATGTTTGTGGGTATGCAGAACTCTTCATCATATCTTTATGCCCGTGTCAAAGTCTAATGTTTACATGCAATCAATAACAACTCTCCTTAATCGGTTTTTTCTTCAGATCAGGCACGAAGAGAATCTTGCCAAGAATAACTATTTTTCAGAATTTCAGTTACCTGTATTGCTTTTGAAGAAAATACCAAATGAAGGGCAATCATGATATTTCATGATAGAAGACTTTATTGCTTCTAAGAATCTTATGATTGATCCGAAAAGAATTGGGAGACGGGATAAGCCAATAAAAACATAAAGATTCAGAAAAGAAATCTGACTGCTGAGTACACATTGTGGTCCAAATGATTCCCATCAATTATGATCTTGTGTCTACTTAAAAGATTTATTCACGGTTTGGTGAGGGTTTGTGACATTTTGATTAATGATAAACAGTTTATAACTGATTACTAAGCTCCTATTCAGCTTCAGATGGGTTTTTAATGAGTTACACGAACCTGAGGAGAATATCTATGGCATCACTTCCACGACAGAAGTGGGAACAGCCTATGAGAATACCCTACTCGAGGAAAATGGATTAGCGTTCATTTTTTGCCAGTTCCTACCTTCGCTCAAGGTTTTTATCCCTCAGGGATATGTTCCAAAGACCAAGGTAGAACCATAAATAGCACCTGAAACAGTAGCGGGTACTTGTAATATTCCATTCCTTTTAATGCCAGTGGATACGAGGCCCAGTGAAAACCCTAACCGCATTCATTAACAAACTGGTCTTCAGGGGTTTCTTTGAGCAGACAAGAACTTATAAACAGGTAGCCATTGAATACAATAGCAACACCTAGCATGTGAAATGGATGCCTTGGAAGGTAATCATGACGTTTACAAGCTATGGAAACTGAGGTGATGTTGTTCACGGATGTTTTGTCATGATATTTTAATTCACTGTTCTTTGAAAGACGAAAGCAGAAGGAACAAATTTTGAAGTTTCAAACATATATGCCCAGAACACACCACTCAAAATGAGTTAAAAAAACAGAATTTTTGAGAATAATAAAAATGTGAAATACTTCCTGTCCCAAATGCCTCATAAACTACACGAACTCAAATGAGAAAAAATGAATTTCACACTAAGAAAAATGAAAGTCCTACTTGGGCATAAAAGTTGCTAAGAACCCATGCTTCGAAGAGACAGATCGTATAACCTCACGAACATAAATCAAATCGTCAGCTGTTCTAGTGCAAATAGCATGACCCAGCGCAATCTCAAACTGGCCGTTTCCAGCTTCCGCATGCAGCTGCAATTACGATTTTTTGATCAAATATGTTATGGCAATATATCATGAAATTCTTTGAGGTAAAAGGGCACAGATTGGATCACCTGTTCGACTGGAATATTTAGGGAATGCAGGGCAGCGTTCACTTCTTGAAGCAGTGGTGATACAGCATCAAAACCAGAAGTTGAGCAGTACGGAGTCTTATCGACTGGGATCCACTCTTCTTTCCCTTCTCTGTATAAATTCTCAGCTCTGGTATTAAATTGATTTGAAGTATGAGCACCTCAAAAAAAATTGAGAAAAAACATAAAGATACCTTAAAATCCCCCGCAAAAGGAAAAACTCCGTTTCAAATCCTGCATTCATTACCTACACATGAACACCTCATAAGCTGGCAATATCATTACTAAGATGATAATAAAATATGCCAAAGAACAACTACCAAGTTGAATTCGTCCTTCAGAATTTTTGACACCCTTCGTAAGGCTTCCCTTGGACAATATTCCCAAGCTTCACCAGGATTTATTTGCATATCAGATAGCACCATTTCCTCTTTTTCTGTCCTGTAGAGAAAAGCAGCTTTAAATAAAAACAATATCCCTCGTCCAATGGAATCAGCAGACCTACGCATTTTTTCATACAAGTAGTGGGCCATTGCATATCATTCGGGCAGAAACTACATCACAATTCTTAAGAAATCAACATGAGAAGGAACTTGTGACAACATTTCAGACAATCTGACTAATATGTGACAGAATGTTCAAATTCAGTTATGCATTCGCAAGCATTGGATTTTATTTGAACAAAAAGCATAAAAGTACCTTGCCGGTGGGGAAGAATTTTATTACTGAAGGAATTGTGTGGCAATCCTCAATTTGGGCCAGGTCAATCAAACACCATAGTTAAGAAAGAGCAAACTAGCTAAGCGAATGAAATCAAAATAGTCACAAAAATTGGTATAGCTTCAAAGATTCCAGGTCTAACCATCAATGAAATGCAAACAAGCTATGCACAGCAAAAAGGGGGAACCACATCAGTTTGAGATGGTCAGACAGATTTTCAACACTCCAACAAAGCGCCAGCAGGTTAAGAAAGCAAACATCCATCATACTTTTTTCACATTTCAAAGTCAAGTATCCAGGCAACAACTTGTATTTTTGTATGGATTTAACAATCCAGAGAAAGCTGATTAGAAGGAAATACGCATGGACTACGCTTCTATTTAGAAAATGATTCTTCAGAATAGTTGGAGATCAAACGGACTATAATGTTCGTGTTCATTGGGGGTGCGTGATTCCTCTTTAATCAATTCAATCCCTGCTGTCGTGCAACTTTTAATTTTTATACCACTAAGGGAGTTCAAAAAAGGATGTTAAAATTTTGTACCATAAAAATTCTCGCCCATTTATTTTCATTGTCTTCTTCCAAAATAATACAAACTACAGTGTTTCAAATATATCTTTTTTAACATGTCGAAAAATCAGTATTTCCTTCACATTTGGTCAATTTTTCACCAAAGAACCCAATTGTAGCTCCAAAGGTGCTTTCCATCATCTGCAAGACAAATCTCTAACAGCTGTTGGACTAACTCGATTCCTTAGCAGTGAACCACTCAAGTGCCCAAGAATGATGAAGCAACTTGCAGACCACCTCACCATGAGAACTTCCATAAATACGTGACCAAGCATACACACACTACAATGAAGAGTGTTGACATCAAATTTTCCGTAAAATAAAATGTTTAGAAAACACAAGCTGGCATAGCTCATTAAAATGGCAAGCTTTTTAGCAGCATCATGTCACAACGTAGAAAGGCAATATCTTTTCATAAAGTAATATTCTTAAGAATAAAAAATATTTTAAAAAAATACTAACAATTTAGACTATTAAAACTCCAGTAAAATCAAGGAATATTAAAAAATATATGGAAAATAAGATTTTTGGAAAGAGATACAAAGGAAAAATGTTTTTGAACCTGTAAATATCTCACATGAAGAAAAGAAAAGAAAGAAAACATTTTGTACCATGGAAGCTTGCACTTTGTCTTCAAATCAGGTATCAGCCTGATCTCACCTACACCAGTAAGATTCGTCTCATTCGCTGGCCCATCTGAATGCGAACTCATTCCCATTGATGCAAAAGTCAAACCTACACCCTTGTCCTTTACAACTTCATAAAACCGTTTTGCAGGAACGACCTGTGGACACAACGAGTGTAAGTAATAACACCCAATATGTCTCTACCAGAATAGCAGTACGCCAGTTAGAAAGGGGCACTATGGGGCACTATGTAACATCACATCAGGTTACAATACATTATTGAAAAAGATTCTATGCCTTAGGCGCACAGTTGTCACCAATACGTTATTGAAACGTCTGGATTATTAGTACTTATCTGTGATCAATATTCTTGGAGGTATGGTGACTCGTACCATAATGCTTAATCTACCCATAAACTTGAAATGAGTATCGATACTAACTTAGCATTTAACAGAGCACAAAATCCAACTAAATATAAACAAATCCAGTATTCCTGCATAAATGGCATATGATGGAATGATGTCCAACAGACCACCTGACATTGTAGCATTTATGTTCGAACCACCAGAAGTAAAATTTTAAAGCTCACAGAAACCCAGTCATTTGACATCAAGATGTCATCGAAAAATGCTGTTAAAAAGATCAGAGGAATAATTCCACCACTTTAATACTAAGAAATTTATTTTAAATGAAATGGAATCGGTTACCACTCATCCACCAAATTGGAATTTTCTTACTCAAATACAAATTATTCTTGTAGTATAATGCGTTTTAATCTGATAATTCGAAAACCATCTCGACTACACTTTTTATAATGGGAGTGAGACCAAATGTTACTCAATGAATACAAAGAATGGAAGCCTAACACTAGCCTCAAGTATCCACCTCCGATTTAATTCCTCCTTACATACCCTTGTGTGCACCAACCAACCCTAAAAATTTCATCAAACCCCACAGAAAAGAGATGTTTGATAGTTGTTTTCAATGAAGAAATCAACACCTCCATCCACACAGTCATCATACCTCTAAGCATGTAACACAAATGATTTAGCTTCAATATTGCTCTCAGCTAAATTCTATCATGAACAAATTATTTATAAATCACGTTTTAAAGAAGGAATATTTCGCAATTCATTCAATAAGTATAACCAAGGAAAGCTTAATGGTAACATACAGAAAAATCTGAAGAAATTTAGGAGAAATTGTTGTCAATTTCCATGGAGAACTCACACGGCATCGGTGCTGACCAGAAGTGTCAACCCAAATAAGACGCACAAATATGATATCATCTGATGATGTTCTATACTCATTCAGCACAATGCTAGAAGATACAGAACTGGAATCAATAGGAGCAATTTTTTCCCTTAAGTTATAAAATTTCCAAGCGTTCTCTTTAAATATGGCCTTTATGGCGTCCACAGCTTCAGGAATGGTAAGATCACCATCTTGACATGCACTTGAGAAGACGGAGTACAAGACTTTGCGTGCCTGCTTTATACCTGAAGATTTCAAAGTCAACGAAGAAGAAAAGGGAAATAGTTTATATCTTCAACATTCACAATGCAAACGAGATTAGAGTTGTCTTATGTCCATCGTGAGCTTTTTTACTTCCATTTTTCATATATCGTTAAAGATAAAATTTATTTTTCATATGGCGGGCATTATGTTCTCTACAATATAATACACGTGAAAGTTACCAAATAAAAAATCAGATGACCAATAAGAATCCATTAAAGGAGGAGATGTGGTCCACCATTAAGAACCAAAAGTTCAAGCAACAAAGAGTAGACAAGTGACCTCTGCGCCCTAGAAACATGATCCTACCCCTCCCTCTTCCTATGATTATTTTTTCAACTTTAAAAACCCTTGACACGATAACAAAATGGCTATGGAACATTCCGAAGACATTGCCTGCCTTCGACAACAATATAGCAAAAGGACCGAATATTCACGGTCAGCTGGTCTCTGGGGAATATTTTCTGAGTCAAAAAAATATTCTTCATGAATATATGGAATTGAGTGGACCTAAAACGAGCTAACCAAAGAAAAAATCGACGAAAAAGACAAGTCGTCTGATGATATGATGCTAGACATACCTAGATAATAAGTCTCTGGGAATGCATATCCATCGGTGCTGAACATTACCTTGAGATAAGACATTCGACAACAAAGTCTCGTATCAAATAAAACAGACAATTAAAAAAATATTCAGGAACATCAGAAACTTTAATTAAGAATTGCAAAAATCACCACCGACGTCTTAACTCTTGGTGTAGGGCATCGTTATATTTTAACCCATTTTATTTATTTTATTTTGCTTTATTTTGAGTCCATGAAGGGGCATGGAAAGAACCATGAGCTTGAGCAGTATCATATAGGTTATAATAGTTGAGACAAAAACCTCTCAATAGAAAAAGATTCCTGAAATATGCCAAAATAGACAGGGCGAGAGGGGCTATGCAAAGCATTTGATATAATTTAGACTATGGCTTTAACTGATTTTCTTATTCTTCCCCGGCTCCCTTGTTTGAGTCCTAATTCAAATCTGAATAGGATCATCTGTATCGATAACATTCATCAATATCCACCCTAAGTTTACACATACCTTCAGATAATAAGTTCCAAAATATGTGCCGCTAAAGAAAGTAAACAGACAGTTATCCTATAAGATCTGATCACAAACGAATCAGCTTCATTTAATGCATATTATCTATGGACCAACTGCGCTATTATTACAGCATATTTTTTTGGAAAACATAGATTCAGCAAATCATTTATTTTCAATAAAAAAGCTCCCTGTTTCAAATGAAATCATTGTTAGGATCTTTATCAATAAAGCATCGTATCCATTCTATTTATAAATTTCACAATTTAAGGATAATAATTATTGTTAAATGTAATGGGCCCCTTATAGTGTAATGGGCTCCTTATGTTACAGCCCACCCTAGTGGCCAAACTTATTGTGGCCCATTACACGCCCTCTAGGGTTAGGATATAAACCCTAGACTGTGATCATTATGAGTGGCTTTTTCACTTTCTACAATTATGAAAACATTTTCCCAGGAAAAAAGGCATAAAAAATGGCCACACTATCAAAATCAAATATAAAACGAATTAAACAAATTTCTTCCCTCCCAAACAAAGAATATCAAATGAATCAATGGGGCTTCTCTCTTCTTATTCTGCTATTTCAAAATAGATAGGAATACACATTCCCAGATGAAAACCACTCTATGAACGATGCTACCTCTAGAATGAAAACTCGAGCATGAAGCATACTACAACTATGATAAATACGTAAAAGACAATATGGTGATTTTCGCCAAAAATTAAATATCTGAATAAGGAGTGTTTAATCGTTGCATTCAATGAAACGAGTGCTCTCTAAAATGAAGTAAATTTTTCACAATCTAGCCGCCATCAAGTACCTTGTTAAGTGGTGCTAAATCAAGAAGTCCTCTCACAGAAGAAACCATACCCTCGTAACTAAGCTTGGGCACTGCCAAACCAAAGTCAAGGTAAACCTATTTTGAAAATTGTGTCAGTAACCTATCAAGTAACAAAAATGTTGACACTAGATCTGCATACAACAGTAACGCACCTGATGGTAAACTGAAGCAAGATATGATGCTTCTTTTGAGAAAGGATAAGAGGCATGCAATAATACAATTCGACAACTTGCAAATCTCTTGTCTTCAAGAACATTACGTAGGAAAAGAGGATTGGAAAGCCTCAAATCCAAATCCTTGTCCCCAAAACTAAAATTTGAACAAACAATACACGATGTTCAATATTATAACCCATATCAGAGGGCATAAGCATATCACTGGAAATAAAATGCATATGGCCATAAACTTATAAGTTAAAAAATTCACTTCAAGAACAGTCATTATCACACTTTTCAGGAAAGAAATGTACATGACAGATGCCGTGCAATCTGATTTAGTATACACTTTTCAAAGATAGTCATAGATGTACACTCATTCGCACCGGATTTAATATAAATCTGAATTAAAAAAATTACTCGTCCAATCCTGCCTTTCCATTCCTTAAAATCCAAATCGAATAATAACGATCCTATTGTGAAGCCCCCCATTCCCATACGCAGGAATATAATTCTAGTTGATTTCATCCAACACTCAACAGGGCTTTGTGATTTGATACTGGTAAAAAAAAAAAAAGACAAAAAAATATTTAGGGTTAGAAAGAACTGATCACAAGAGAACAAAATGTCAACTTTATAACCCTCGACCTTTGAACTAATTGGTTTTGCTGAATGGTTAATTCAGACATTCTAATTGGTCATCAATTAGAAGAAGCCAACAGTCCATCCTATTCACATATATTCAAAAAGAAAAAACATCATTGAATAAAGTAATCTACACTAAAATATGGGCAGCATTTTGTCACTGAGCATTAATCTGAAGAGAATGTTGCATATGCAAAGTTCAAACATGAAATGGTAGAAACCATTGATCGAACAAATGGTTCTCTTCCTGCATTACCCTCAACACCTGCTTGAGAAATAAAAACAGGGAACAGGAACATGGGAAAGAACGCATGAAACGATGAAGCTGTTGCTACACAAGTTCACTCCACTAATCAGATCATATAATAGCGCTGTCTTCGTATCATACTCAGCACCTGACTGAAGTACTGGGTCAGGCGAGACATGGAACCAATTTCATACACCTAGAAACTTTGCTGTTACCATAACACCAAATTTCTCCCCTATATTCGTTTCAAACTGGACACCATATAACCATCTCTAATAATAATTAGGTTTAACGTGTCAGTGTTCACCTTGATGCATCCCAAAGCATCTACTTTAATGAAAGAAAAAACGAATACATATTGCACCAAACTTCAAATATGTGTTTATGATAACTGATTTATTAAGTCGCATGCATAAAAATCGAAGACAACCTGACAGAGGTATCACGAAGAATGAAAGAATATAAACAAAGAACTAAAAACCGATGACATTCAATCACATGCTTCAGAAATTATTATACAAGAAAAAAATAAATTTGAAAAGAATTGGTTTTTTTACCCTGTGTGAATCTGCATAGGCAAGTCAAAGCATACTGCAACATCCAAGCTACATGTAAATATATAATCGATCAACATCTTGTTCTTGATTCGGACAGGAAAGTTGCCTGAACAATGATTTTTTTTTAAAAAATCACTAAAGTTTTAAATGTAAAATAATAAACAAAACAACATTCTCCACATTCCAGCATGTTGAGTGCCAATTCATGTTTAGTATGGCATACCATTAAACTCCTCAACAAGTCCTTCTTCGGCAGCCTCCTTACTAACTTGTGTATCAATATTTAGTCCACTCCTATAAGCAGCTATGCTTTTGAATCCAACAACCTTATCTGCAACTGTGGATGATGTGCTAAAGAAACGCATTGAAGCATAATGGTTTTTTTGCTATCGACAGAAGATATTGTAAGAAAAGTGTAGGATTTTAGTTAAAAGGATATGAGTTCAACTTTTCCACAAAGGTGTTGATAAATGAGTCCAACGTAATGTGTGAGCCTTGCTTTTTTTCCTGGAAAAAGGTTATATCGTTATCCAAAGCACATAGTAAAATTAAGGCTGCAAGGTCTCAGTACTGTTTTTGGCAGAGAATTGATTCACAAAAAGTCAACAAATGAATAAAATATACCATGGAAAGCTACATTACATATATAACAAAACTATCAAGATGAATGCAGGATTCAAAGCAGACTAGGATCATGTTCCCACGGGTATCATGTCACCGTACCTTTCAGTGAAATAAAAATACGATAATCCTAGTAATTCCAATCATGCTCCAATTATAGTAATAAAAGGTTCCAATCATGTTCAAATTGGAGAATTCAAAAGAGGTTGGTAATTCCACAAAGGGTACAAATTGAAGATCGGAACTCGGAATATGGGGAAACATATTTTTTGACGCGCTTACTGCATCTTCAAACAGAAATTTGGCAGAAAGCAGTTCTCAATAAAATCAAATAGAATGAAACTCGTTCATGTTTAACTATCTATGGCTAATGCACAGGTAAATGCGCGAAAGAACAAAGAGACTGAAAGAGGGCAGTAGAGTTCCTCACTTCGTTAAGAATCGTCTCAGCCAAATGCTCGATCCTCAATATTCTACCAACTGCAGGAACAAGGCGACTGTGCCACTCCCAGTCTTGCATTTTGTCAAACTCAATTCCATCATCAATCAGGAGTGCACATATATTACTACTTGCAAAGCACTTTGAACCAATTGCCTGCAACCCCGAGGACCTGCGATGAGCCTCCACCTCGGACAAAGACGCACCGCAGTTGTACAGTTCAGCGACGTCCCTCAAGCTCCTCTGCAGTCAATGAAATAATCATAAAAAATGAATACCCAGGTTCCAAAAGCGAAAACTGAGCACTGAAATCCAGTCTGGAGCAGACAAGAATACCAGAGAAGAAAAGGCTGAGAAGAAGTCCGGCGAAGGTAGAAAAATGTGAAAAGAAAAGTAGCATGGATTACTGATCCGACAGAATATTATGTTTCTTTGGAGTATATCACTTGAAGCCAAAGCATCATTCAGCGACTGAAGCTCCACAATTTCGGTACGCCCAACGGAGTCGTCCTCTCGGCTTACCAAGGCCGCAACGGGTCTCATCGCTCGCTCATCAAATCGTGGAAGACCCTTCATAATTGGAAGGCGTCTGTAGCCTCTGTAACCTACGCCCGCCACCTTCTCGGATTCCATGTCCAGCCATCTGATCGTTTCGAAACTCCTCGTCTTCCATCGCTCGCCCGCCGTCTATAAATACAGTTCGCTGCAAGGCACCTCCTCATTCGTGTCAATCACGCCGCCAGCGCAGCCGACGACATTGCCCAGGAAACCATGGCGGTTCAGAAGCTCGCCTTCCTCCTCCTCTCCCTCTTGACGACAACCTCCATGGCGGCTGCTCGGGAGGCGCCCCAAGAGCTTCCCAACCGCTCGCTGGAGGCCAGGCTCATGGGCGGCGGCGGCGGCGGCATCCTGGTGGAGACGGGCGACGGCAGCGGCATGATCGACTGCTGGGGAGCACTGCTGGAGCTGCGGTCCTGCACCAACGAGGTCGTCCTCTTCTTCCTGAACGGAGAGGCGTACATCGGCAACGAGTGCTGCCGCGCCATACGCATCATCACCCGCCAGTGCTGGCCCAACATGCTCTCCTCCATCGGATTCACGGCTGAAGAAGGGGACATCCTCCGCGACTACTGCGACATGGGCACGGCGCAGCCGTCGGCCCCCGTCGCCACCCCGCCGGCCCCGGCGCCGGCGCCCCAAGCTGCTACAGTTTAGACGGCACCGTCTGGCCAGATCTGTCTTGTAGTGGAGGAGGATGGTTTGACCGATGAAATAAAAATAGTAAATTGTCAAGAGGATGACCCATGGGGCCCCACGTCAATGGCGAACTCTCGTCCCCTTGTCGCCCATCTCCATCGACTGTTCAGCTCAACCCAACCCCCATTCCCACTGCCCACTCCGAGTAGATGGTGAATGCAGGACGAAAAAATAGAAAGGGAATCCTCCCTGTCGGTACCTATCGTTATCTTCCCTCTCCCTCGCGTTTGGACGGCGGAGAAGAACGGGTAAGAATCACCAGACACAGAATGGTCAGAACGGAGTACCATTCACGATGTCACCGTCGCGAAGACGAGAAATCGAAGAGTGTGTTCAGTGTACAGAAGGAATCAGTCGCGAAGGGGGTCGGAGGGAGATGATATGTGGATTCGAGACGACTTGACTCACACCTGCTCCGGAGGAAAACAGGTCCAACCGATCTGAAGAAGACGCTCCGAGCGGCACCGGCCGGACGAGATCGTCCACGAAGGGACGTCATCTTCTGCAACTTCCGCGCGATTACGGAAAACATACAGGACGGATCTTCCATCTAGATCGGAGACAAATGCCGCAAGCTAAACCGGCATGCTCTGATTTTCCCCCAGAAAACCGAACGAGACGAGCAAAGGGAGGCAGAAAAACTTGAGGAGAAAGCAACGACCAGAGGGAAGCTCCCAAGCGGCGGAGATCACTCTTCTGGCGTTACCTTGAAGGAGAGGCTGTGCGGGGCGAAGGCCAAGGCGTCGCCCTCCGCCTCGGAAAAGCACCGGAGGAACGGGAACTCGGAGTCGATCGCCACCAGGTTGTGGGCGTGAGCGTCCACAACCGCCACCGTCTCCAGCGCCTCCCTCAGCTCCCCGTACTTCTCCATCTCTGCGCCGCCGCCTCCTTCAGCCTCCGCTTCTCCCTCCTCTTCTTCTCCACTCCCCCCCTCGCCGGCTCCCGCGGCCCCGAACTTATTTGATCTTAAAATACTGTGGGTCAATCGCCGAGAATGAGTAGCCCCTCTAGATCCTCGGTACGTTTGAGCCCGCAAGCAGCCGCCAATCTGGCCCTTCACGACCGTCCGATCGGATATCATCTTAGAATCGGAGGTACGGGATCTTTCGTAGAGTCCACGTTTGACTAATTGATTTGAGATTCGACACGTCTGCGGATAGACCAATATAATTCGTCACGTGCTGGGCCTTCATTGATTTTCTTTTGCCACTTATGGGCAAGCGTGGCAACGGGCTATTAATCGCGTGACGAATGCAGGTGTCGCGTTCCACGACGTATCTGATATTAAGTTCAACCGGATTCAGGGTGGGCCCCATTTTCTTTCCCATTTTCGGTCAACCTCTCCAGCCCGGCGGCGGCGTAAGCTACGGGCAGAAGGTGACGAGGTATCCGGCGGTGGCGGTGGCGGCGGCGGCGCAGGTGAAGGTGCTAGAGGCGTCATCGAAGGCGTAGCTGTAGGCGAGCGGGCATGCCCTCTTGAACACCTCCGAGTAGACGGTGGGTCGGCAGGCGGCGGCGCCGCCGTACTCTCCGGTGCAACAGAAGACGGGATCGCCGATGGCGTCGCAGGCGCTCTTGCAGGCAACCACCGTCGTCCCGTCGGAGCCCACCACCTGCAGTTCGCTTGGGCAGGCGGCGTTGACGTCGGCGGGGCAGCTGGCGGCCCTGCAGCCTCCGCCCCTCCGCCGCGGCGCCACCGAGACGGGAACGTTGAAGCCGTCCACAAGGCTGACGTCGTAGAAGTCTGCGCCGCCGCCGGTCCCCAGGGTCACCTCCACCAGGGTGGCCGGCGGAGAGCCGGCGGCGCCGCCGCACTCGATCTTCCCAGTGCCGCAGTCTCCTGTGGCGCATTTGAAGGACCCCGGGGATCCCCCTGCGCAGCCCGTCCGGGCCCAGAACCTGCCGGACCACGCCGGCGGCGCTTTCAAGCTGGCGGAAGCGCCGCTGCCGAGCTCGAATCCCGTTCGCGGCAGCGAGGCCGTGCCGGCACCGGCAAGTGTGGCCACCCACAACGTGGAGGTGCAGTTGTTCAGGAATCTAAATGACGCTGCTTGTGCCCCTGCAGTTTCGGAGAAGAACAAGAAATCACTAAGATGGAAATCTCCGCCAACTCCGCCGCATTCTTCACCATAATGGTCAACAGAGAAGGGGAGCCTTACCCCCGACGAGGATGCCGACGAAGATCATCATTGTGAGTGGGCTCCGCTCCATGGCTGCCGGGTATACTCGACGGCGATCGGCGGAGGACCACCCCGGCATCTCCTTAAATAGAACAAGATGGCGTCGTAGGACCAGGATAACTCATCCAAAGGGAGAGTCCGACCGGCGTCTTCGGCAATATTTTGTTACTGATCACGTTAGTTGCATGACCCCATTTCGTAAAAATGACCACTAGCTATATTTTTTATATAAAAACTACACTAAAAGTGTATTGCAGGTTGACATCAGAAATAAATAGTTGACTTCAGATCTCTTGGAGGAACGATATTGCGGTATAGTCGAGCGGTGACGGTCAAAGCCTCGGAGATAGATTCATCCTCTCCTTTTCATGAGCATCGTTTGACTTTCTATCGATCGCACCTCCCTGTATGAAGTCTCAGCTAGCTGATTTGCTAGTCCTTTGGGTGAAATAACGTCGTGGAAAATGATGCATCTCACCTCTTCGTTGCACGTTCTCATAAATCTTTACCCAAGTTTTCGATCGAGTACCTAGTCTTAACAGCAGCTTCTTTACTATTCCAATACCTCGCGTTGACTTACCTCAATTTCTCAATTAATTTGCTTTGACTCATCACTAGGTCAAGTCCAGCAAAGTCCAGTCTCCGTAGTAGATCCCGCCGGCAAAAGTCTACCTGGAAGATCCCAAGAGGCAAGCACTCCACGCAAGCAAAAGTCACTATTCTTTCCTCAAATCTTGGAACTGATAAAAGCATGTAGAGTGTTTTTTGATGATTTTGCCTGGTTTCTCGGCACAGTCAACCAACAATTTAGCAGGTGATTGGTACAGAACAGCCTCCTGCTCCACAGCCATCCGCACGAGCTCTACCCCATGACGAGGGACGGAACAAAATCGGCAGACGATGTCAACGATCTTTTATCTTCTTGATGCTAGACAGAAAACTTCAGAAGTTCCGTTGCTGCATTGACTTTTAGGATAAGTCAACGTAAACATGGAAGCGGCTCAAGGCATTAAAGACTCTTGACAAATTTTCTAGGCCCCACTACCCCTCGTTTTCAGAACCCACAGAAGTCTCGTCGCTTTCTCCCTCTTTCTCTCGCTCTCGGCATGCTTAACATTCGTCGCTCTGTATGGCTGGGAAGAGAGGTCCCTGGCATGTCTTCCTCACGTATCAATCTCACCCAAGCCAATCCGTTTCCATGGCGGCGCGTTGCTCGGCGCCCCACCACTTGCCTGTGGCCACAGTTCTCACGCCATATGCGGGGCGGAAGCGGGGGAGTATCTGGCGACGGGGGGGAATGGTTTGTGTACGCCGTCGTCAAAGGGAAGCCTTGAGAAGAGAAGGCCCCGCCATGTGTTCTGTCTCGCTCTGTGCGGGGACGGAAAGGAGCTACCATACGCCCATGTTCTTCTGATGAAGTGGTTAGCTCGTCTAAGTGCAAGATTAATTCGTTAATTGGGTCCATATATATTACTAGTAGAAATAATCTAGAGAGGATCGTAAGTTTCTAAAGAATTTTTAAAATTATCGATAAATAACCCTATAATTTGCAAAAGTCCATAATAATCGTGATTGAAATATTCAGAAAAATATCATCAATTTATAAGAAGCATAAAAAATTCCATTTAAGATACATCAATTATTAGTAATTTTATCTTTTTATCAAAGCATGGTTTCTAATTGACTCAAAGACCCTCATCTATGCCCAAAATTGTAGCAATAAACACCAAAAGGTCTCGTTGAATTAAATAGATAAAAATTCAAACAATTTGCATATATTAAGAAAGCACGACTAAGACACTTGTATAATACGATTTTAAAAATATTTGTGATTTTATAATATCTTATTGGTTATTATTATTTTCATATACTAAAATATTGAGCTTGATGGATGAATTTACATTTAGTGAATTCAATATTTTGATTTTCAAATACCGAGATTTTAAGCTATTTTTAAACGAAAACATTTGCATATATTAAGCTATCAATCTCGACGTATTATAATCTGATGTAATATAAAATGGCTTTTCTTTCATCATTTTTTATAATCCATTAATCACCATTTTACCGTTTTCATTTTATAACAGGTGAAAATATTTTCAATTATTATATATATAATTTATTCATAAATGGCTAGGCGACTTACTTCTCGTGAGTTCTCCCATTTACACCAGTTATCAAATTATTTTTCCTCTTCGATCCGCCGTTCTCTCTCTCTCTCTCCTCCTCCTCCTCCCCCTTGTCGGGCCGCAACGGGCCGGGCCAAGTTTCCGGGCTTTCTCCGGGCCCTTACCGAGCGAAGTGGTCGCGCCGGGGCCCGGATCGGCCCGTTTATATTTAAGACCCCTCCCCGCCCAGCCCCAAACCCTAGAGCGGCGTCGCCATTCTGAGAGGAACGAGTCGGCGGCGCGGGGCAGCGCAGAGGGAGGGCGGCGTGCCGGCGAAGGAGCGAAAATGAAGACGATTCTCTCGTCCCAGACGATGGACATCCCCGAGGGGGTCAAGATCAAGGTCAAGGCGAAGATCGTCGAAGTTGAGGGACCGCGGGGGAAGCTCACCCGCAACTTCAAGCACCTCAACCTCGACTTCCAACTCATCGAAGAGGGTAGGAAGCTGAAGGTGGACGCCTGGTTCGGCACCAGGCGGACCATGGCCGCCATCAGAACTGCTATTAGCCACGTCCAGAACCTCATCACTGGGGTGACCTCCGGGTACCGGTACAAGATGCGACTCGTGTATGCTCACTTTCCCATCAACGCCAGCATCAACGGCAGCAACAACGCGATCGAGATCAGAAACTTCCTTGGAGAGAAAAAGGTATAAATCTCGGCCGCGACCTCCATCTCCAATACTGTCTTCTTGTTTCGTGATTTCCAGCATTGGGATCTGGCTCGTTATTTTTTAGTCCTGTTCGATAATTGCCTCAATCGATAAAATTGTGGTGCAGAAGTGGTCATTGTTTGTCTTCCAATGGTTAGTCCGAGCTACATGTATTTTTCCGATATACGTTGTGGTGGATATTTCCCGAGAACTGCCAAGCTGAGATGAATCCTTCTTTGCGAAAAAGAAAGCCGTATACTAAGTATTTGAATGAATACATGTCAAAATCATTCCGAAATCCTACATATTCTAAATGCATATTTTTCACCTGACGGTCATTTATCTTTGAAAGTCCTCTTGACAGCTCCCTCTGATGTCCCTCCCTTGTCTTATGTTGTACTGCTTTTAGTCTGTTCGGTTAATATCTCAACTGTGAAATGTTTTGTGCAGAAGTAGTCCTCGCTCGTCTATCCCGCTTATTTGATCCGTAGCAATTTTCCTGGCATGCCATTATTTCCAAGATTCATATCTTCTGAAACCCGAGCTGAATAGGTTTTTTCTGTACGCGTTTAATGGGCTTGGCCTAGTTTCTGTGGTAATGAGCAGTTCGTTCGTAGTTGCACCGAAACCAGTGAAAGATCGAACCTTGTGCACTCTCTTCTGTTCATTTGTGTTGGCTGACTTCGCGGCATCAGTACTGAACCCATCATCCATATCATAAACTCTTTTTATGCATTCTCTCTACCAGCTAAGATCGGTGAAATCCCTCATAAGTAAACTGAGAACACTGCTTTGTATGAGCAGCCGTCAGCTTTGTTGGGGAGGTGAGGTTATCAGAATCCTTTTTGCACCTCGGGTCCCCCTTCTGTAAGAAGACTTCTCAGATAGAACTCTGAGGAAAATTATCTGTCAGGCAGGGATTGGTGATTCGGAGCTTTTTTCTGGGTTTCCTCTCAATACGTAATTAGGGTTTACAAGTAGAAGAAACCTGGTTTCAGTCCGCTCAATTAGGCCAGCTGATGATGATCTTCGACGACTCATCATTGAATCCAGCGCATTTTGAGTTTCCCGTGTTATTTTTTGTTTCAGGTTCGCAAGATCGACATGCTTGAAGGAGTGAAGATCGTCCGGTCCGAGAAAGTGAAGGACGAGCTTGTGCTCGATGGCAATGACATCGAGCTTGTTTCTCGCTCCGCCGCCTTGATAAACCAGGTTCCTAGTTCATTATTCTTCCTTCGTTATCTTCCCTACCGTGGCCAAGGATGATGGATACTGGTTTTTCTGAGACTAGTGCTCAATAATCACCTTCTCTTGCAGAAATGCCACGTGAAGAACAAGGATATCCGGAAATTCTTGGACGGCATCTACGTTAGTGAGAAGGGCAACATTGCAGAGGAAGAGTGAGGATGTGCGCCGGCTGAGTTCGTTCAAATTCTCTCTCTAGGGGGGTCACATTATCATTAATATTATCATATGAAAAGATTAGGTGAGAAACTTTTGAGATTAGGGTTTTGGAGACTGCTGCTTCTGGTTGTGGCATTAAATCCCGGAATTGAGTTCTTTTTATCTCTGATTTACTGCGTGTTTGTTTGTCCCGGAGATTCTTCAGTGCGACTGTTTCATCTCGTTTCCTAGTTCACTAAAATTCTGGAGAATAAAATTTGGGGCAGATTGTTGTTTCGACGCCCATTATCCAGCCTGTTAGCTGTGGCTTTGGAGGCTGTGCCCTGCCCTGTCCAGCCACCGGCCCGTGGGGAGTCGTCGGGTGGGAAGATTGTCCGGGAGAGATACAGCTAGATACAGAGAGAGAGAGAGAGAGAGAGAGAGAGAGAGAGAGAGTGGACTTTGTAGATACTTAAAATTATAAATATTACACATTATATCATTCAAAAAATGATTTAAAACCATTAATCTAGAAATGAAGGTCATAAATATATGCTTTAATATTTAATTTACGGCACATTTTCGTTAGTTTCTCAAACCACTCTAAAGCAAGGACGGGAGATATTACACTGGGAATCAGAGGCTTTATCATGATTTTGATTAAAACAAATTTATGATAAAAAAATACTATTTGTTTGAAAATATCACCCTAATTCCATTTATGGTGGATTTGATGAGTCACATAGACACCTATATTTCATTGGCACAAATAACACCAACAACAAGAATAATGAAATAATGGAGAGAAAAATAAATTAAAAAAATGGAGCCATTGTCTACTATCAATAACCATCCCCACTATGTATGCTTGATTCCTAGTGGCGATCTATAAGCATGATGCCTCAGGACCAGTAGGCCTGTTATTGTCTTAAATATTACTTTCAATGATCAGGATTTTTTCTGAAATAAAGGTGTGGATTGAATTGAGAGTAAAGTAATTAAATATTAGGGAGAAAAATAAATTAAAAAAATATATCCATTGCTTACTATCAATAACCATCCCCACTAGGTATTAGTGATCCCTTTATGACAATCAATGAGCATAATGAGCCAGAAACAATTGATATCTAACATGTTATATATTACTCTCATTGACGAGCATTTTTTCTGAAAAAAAAAAAGTATGAACTGAATTGCACCTATTAGTTTATTGTCTCCGTTCATCATCCAGTGATGAATATTATTTATTTCCTAAGACCCAAGTAAGGTTCTTCTCAAGGGTTGAACCAAAATCTTAAAACTATTTATTTTTAAAAATTATAAGTATTTATTTTTAAATCATTTATGATTCATGTTGCCTATAAATCAAAGTATTGCAATCTAGAAATGCCCAAAATATTCAAATTTAGGCTCTCAAATGCTAATATTTCACTACATAAGCACTCCCATTATTCTCAATATCCATTGTTTGAACTTGTTCTTCAACATTTGATTTAGGAGTATGAAACAATGGTCAACATTCACAATTGACTCATATTACTTTAGACAGCGTCATTGTACGGTTAGGGACATAAGAATTTCTTTAAGAAAAGGAAGATGAGCTGAGGATAACTATACATATAGTGGCTACACTAAACTTAGTGGCCATCCTTGATTTTTTCCCAAGGTTGACTTGTCACTCTTGAGGCAGTCAACTTGAATACGACAAGTATGAGGGCCTCCCACTTTCCACTACGGTTACCTCATGGCTAGTAGGGGCAGTCTCCCTTAGTTCCATAGTCAGAAAGAGTTAGGCTTGTGGGAATATACTTTGTTTCTCCATCTCTCTTAGATATTCTGATCCTTTGAGACCTTTAGATTTTGCCACAAGCACCAATCTTCACAAATCAATAAATTTCATTATCAGAGGACCAAGGAGGAGACGGTGGTTTTGGTAATTGTTTTATATCTAATTACTAGTCTGGTAGTTGCTTGGGCTTAAGAGGAGGCACCATGAGAACATATGGGAAGGGAGGTGGGGTGGAGGTATCAGTCAGTGGTGGACAATCTGACCATTAATATTATAGAGGGTTCAAATTTCTACCATATTTCTATAGTGGCGACATAAGTAGTCAATGACATAAGAGTGGAGATAATATCACAAACTATGCTGGGATATTTGGGGAATGATCATCTTGGGTTTACGGTAGATAGATACTCAGATCTTAGTCCAATGAGTTAGTGGGGATTTAAACTAGGGCCAATGATGTCTTTGGTCCCACGTTAGTTGTAAGTGAGTTGAAAGAAGAGTGATGTTCTCTCCCCCTCAAAGGTATTCTGAAGGTCTGGCCATGAAGTCAAGATGTGCAAAGGTGTTTCGAGACTGAAGGGCTCTTAGAGACGATCTCTAGAAGGAAGCTTGACCTGTCAGTGACCGTTGATGTGGCAGGTTTCTCTGAACCTCGTAAATCTGGTGTGTTCATTGTTCTCACTATTCTCTTCCTCTCTCTCTCTCTCTCTCTCCCTCTCTCTCGTGTTTCGTTTTGTATTAGGCTTCCTCTATACAACTGGGGGGAGATGAGGATGGTTAGGTTCCCAACTGACCGTGCTCGCGAGGAGACTCGTAGCGTGGTATGGGAGCCACTCTGACCCTCAACAAGCTATATGCTTAGCTATAGGCATAAGCGGTCTTAAGGCCTAGCTAATGAGTCGTTGACTTTGTTGTTTCTTTGTGCCCATAAGCCAGACCAATGACTCTATGCAATCAACTATGTACTGATGGTCAACGACTTGCTCTACTGTGAATACTGCCAGAAACTAACCTCCCCTCCCTCATCACACTATTTTTCCTACATGGTATGACATTTCTCGTCTCCCATGTCATTTGAGATAAAGTATTACTTCAAAGATGATGCTTTTTTACATTGTTAATAATGGTCAGACATCGATTTAGTACGAGTTTAAACAACCGATTAAACACTTATCCTCTCTCGTTTCATAATTAATTGGCATCGAGTTTGATGGCCAAAAAACTCAGACGATGGATATGAACTATGGGTTTGCACCATTAATATCACCAGAATTTTCTAGGTCCTGGTCTCGAAGATGGGCTACTCATCCGATCAATGTAACAATATTTATTCGACTATAGATGTTGTGTTACAAGTGCGGCAGAGCGACGCTTATTTCACCTACACGATAAGAAGCATGCAAAGAGGAAAATCGAGCACTTGAAAGGACTGACGATGGACTGAGTGAGCCATGGAGAATGTCGATGCAGTATTAGGGATGACGACTGCGCCTCTGTGAATTTTCTCACGGATGTCCTCCAGCTCCGCCGCCGTATCCAGACCCATATCCAGAGCCGTAGCCCGAACCAGAGCCGGACCCACCTCCGCCACCGCCTCCGCCTCCCCCCCCTCCTCCACCACCGCTTCCATAAGCTCCGTTGCCAGCACCGGACCCATAGCCAGAACCGCCGCCGGACCCGTAGCCCGAGCCACTTCCGTTCCCACTTCCGCCACCGCCTCCACCGCCGCCGCCACCTCCTCCGCCGCTTCCGTAGCCTCCGCCGTTGGCACCCCCAGCACCGTACCCAGATCCCCCACCCGACCCAGATCCATACCCGCTCCCGCCTCCAACCCCACCGCCACCGCCACCGCCACCGCCACCGCCGCCGCCACCACCACCGCCACCGCCACCCCCTCTTCCATAGCCACCACCGCGTGCCCCACCGAGGCCTTCCCCGTACCCGGAACCGCCTCCAGAGCCGTAGCCAGAACCGGAGCCATTGCCCGACCCACCGCCTCCTCCCCCTCCTCCTCCGCCGCCCCCACCACCGCCAGCACCGGTATAAGCAGTTAAAACCCTGGCGGCAGAGGACATGCCCACACAGAGCATCACAACCAAGACCACACCCACTACCTTAGGACTTCCCATCTTCGGTAGGACGTAGAAACCAGCAGAACACGGAGAGACTATTTGGATGTGCCTCGGAAGGGAAACGTCGGGGGTATTTATAGGCTGCTTCCCGTGCATGCTACTGTACTCGACTCTTTACCCATTATTAAGTCTTGGAGTAGATGACGCCATACGGGCTTCTTTTGACTTTTTGCCACTTGTGATGAACGTCGAAGACATTCGGAAACCTTCCAAAACCTGGTGCTTCAGTCAAAATTCAGCGTAGACTTGCTGGTCGGCTTCTGGTTGGGTGCATCTGGTCATACATTCATGTTCGGCATTCTCCCACATACACTTACTCCATTCTCTACGAGCCAGCCGAACTCTCTAGTCTAATCTGTGAGAGTTGCACTCGATTTTTGCCGTTGTATTCCTGACCCAGCGGTGAAGTTGGGTAGCCTAACATTGTTTGATCCTTCGTCTGGGAACGAAGCTTCTGGCCCGTTTTTAACGAATATTAGGCTACTTGGGCAGAAGGCTATACAACGTCTCGAGTGTCTGTACATACAGATGAGCCCGTTTCGTATAAATATCTAATTTTGAAAACTCTTGAAGATATGTGTAAAGAAGCCCATGGATATCGACGCTACGAGGGTCGGCATCAGAACGTGTTGCCGGAGAGGTTGTAAATCGAGTCCTCGACCTAAGCATAATCTATCGGCCTAAGCATAATTTAATGCATGGAGAGCTTCCTAATTGACTGAAGCATAGGATAACGCTAGGCTACCTAACTCTCCCTGAGATGAACTCTCAGAATGGTGAGTCTCATGGTGATGAACTGGCCCGGTCGTCAGTATTTTAGTATACCCGTTTGGTAGGGGTCACCAATTAATGACGGCGACGACCATGGGGATGAACGGCGGTCGCGTTGAGGCTCCAATATGGAGAGTCAACGATGGAAGTCGATTCGTGCTCGAAGCTTTTGAAATTTAGGCGGGTAGTTTCTAGACGTCACACGCATCGCAATGTGAAAATAGACACCCTCTCCCTCATTATCGTCAGTGATCACTCTGACTAAGTGCATGGACACAGTCGCCACGGTAAACATGCCGGCACGCTAGTCCTATATATACCCCCGACGTTTCCCTTCCGAGGCACATCCAAGTATTGTCTCCGTGTTCTGGTTTCTACGTCCTACCGAAGATGGGAAGTCCTAAGGTAGTGGGTGTGGTCTTGGTGGTGATGCTCTGTGTGGGCATGTCCTCTGCCGCCAGGGTTTTAACTGCTTATACCGGTGCTGGCGGTGGTGGGGGCGGCGGAGGAGGAGGGGGAGGAGGCGGTGGGTCGGGCAATGGCTCCGGTTCTGGCTACGGCTCTGGAGGCGGTTCCGGGTACGGGGAAGGCCTCGGTGGGGCACGCGGTGGTGGCTATGGAAGAGGGGGTGGCGGTGGCGGTGGTGGTGGCGGCGGCGGTGGCGGTGGCGGTGGCGGTGGCGGTGGGGTTGGAGGCGGGAGCGGGTATGGATCTGGGTCGGGTGGGGGATCTGGGTACGGTGCTGGGGGTGCCAACGGCGGAGGCTACGGAAGCGGCGGAGGTGGCGGCGGCGGTGGAGGCGGTGGCGGAAGTGGGAACGGAAGTGGCTCGGGCTACGGTTTTGGCGGCGGTTCTGGCTATGGGTCCGGTGCTGGCAACGGAGCTTATGGAAGCGGTGGTGGAGGAGGCGGGGGAGGCGGAGGCGGTGGCGGAGGTGGGTCTGGCTCTGGTTCGGGCTACGGCTCTGGATATGGGTCTGGATACGGCGGCGGAGCTGGGGGACGTCCATGAGACAACTTTCCAGGCCTTGTTTCCGGCTCATACAGTGTTTAACCCCTGCAGTCTTCTCAATGTACTGTTATGCCGCGTCGTTGTGAAGCCCTGGTCGTCAATGATGTGATTCACGCTATAATTAGTAGCAATAATCATATTTAGCATACTGTTCTCAAATCCCCAGTGGGCTATGTTTGCAGGACAGCTCCTCTTTACATAAGACTGACGGGTTTATTTTTAATGTAAAATAGAAATAATATTTTGAACTAGATTTCTATTTTTATAAGACAAGTAATTTTAAAAAATTTAGTGATGTATTTGCAGTTTTTAAAGAGGAAAAAGTAAGTCCATATCATTGAAACGGTTGCGACTAGAGGTGTTAAAGGTCTAAGTAGTCAGCGAGTATTAGCGCCCTTCGAATCTCATACATGATGTAGAGAAAAATGTAGAAGAAGCACTGAAGCCCATTCCCGTAAGGAAACTATATATACATATATATAATATGGATAAACAATTAGGTGGCAGAGAGAGATACAGGGGGAGAGGGGAGAAGGAGAGTGATCGTTTAAGTGTATGGATTTATTTTTTTCTCGTTATGTTTTTTTACTTACCTCTTCATGCATGAAAATATCATAAAATTTGACAAGTATTTTGTACAACTGAGTTTATGCCGAATTAATTTCACACTATATTTTTAAACGGTCCATTCCTCTTTGATTTTTTTCTTATTTAGAGCATAAATTGGAGAAAAAACTGATATAATTTACTGAAATTGTATTAAAAAAGGGAGGCCTTGGTCTTAGCGTCAGTGTCAAAATTAACAATGAATGGAACCGAGGGCCGAAAATTTGACAATATTGCTTACCCAATATTCCGAATTGGCCCCTAGCTTACCCATCAATATTGTTAATGAGCCGCCAAACGAAACGTTCTCAGATCTAAACTGACGAAAGAACTAATGGGTTAGCTAGAGTCAGGTGGCTATTGGATCTAATGTACAGATTGTCACACCTTGTTGCCGTAACTCTCTCTCTCTCTCTCTCTCTCTCTCTCTCTCTCTCTGCATCCTCGTAGTGATCCGGAGGTGGCATCCTCATCGGAGAGAACTTTAAATTTGTCTTGAACCAATCTTTGCGACGTCGCAGCAGAGGATAGCACGTAGACTCTCGTCAACCCCGCGAACTACACCGGGTCAATGGCTCATTTCTTTATTGGAGTCAACTACTTCAGCCCATAAAACGACAATGAATGCATGCATCTGTTAACGAAGTGAAGCTTTTCAACTTTTCGCGTTCTCTTCTTTTCACAGGATGAGTCCGGTCGCCCAACTTGATGTATGCATAGTGGAAGGCTACCTAACCTTCCTCAGACATCAGCAGTCAACGCGGGCTGCATCGAGAACCCGACACCTGAAATTGCGCCAAGATTTGATTGCCAGGTCGATAGTTTCTTCGACGAATTTGGAAGCTTGATCTCAAGGAGTCAACGTTCAATGGGAGACTTACACGTACTTCCCTTTTCTCCCGCTCATTCTCGCCCTTGGACACGGGATTCTCTCTTTCACCTCTGTCTGTATTGCCGCTACCAAGTCCGCTTTCTACTCTGCTGCCAGTAGCTCCATCTTCCTCGCTGTTGGGTACACCCGCACCTTACCCGAATCCTTATTCCGAGCGCCCGCGTCCCCGCCGACGATTTCTCCCAGATGACCACGTCCATGGCGGGATACTACCTTTTGACTCAGACTGGCCTACGATCAAACGTTGACAATGCGTTCAAAGTTTCAAACCTTACAGCTCGGCTCAACATTTGTGGAAGAGACCACCAAGTCACATCTGCTATTCGGCCACATCCCGCAACACCTCCATTCTCCGCTTTGGTGTTGACGAACATGTTGTAGGCGTTGGACCCGCGGAAGAACACAATTGACGCCGGATTCTGGAGGCAGCAGCCAGAGGTGACATAATTGATTGTGATCCGACACTGCACCGTGGACTGTAGAGGTACGGTTAGGTAGCCTACCACGAAATAAGTGAAAAAGAAAACCAAGACGCGTTGGGAGCATAGAAACGTTGACGTCTTATCTGCCTGGAGCAATGCATTCTGAGTGGTATTCAGGTTGGTGATGAACTGGGCATATTTTATCTAAAGAGAGATGGATTCATCGGCTTTGACCGTTGGCGCACAGTATTGAATACAATTTTGACCTTGGAATCATCGTTAATATGTGGACCACTTTGGATCAACCAAACATCGTTTGACTAAAAAACACGTCTGGATGCAATTTACGCGGAAGTCAAAAGGCAAAAAAGTTTGTCGACTATAGTTCAGTTCCAACTTCCGCCACCACCTCCATCTCCACCACCGCCGCCCCTACTGGTAGTTCGGTTGCCGGCACCCCAAGCAGATACCCAGACCCCATACCCATGCCCGGTCCGACTTGATTTCCAACTGCCGTCACCACTGCAACCCTTCAAAAATAAAAATAGGACATAAATGTCCCCGTCAACATCCTTTGTGAGCAGGGTCTCAGTTAATGATGAATGTCGGTGGGAAAATTGACGATAAATCTGCCCTTTTTTCATTGCAGATGGGTTTCTCCCTCGTTAACGTGTCTCAAATTCATTTTCTCTTAATGAGATATATCTCCCTCGTTAAGGAGATATATAAATAGAAAGAGAAAGAGAAGGGGGGGGGGTGAGAGCGGTAGACAAATCAGAGAAAGAACCAAGTATACAAATTTAAGATTTTCAACGAAGGTGAGATACCTTTTGATAGAATTTAATGAATGTGCTTCGTATTCTTCATATTGATATACAAGGAGGTGCCCATTGATCCAACTCCCCATATTCCTACATTAATATTACGTCCAAACAATCTTCTTGATGTAAAAAAAAACCATTTTACACCACAATCAAACGTTCTCCCTACAACAGAGAAATTCACACCAAATTTTAGACTATAAATTAACACTAGATATCACAATTGCAAGGCCTGGCTATTGATCATAATTTTTCTCAAGACTTGATGAGTAAAAAAATAAAATCTCCGTAATCAGCTTGCTTAGCTCGATATATAATGTAGAATAAGCCTCTAGATTTTAATTTTTTTTTTATAATCAGTCACTTCTAAAAGTCTAATGTCTCTCGTGATCGTATTGAGTATTTTCCACGGATACATCCACCAACAACATTTCCGTCTAAATATCTATAACACATGGGGATAAATATAATGAT